TGTACCGGTGGCCTTGGGGTCGAGCCCGCCGGTGAAGCCGGTGTGGGTGTTGAGGTCGACCTGTAAAATTGGGAATGAAAGGAATTGATTAGAACAGCCAATGAGTTTGTGCGCGCATGGAGGGGACGGTGCGTACCGCCCAGCCGAGGGAGGAGAGGAAGTCGAAGTAGTCCTGCGAGCCCTTTTCGTTGTCGAAGATCTGCTGCATGGACATGCCGCCCTTAGGCACGTAGATCACGCCGATCTGCAGGCACTCGCGCCTGTCGGTGGGCACGAAAGACACACACACACACACACACACACACAACACAACACAACACAACACAACACACTCGGGTGAGCGAAAGTAGCATCGTTGAGAAGAGAGAAGAGGCGTACTCGGCCGTGGAGTCGATGTTCTTGAAGTTTTGGAGGAAATTGAAGGGCTTCGACGCGTCGGACTGCAGCAGCGAGAACGCGCCGCGGTTCTCCATCGACAGCAGACCCACTGATCACATCGTGCGACACGCACTCACATTAGCAGAGAACACACACGAGGGCGGGGGAGTGGCAGAAGTGGCAGCAGCGGTATATACCGTGGGCGAGCAGGAGTCGCGAGGCGGTGGTGTCGCTCTCGACGTCCTGCGGCGGCAGGCGCGGCCTGTGCACGGTGTTGTCCGTGTGGCCGAACGAGGTCTTGCGGAGGTGGGCCGCCTCCTCCTTGACGCGCTGGATCGCGAGGCTGAGCACGGCGTCCTGCTTCTTCCGCTCCTCCTCCGTGAGGTACGCCATCAGTTCGTCCAGGTACTCCACCGGGCTGCCGTGATGGAATGGAATGTCAATTATAATGAATAATGAATAATGAATAAAAACAAAAACAAAAACAAAACCGAGGCGCGGGTGGTGTCGTACTCGGGAGCCGGCAGGGCCTCGAGCGGGTCCTTCTCCGGAGGCTTGACGCCGGGTTCTGCCAAATTTGCGGGGCAACGGTTTTGAAACGAACTTAGTTACGGTACGGCCAGCGCAGCGAGCGAGGGAGTGAGGAGAGGGACGAAGAACCTGAGATGTGCTCCGGCACGCAGGGGAAGTAGTTGAGGTTGGCGTTCCACACGAACTTGCCGGAGAGGTCTGTTGGCGTGCGCGGTGGTGAAAGTTGAAGAAAAGAAAGAAAAGAAGGAAGAAAAAGAAGGAATTGTGTGAGTAGAGAGAATCAGTAGGGAAGATGCAGTTAGTTAGTGAGTTGGGTGGGTCGACGAACCGCGGAGAATGATGGTGACGGCGATGCGCCCGTAGGAGCGAGGCTCGCGGATCACCGACATCAACGTCTTGTTGAACAGGAAGCACGTGATGTTCTTCGACGTCAGCTTGCTGTGCGTCAGCAGGTCCGCCTCTGCGGTGTATCGTACACGATCGTGGCGCCGTGAGCCGACAAAGTCCAGTCATCGGGCGGGAGGGAAAGGGGGAAAAGGGGGGGGGGTATTCGGTACCCGAGGGGAGGGAAGAGAAGTTGGAGGGGCCGATGGGCGGAGGGAACTGGCCGTGCTGGTTGACGATGGTCCACAGCATGCTCGAGGCGGCCTCCTTGATCTTGTACGTGGGAGCGTGGTAGCCCTTCACATCTCCGCGGCACTGTGTGAACAGTAAACGAAACGTAACCAGGCCATTAGCACACATGTTTCGAACTTGAAGCTTGCATGCGCTGATGTTGCTGGCGGTGGTGCAAATGTGCGAAAAACGAACCTTTTCGATGATGGACAGGACGGTCTTGAAGAGGCCAGCATTCCTCAGAATCCAGTCGCCGGTCATGATCCATGTCTGCATGCAGCTCAGGCACTGGAAGTAACAAACAGGCCAACGCGAGGCAGTACTATGAGTGGATCTGGGGGGGTGTGTATGCGCACGGGCGAGTCGCGTCACGTGTGTACCTTGACAACGAGCTCCTCGAGCGGGGGAGCGGGAGCGCACTGGACAGCGCAGCGGATCTCGAAGAACTTGCACAAGGTCGTCACCAGCAGAATGCCACAATGGTTCGACGCGTTCGAGAACGAGCCTAAGACCACCACCAACACCACCAACGCAGCAGCAGCAGCAGCAACGATCGCAGAGAAGCGCACGGGTCAGGACCACTCAATTGGCTGTGTGGGGTGGACTGCAAGGAATTGTTACCGAGGGTGAGGCGCTGCCTGATGAGGCCTGCACGGGGGCGAGTGGGGCCGTTCTCCTCGGTCTCCTCCACCAGGAACTGGTGGACGCACGACAGGTCGGTCAGGATCTGGAAGCAGGTCAGCATCACCTCGTCCGTCCAGCCAGGGAAGCCTGCAATATACGAAAGGGATAATAAGTTATTAAATATATTTTACATATGTTATTTATAGAGAAGAATGTCAGTAATTTGTGGGAAGGAGGTTGCTGTACCGACGGTGACGATCTTCTGGAGAATAGAACGGATGAGGCCATCGCAGAAGGAAGTGTTGTATTCGATGCTGGCATTGGCGTAGACCGACGCCACCCACAGGAAGGCCTGCAGATTGCCTGGGTCCAGCTCCACCTTGAGTCCGCCCAGCATGATGGCGTTGAGCGGAGCGATCATCTAACGCACGACACACACAACACACGATTCAGCACGCAATGGGTCAGTGAGTGGTGGAGCTGGGCGACAGCAAGCGGTGGCGGCTTATACCTCCTCGTAGGTCTTGACGAGGGGCTTCTTGATGGTGGTGTTGTTGCGGGAGAAGATGAGTCGCGCAAAGTGCTCGGGGTAGCACGTGAAGCAGCCCAGGATGCGGATGCAGGCGTTGCGGAGGATGGCGCCGTGGCCGGTCTCGGGCAGGATGCGGCCGATGGCGTGGATGTAGGTCGGGATCAGCACGTGCGAGCCCGGGAACTCCGATTGGAACAGATTCACCGTCGAGTGGAGGATCACTGTCGACACCAGCAGCGGGTGTTCCGTCGAGAGCGCCTTCTCCAAGCCTCTGTTGGTGGCCCATGATGTGAGATATAAGACAAATAATAATAACAATAACAATAACAATAAATAATAAATGCGAACCGATAGAAGTAGGCGAGGTAGAGGGGGTTGAATTTGGTCCTGCTGCGGCTGCTGAGAATGCTCAGCGCAGCTTCCAGTGCCGCGGCCTTGCCCTTTTCGAACCTGAGACAGGTGACCATGCATTGGTCAGCGCGTCCGTGTGTGCGATGTCGGGGTTGTAGGGTTGTTGCAGAGCATGACGGTACCCATCGCGGTAGTTGTTGATGGCCTCGAAGATGAAGGCGCCCACAATGTGGAGGATCGTGTTGCCATCGGGCTGGAGCAGCTTCGACTCGGGGTCGAGGTCCTTCTGGCCGATCTGGAGGAGTTGGTTGGCCACCTGCCCGACGCCCTTGATCGCCTCCAGGTAGTTGGCGGGGATGGGGATGGTCTCCAGGTCGCCCAAAAGACCTGTTTGTCGAGTGGGGCGAGGTGAGCGCTGAGTGCCTGAAAGCGCACGCGTAGGAGAGAGCTGTGAACGTACGCAGCATCCGTTGCCAGGCGTAGACGACGTAGTGGTCGGCCGAGTCGTTGATTTCGGTCGTGTCGCCGTCGCTGCGGAGTAGTGGCGGAGGTCAGACATCGCCCGTGCACCAACACTCGAAGGACCCATCCGGGGACGTACATGGAAATGACAATGTTTCTGGTGCCGACCGTTGGGCCATACATGATGCGGGTGATGCGATTGGTCAAACCCAGCACCACTGCGTTCCATTGCCTGATAACACAGTCTGCGTCAGTGCACTACTCGGGCCGGCTCAAACTGTGTACCTGTGCGGTGTGTGTGCGGTGTGCGGTGCGGTGTGCGGTGCGGTGCGGTGCGGTGCGTACTTGATGGCAGGCATGCGGTGGCGCCAGTGCCAGATGAGGTCGCGCAGGTTGTCCCACATGACTCCAATCATGCCCGAGCGCAGCCACAGGCTGAAGAGGACCTTGAGCAGGGAGGGACACAGACGCTCGGCCAGGAGGTCGCTGCCCTTGGGCTGGCCGAGCAGGGAATCGGTGATGCCGAGCACCACCTTGAGCAAGTGCTCCCACGTGTCCTCCTTCAGCGGCACCTCGCTGCCCACGTTGGCGTAGATCTCGAGCACGTTCTCGCACAGTCGCACGTGGTGGTTGAGCAGGCTCTCGCCTCCTCCGTCCTTCTGCTCCTCCTCCCCGGCTTGCGGTTGGAACAGCAGAGAGAAGTGGTTGAACATTTGCTGTTGGCCGTTCAAGTGTCAATGATTGGTTCAGCTTCGACACGGTGTGCACACGGCGGGTAGTTGGTTACCTTGAAGAAGTACTGGTGGACTTCGAAGTCGTCCTTGATGGGCGGAGGGATGAGGCGCTCGTCGTCACCCAGCAGCCACCTCCGGTAGAGCTCCGTGGCGCCCGCAATGATGTCGATTGTCTCGACCTGTACTCACACATGACACAATGCGGACACACAGCGTGAGCGACACCGGGGCAATTGAGGCTGCAAAGTGGAGTTGGGGGGACCTTGATGGGCAGGCCGAAGGACTGGCCTACAATCTCCATGATGACGCGTACGTGGTTGGCGCTCTTCAGGGTCGCGCCCGGCAGCGGCGAGTTCCCGATCAGCACGCGCACGATCTGCTCCCCGCCGAAAGTGTGAGTACGACCACCACCGCCCAACGACACGTTCGACAGCGAGCGTTGCGGGCCGGCGCTGGGTGCAGAGGAGGAGCAGTGTAGGAGGAAGAACGGAAGGCATTTAGGTGGGCTATACCTCGCCAGCCAGCACTTTCCTGGTTTCCTCAGGGAACTGCATAAACACGCTTGACTCTGCATCCATGTGAATTTAATTCAATGCATTCACACAATGGAGGTTATATCGTGAATTTGCCGTTGTCATTCGAGGCTCGGTGGTTTTTTTCCACGCGGGGGCTTCCCAAGGGAAGTACCTTCATTGTACTCGAGGAAGCCGAGCTGTGAAGCAATGAAATCCAAGAACATCTTGGGCTGTTGACCGGATCAATGCGATTCTTCCTTGTTTGATTCCAATTCTACAATTCTTCAATTGCAATTCCTTTCTTGCGGGGCGCACCAAGGGCTCTTGCGCCTTAGCAGGGATTCGCAACTTTGTTCTCTTGACGCCGCCTTGTTGTATTAATAATGAGCGCCACCTTAAGTGTGGCTGAGCTTCCTCTTCGCCTTCCTGCCCCGAGGTCCCAGAGGGAGCAACGCTTGGCCGGCGGGTGGTGTTGGTACTGGCGCCAGTACCACCGGCACTGGCACAGGTGCGGGTGCAGGTACAGGAATGGTTGGTGGTGCGGGAGGTGCGTTCAGTCTGGCCTTGAGATGGAGCCGCGTTCCGTTCCTGGCTCGAGACAGTTGTAAGAGACAGGCCGGCAGTGTGCACACAGAGAGCATCAGCAGCATCTGGTACCTGATGCCAAAGTCGCCCAGGGGGACGCCTAGCGAGAGGCTCTTGCCCATCATGTCCATGTACAGGGTGCCTGTTAGGCCTGTATGAAAAGAGAGCAGGTTCAGCAGCAGGTTTCACGTGTAGGTGACCTGCGCACAATCGACTAATATACCTAGCTCAGCCTCCAGAATGACCATGATATCGTCTACCGTGTCGTAGCGTGACACGCGTACAATGTGAGTGCGGTTGTAGACCAAGATCAGAAGCTGGTACACTAACAGTGGAACGCACAGAATTAGCACAGACATCCGGCAAGAAGCATTGAATACTCGGCCAAGACGTACAGCAGCTGCGTTCGCGATAGTACGTCTTCCATGCCCCTGCTCGCTCCTGCACGGGATGTATATAGTCCCATCTCTGCTGGCTCCACTCTTTCCTATCCGAGCGTACAAGGGCATCAGATATCTGAGTAAAGACCCGGCAAGCATGTACGTTTTGGGGGGGTACCAAAGGAGGTTATCATCAGCAAGGCGCTGCCAGTTTGAACACACCAAGCGGAGGCGGTTTGAGTAACGTGGGTGCAAGTGGGAAAAGATGGCAAACATGGCCTCGTCCGGAAGCAGGTCTGGCCAGCACACCTCTTCAGGTGGTGTTTGCTGCGTCGTCTCCACGCACACGTAGTCATCCATCCTCCTCGACAAATCTTACCGCGCGAAACAGTGAACTGAAGGCCAAAAAAACAAGTTTGCCTCTTGGAAATTTCGAATGTCTACAAAAAATTTTGGCGCCTTTTTGTGCGCCACGCGACGCGGCTTGTCAAGCAGCTGGCCACAACACGATTCGCACCCGAGGGGGAGCAGCAGCGCATCCTCAATTCTTCGGGAGAAGAGCCTTTTTTTTTGTGGGAAGATGGAGGCAGACGCTTTGTCGCAACCTTTCGATATGCTCTCCATTGATTCTACTACTGATCGCGTAGCGGTCATGCCCGATCCAATGGCGGACGATTCTATGCCGAGGGAGGCAGCTGCATCTGAAGTGGAGGATCTGGTGTTCGTTGATGAGACACCCGTGCGAGATAATGCTGAAGAGGAGGATAAGATGCCAGTCGATGGTGAATCGAACAACGGGGATTCGAACCCGAGCACCTCGGCAAGGAGCGGAGGTCCAGCGCGGTTCATGATTCGTCACATCCATGGTACGACATCTGCCTCAAGCCAATCCCTCGCATTAACCGCCAGTTCTGCTCACGTGATTTGGTCTGTCGGTAGTGAGCGAGGTGGACACAGTGTTCTCCCGAGCTGAGGCAGCAATGAAGGATGTGGCGGTCGAGGACATCTTTACACTCGATCCGGAAGAAGTGTTGTGGGAAGCCAAACACAAGAAGAGCCTCAACCTCATACACTTGTGCGTTCTTCTGTTCCTGCCATTGCTGTCAACTCCTCGTCGCCTTGCCTCGCTTTTGCTTACACCCATGCCACACAGCTTCAACCAACCGTCGGCGATGGAGACGCTTTTGGCCAGCCTCCAAAACGACAACAAACCGTTCGTGCTGTGCGAGATGCTCGAGCGGAAACGAACTAGCGAGAGCCCAGAGGAGCGGGAAGCAATCGACTGCAAGATCAAGTATGCCTCGCACCTCAGGCCCCTTTGCCTTTCCACTCGCGCGTCGCTGTACCTAAAAGTGACTCGCTTTGCAGAGCTGCTCACATCAGCGGGGAGCTTCTTGTGACCGAGGCGCAGCAAGGAGGTATCTTCAACGAAGAGAACGTCCAGCGCATCTTCTCTTTCCTTTTTTCCTTTGTGTTCGTTCCGGTAAACTGCCCATTCCCCATCTGCATGCCCACGGCGTCTTGCTGATCTCGACTAACGGCGTGTCGGTAACGCTTTGTGCAGGAGAGCGAAAGCGTTTTGCCTGCACAGATCTGCACCATCATCGAGACTTTTATTGCTCGATCTCCCAACAAGGTATGCCGCACCCACCGTTCCAGCCTCGCTTCTTTGCTGACGTGTATGCCAACTTTGCTCTTCGTTCATCAGGTGATCGACTACCTGCTCACCCAGGACTCCTGCCATTTTGTGGATTGCATCATCAACCGACTGCACCAGGTACCTTCTTCCTCTCCGTCTGCACTCATCTTCTGCCGCCCCATTCTTCGAAGTCGGGAGCTTAAAAATAGTGTCACTTACTGGGGAACTACTTACAGGATGGGATGCTGTGCTTCCTTCGATCCTTCGTTTGGCTGTTGAGCCCATACTCGGCCAAGTCCAAGGAAGAACCCACAGAGCCACGGATCATGGCAGCTGACACCTTCCACCAGGTGCGGCTTACTCTCTTGTTTTGTTGAGACGCCAGCCAAATACTAACCTGGCGTATGAAACATGCCAGTGGCTGGAAACAGGACGGTTCGTGGTAAAGGTTCTCGAAGCGCTTGTCGAGCGGTCTACGTCTGCGGTACGGGCGCGGTGGATTACGGGCTTGTTATTTCGACGTGAGTGTGGTGTTGACATGGAATATTTGGGTGAGAAACAGGTGTGGGCGCACTCTATCCAGCTGCTGACCGAGTTGACGCTCATTTCGCTGCGGCACCTTACCGGCAACCTCCGACCCTTGAAAGCAGTAGAGGAAGTCATCGCGTCACCCTGGCTCAGGCAATTCTTCACGCTGACCTTCTCGCTTTCGGTAAGGGTCCTCCCTCCTTCTCCTACCAATCGATTGCCAGGCTGACTGGGTGTTATGCGATTAGGGCGACGATGACTATATCCCGGGGATCTTCCTGATGACCAAGCTGCTAAAGCACGAGGCGGTCAAACTCAAGGCGAGGCGAGGAACCAACAATTCAACAACAGCGGGCTCTGCCGATGGCGATCAACGACGAGAGTTGGACGTCGTTCCGTCTCCTCTTGCGCGACATACCGCCGCACACATCGACCACATTGCCGACATTCTTCGCGGTCCAGCTGTACGCCAAGCCTTGACCCTGGTACTTGACTCGCTCAATCGCTGACTCGTCTACGTAAACGTCTATGCGGATGTCGGTACAGGATGCAGGAAAGAGTTCCCGCCTAGGCTTTCCGCGAATGCGAACACTGGAAGTGTTGAACGCGTTTGTGTCCCTGCTGGCCTCGCATGTTGTTTTCCAAGGCGATTTCTTCGTCCTTTGTTCTCTGCCACTATGGAATGCTGTCCTGGTACCGTCCCCCCTGCCTGCTTCAAAGTCGCTCGACCAACTCCTGACCATGGCCTCTTTCCTACTAGGATCTGTTCTTCGGCTTTGTGTGTAACAATATCGCCCAGAACATCATCCGATCGACCATTGTGACTCTCTTTAGTACAACTGGCCCCGTGCAGGTCAAACTGATGGTACACTCCACTTGCTTCGCCCTAGCAGGACTATTGCCGTTGACGTTTTATACCCCCCACCAGGTACTGCAAGATGCTGGATTACTCAAGAGGATCGTGGAAGCGAACGCGGGTAACGAGGAAGATATCCGAAAGAATGCTGGACGGAGAGGGTACATGGGCGCCATCACGCAAATCGCTTCGGCGCTCGTTAACTGTGCGACCAACGAAGAGGACGTGCGGCTTGCCATGCAAAGTGCGTGCACTTTAATTTTGCACCTTAGTCTCTCTCTCTCTCTCTCGTGCGTATGGTGGCTGACGCTTCGCAAACAAAAGACAACCACGAATGGAACGCCTACGTCATGGGTACCCTGGCTGCTACTTGCGAGCTGCAAGAGTCCATCAACGAGTGCTACCAACCGCCTGAAAAGAACCCAGCGAGCTGTACGCCTGCATGCACTTTTTCCTGCCCTGTTGGCGCAGTATTCTCACCGCAACGACGGACGTGTAACAGTGGCGGCAGCGATCGCTTCGCGCGGCCTGATGAAGGCTGCTCGACTAGCGGACAATGCAACGGCCGTCAATGGGATGTCCAGGAAACCAATCATCACCAGCGCCGCGGCCGCCAAGCCGAGCGCCGCACCAACGGCGCGTGCTTCGTCGGCCATCGCCGAGGCGATCAGGAAGGCGCGGGAGGAGAAGCGAGCCACCGCCCGAGCCGCCGGCGGCAGAGCCAAGCACGGCTTTCGCAGGGGCAGCAAGGACCGGTCATCATCCTTCCCCGAGGTGGAGCTCTTCATTCCGGCCAGCATGGCGTCGACCAGCGCCGCCGACAATATTACTGGCCCGGGTGGTGAGGCTGAGCAAGCCAGCAACGGTCATTGCCAGGAGGACAATGTCGCTGTAGAAGGAGAAGCCAACGGTACCGGTTCGCAGGACGAGAAGGAGAACGCCAGGGACCATCAGTGCCTTAACGGTCAGAACTCGGTCTGAGGCACACAAGGAGACACGAGCGTAATACACTCGCGTTCGCCTTTCCTCTCTCGCTCTTTCTTTCCTTTTCTCTTCGTCAACCGTGCCGTGCGCCCATCGCGGCCGTTGCAAAAGAACGAACGGCGAAAGGAGGCTGCAAAGAAGACCCACAGCAGCCTCGCCGCCTCTGCCGGACGAACAAGACGCGAGGCAAGAAAGAGAAGAGAGGAGGCGAGTGAACCTTTTTACAAGATAACGACCAGTCGTGTTTCCCTTTCTCGGATTGTTGTCGACCTCGATCGCGGCTTCGGGTTGGCCGGGCAAATGAACGAGAATCGCTAGCTCGTGTTGGTATGAGAGCCTCGCGGCAAGCCAGGCGGAGGTTGTTCTGCTTCTTCTTCGGGGCTCCTTGTGTTCGTTCGTTCGCCCTTTTCTCCTCAGTTTGCTCGGTTCTCTCCTTTGAAGCGCGCATGGAGCGACGTCGCCCGCCGCAGCTCATCTTTGTGGGGGTGGTCTTTCTCTGCAGTCTGATCCTCTTAGTCATCGGTCCGAAGGTAGCGGCGGCGGAGAGCGACCTCCCGCTTTGCGACGGCCCTCTGGCGGCCACCACCGGCGAGCCCAGCGTGCTGTACAACTTCGACCTCGTCGCTCAGCTCTTCCGCGTGGTCGACGAGGCCGACCTCACCTCCTTCTCCCTCCTCCTTTCCGCCTCCAGTACATGCCCCCCCCCGAAACAAACCAATATCTCCATCTCTCCCTTGACCGGCCCTGTCCCAACCACGCACACTCGTGCATTCGGTCGACACAAATGGTCAACGCACCTTTCGCTTTTTGTGCTCTTCACACTTGAGGTGATCCTCATCGTGTTCTTCAACCCGCTCTTCTCTTTCGTCTTCGCTTTCGCTCTTTCGCGCTTTTGCAACGCTGACACGACGTGTCTGCTTTGTCGCGCTCATTCACAGATGAAACCGAACCGCTGGCCACGACCGCCGAAGTGTGGCTCAACGCGGGTCAGGCGCCCGGTACGCCACTGGCCAACAGCTCGTTCGAAATCGTCGGCCCCGGCACCAACACCAGCGCCGGCGTCGACGCGCTGCTCTTCCCGTTCAACACCACCATTCCCGACACGTCCGTCCGCCTGGCCGCCAACACCAGCTACTGGCTGGTCTTGACCCTCCCGTCGCCCGTGCTGCTCGGTGTCACCAACGACGCGCAGGCGCCCGACCCCGAGTGGCCGCTAACGCTGGGCGAGCTCAAGTACGTCAGCGGCGCCGGCGGCTGGACCCTGAGCGCCAGCCGCACGGCCATGGTGACGCTCGAGGGCTGTCACGCCGTGCGGCCGGAGCCGAGCCCGTCGCCGTCGCATTCCCCGTCGCCCACGCCGTCGGCCTCGCTCTCGCCCACGCCCACGCCGTCGGCCTCACTCTCGCCCACGCCCTCCGTCACGCCCACGCCCTCGTCGACGCCCTCCACCTCGCCGTCGCCGTCGCCCGTCATCTGCGCCACGCTCGCCAACAACTCGGCCGCCATCACCGCCGCCGGCGTGGAGTTTGTCGTGGCGGCCCAAAAGCTGCAGGTGGTCGACCCCAGCAAGATCCGCTCCTTCACCATCCGCCTCTCGGCCCAGAGTACGCGCCTCGCCACCTTGTTCCACGTCAGAGACTCCTTTTATTCCCTTTTTCAGGCTCGCCGTGGAGCGCGCCTACAACAATTAATTCATTAATGGTTGCACGCAATTAACGATCAATTCTCCGTGTTCTGACTGGTCGACCACTCACATCAGGCGAAACGACTCTCGCGTCGGCAACGCTGCACGTCAACAGCGGCGGCCAACCCGGCGTCGCGGTGGTCGATGCGAGCTTCAACGTCTCGACACAGATCATCACCCCAGTCGTCGACGGCGACAACCAGACGCAGTCGGTCGCTTACACGTTCGAGGCCGCCAGCGGGCTGCCAGGCGTGAGCCTCGGCTCGGGCACCTACTGGCTCGTGGTGGCCGCCAGCGACTCTCAGACCCTCGCCGTCGACGTTACCGACCCCTACGCGCCGCCGGTCGAAGACGCGATCGTGCTGGGCTCGCTCGCAGTCGACGACGGCGTGAGCGTCGGTCTTGTCGACACGGGGATGGCGGCGGTGGTGAGCTTCGACGGCTGCCACGCAATCCGACCGTCGCCGTCGCCCTCCCGCACGCCGACGCCGTCGAGTTCGCCCTCGCCTACGGCTTCGGTGTCGCCATCGCCCTCGCCCTCGCCATCGCCAGTGATCTGCGGCACGCTGGGCAGCACAAGCCTGGGCACGGCCGCCTCCTCCGCGCTGCCATTCAACACCATCGCGCAGCGGATACGCGTCTCCGAGGCCAGCAGTGTTCAGTCGTTCACCGTCAACCTCGCGTCGAACCAAAGTACTGTACACGCATCACCGCACACGCACCACCGCACACGCACACGCAGGCATTCAGTACTGACGAGAAGGTAATCATAAGATGACAGTGCGCTGGCCACGGCCGAGTTCTACAGCGACAGCATGGGTCTGCCGGGCGACGCGGTACCTGATGCCGCGTTCGATGTGGCCAACGTCACCGTGCTCGGCGGCTCACCGGTGTCGACCGCCTACACATTCCTCTCGGTCCAGCCCAAGGGCGCGCGCCTGCTGGGCTCCGCCCCCTATTGGCTGGTGCTGACCGCCGCGGGGGCAGCGACCAATGAGTCGACGCTGGTGCTCGACGTCGTCACCGACGCCCAGGCGTCCAACCCGCTGGACCCGGTCTCGGTCCGCGTCAACCGGGTGGCCCGCTACGATGCGGCGGCGATGACGTGGGCGCTCGACGCCGGCAACGTCACGGCCGTGCTGCGTATGGAGGGCTGTCACGCCATACGCCCGACGCCGTCGCCCTCGGCCACGCCCTCGTCGACGCCCTCTAACTCGCCCACCTCGTCGCCCACGCCCAGCCGCGCGCCGGACGTCACCCCCATCGTGGCCAACGTCACCAGCAGCTTCAACGACAGCGCACCCGTCGTCGACATCTCAGCGCCCATCGCCAGTACGTCACAGACGCCTTCATTGTGCACATTACATCAACTGTTGTTTGTGCTAACGACCCTCAACTGCGCAGCGCCGGCGCCGACCATCGCGCCATCAGTGAGCCCGCAGGCGAGCCAGCAAGCGAGCCCGATTCCAACGGACAGCGGTGGGCCCGTCACCACCCCGAGCCCCTCGCCCACCACCAGCGCGGCGCCGTCGCCGGTCGTGCAGGTCTCCGTCACCTCGCGCTTCACCGACATCACCATCGGCAACGTGACCGTGCCGGCCAACGCACTCGGCGGCTTCACCCTCAGCGTGGTTAACTCGACCGACACCGCGCCGCCCACCACGAACACCACCACTGGCGGCGGTGGTGGTGAAGGCACTGCGGCGCCGCTGACATATGTGTACACGGCGCAGCTGGACAACGCGACGACCTTCGAGCAGGCTTACACGTTCCACAAGCGCCCGCGCGAAGCCACCTTCGCCAACCTCAACTTCTCGATCACGGCCAGCTCGCTCAAGTGGTCCATCAACCTCACCTCGTCGAGCGCCGGCTCGCTGGTGCGCAGCTCCCTGTTCGGCGCGTCGCCGTCGCCGTCGCCTTCGGCCTCGCCGTCGCCCTCCGCCGGAACCTTCCACGACGATGACGACGACGATCACCCGACACCGAGCCCGACGCCCGCCATGGGTCCACCGCTGGTGCTGCACTACAACTTAAGGGGGCTGCTTACGTCGGGCCAGGCGTTCAACACGACGCGCGGCCGCAGCGGGGTGATCCGTCGCAACAGCACGCCGCAGGCCAACATGACCACCTACTACCTGCCGCTGGCGTCGACATCGGCCCTCAACACCGTCGCCGCGCAGGTCGAAGTGTTTGACGTGGCGCTGCTGGACGGTCGCCTGGCGCCGATCGAGCACGACATCGTGCTGCTCAATTCGACCAACGACATCGACGCGGCGGCGCTCGACAACTCGATCGAGTACGTGCTCGAGCTGCGATTCCCGCCCTTCGAGGCCTCGCTCTACTACGACCCGAGCCTCGGGCTCGGCGTGCTGGTCGGCTCGGACCCGTCGCACGACGGTGGCGGAGGCGGCGGCGGGTTCGCGGACAACACGGGCCTCGTCGTGGCGCTGGCCGTGGTGCTCCCCCTGGCGGGCCTCGTCGTGGTGGTCGTCGTGGTGAGCGGCTTCATCGCTCTCCGATACCGCAAGCGGCTCCAAGAGCGGCTCGCCCGCAAGCAGCCTCAACAGGGCGCCGTCTATTTTGATGACGAATTGTAGTATTTGGGTTCAAGACTCGCACGACGTCGTGCGCAGTGTGTACATTTTGAAAGTAGTAGTGAAGAAGAAGAAGAAGAAGAAGAGGAAGAAGAAGAAGCGCACAGAGAGCAACTCCAACACGTTGGGTTCATGCAACTCGAGCTGTCAATCGCACTCCCTCGTGCGGTGTGGTCACATGTGCGCGTGGGTTGTGTCGACTTCATTTCGGAGTCCTCCGGGGGCTGCAACGCCGGCGGGGCGGTAAAGGGTGGGTAGTTTTTGTTCTTCGCTTCGCTTTCCGTGTGTGAGACCCGCTCCGTACCCTCCACCGCCGCACGGGCCAGCCATAGCATTCGAATCGCACCAATTTCCATTTCCGCTTCGAATCGCTGCCATCTCCCACGACGATCGATAAGATATAACATTCATCACGAACATGGACGCATTGGTATCGCTTGTCGAGCAGCACAACGACATGCTGCTGTCGTATTCCATCCCAGCGGTGGCCATCACGGTCTACCTCAGCACCATCGTGGTGCTCAAGCTGTGGATGTCGACCAGGGAGAAGCCCTTCAAGGTGCAGAGCATCTCTGCTGCCCACAATTTCTTCCTCTGCGTCCTCTCGCTGGCGATGGCTGTCGGCACCTCCTACGAGGCGTTCGTCGTGCGCGCGCCCCAGATCGGTCTCGGCGAGCTCTTCTGCTCTACTGATCGCGAGGAAGTCTTCAACAACCGCCTCTGGTTCTGGTGTGTCGTCTTCTACATCTCCAAGGTACAACATCCCGTCCGACGATTCATTAGCGCGTTGTGTAGCGCATTATATTACAAATTCAACCATCATGAGAGGCGATCGCAATCAATTTAGGAATTAATCATCATTTGAACTCCGTTTACAAATTGCATTCTCAAATTTGCACTGATTATTGCCATTACGCGATCGATTGGTTGCCGAAGTGATCGGAATGCTCACCGTGACCTCCCCACTGATGTTCGCTTCCGCAGTACTACGAGTTCTTCGACACCGTCATTCTGCTCCTCAGGAAGCGCCCTCTGCTCGTCCTCCACGTCTGGCACCACTGCTCCGTGAGCGTCCTCTCGCTCGTCTTCCTCAGGTGAGTCTCTCCACCACACCACCACCACACTAGCATAGGGTCGCTCGAACGAAGCTGACTCACTTGACACGTCCATGTGGAATGATTGCAGGGCCAACATGACCTGGTTCTTCACCGGCGTCATCATCAACGGCGCCATCCACACCTTCACCTACTACTTCTACTTCCAGAGCAGCCTCGGCAACACCGTGTGGTGGAAGAAGTACCTCACCCAGGCGCAGATGGTGCAGTTCCTGTGGGGTATCGCCTCGTGGCTGCCCTGGCCCGTGCTCTGCCAGCACAACAGGACCACCGAGACCGACTACGTCGTTGGCGCCAACTTCCTCATCCTGGCCTCCTTCTTCGCCCTCTTCCTCAACTTCTTCAACCACACTTACACGCCCAAGGCCGGTGCTGCCGGAGCCCGGGACAGGAAGCAGAAGAAGGTCGAGTAAAAAAGCAGAAAGAAGAGGCTCGAGCTACACACGACTCGTGTACCACTGCACCTTCTTCTCTTCTTCTTCTATCACCATCACCCTCATCTTGTTGTACTCAGCAACCCAATTTTGGTCTACTGTTATTAATTCCCTTCGCTCTTTATCTCTCGCATTTTCTTTCCTTTCGATCCGTGACACACACCAAAACTGGACTCAAGAAAAGAAGATGGAGAAGTATGACAAGGTTGTGCTGTTGCTGATCGACGTCCAGCGAGCGTTCTTCAGCGACATACCCCCCATCGGGGCCGCCTTCCCCGACTTTCGGCACAACGTCGAGCGTCTGCTGGGGCTGTGCCGCAGCGACGAGGTGGGTATCGAGGTTGTCCATGTCCGGGCCGTGTACAACCCCGAGGTGAGCGCATGGACAGCCTACTGGCACGCCCTCAACCCGGACAAGAAGACCGTCGTGACGGAAGAGCCCGAGGACTTCACTCGCGAGCTCCCGGGCGAGAAGGTCCTCCACAAGGTGCGCCAACGTTTAGCCCAAATTATTGTTACAGCGAAAGGTTTGGTTTTTCCTGATTTTTGTTTTATAATTATTTTTTTGCTTGCTCAAAATTAATTTATTTTTTTTTAAAAAAAAAACAGAACAACTTTGATGGGTTCCTGAATGCGGAGCTCGATAAGTACCTGAAGGAAAAAGGCAAGACTCTGGTTGTGTGCTGCGGCCTCATTACCTCTTGCTGCGTCCTGTTCACTACCAGCGGTACGCCACTCGCTCTGTTCGCCTACGCGGGTGTTAGTGGCATCCTCACGTCACAATCCCTCGCAGGCGCGTTTATGCGCGGCTATAAGACGGTCGTGGTCGAAGACTGTTGCGGCGATCGCACTGTGGAGAAGCACGATAACACAATGAACACCTATGGCCACGTATAAACCTTGAAGGAAGTGGTGACGATGTCTATTGTGGGATCCTTGCTAATCACTTTGTCTCTTTGTCATCAACAGTACATGTTCACTCGCGCCACCGTGGACACCCTGCTGGCTACATGCGACCGGCTTCTTACTCTGTAGTTACCTCTCGTCGTTCAGCATCGACAGCGCCAGTCAGCCCCAGCCCAAGATGAGAGAAACGGCGTCGTTTCTAAAAAAAGGACTTCCACGGTCAGAATTTCCTGTTGGCTAGAATTAAATTGCAGAATTAAATTGCAGAATTGAAGCCAAACGTACCCAAGCCCAACAGCCTGAGAAGCCCAACATCAGGCCCCGACCTGGTACAGAGGTGTTACTTCTTTCTCAAACACTTTTAACTTAGTGCAACACGGTTTGCCCCCCCCCACAGACATGTCGAGCGAGGATGACATTGAGCTGCATGACCGCCACGACCCCGGCCGCGACCGCGACCACGACCACCACAAGGGGGACCGTCTCCGCCGCTTGGGCCACCTGGTGCTGCTCGGCCCGAGAGAGAACGAAGGGTCGGACTACGTCCACGTCTACTCCCTGGCCGAATGGCGAGACTCTGACTTCTGGCGAGCCCTGGTTGCCGGTGCGCTGCCGCCCTTTGAACACCCGTGCGCCACGTTAGGGTTATCTCACGCCACAACCACGAACAGAGTGCCTGGCCACCAAGTTTTTCGTCTGCTTCAGCATACTCATAGTCCTGTCGGCCAAGCAGTCGTTTGAGGTACTCCCAGTGAAGAACTTTAGGTGGCGCAATGGCGCTTGCAGATAACATGATCTTTTTGTTGCAGACGAGTCCCGCGGGCGAACATGTGTGGGTCATCGTGTGCCACATGGCCCTGATCCTTATCTGCATTTACATCTTTGCACCTATCTCGGGTGCCCACTTCAACCCTTCCGTCACAATCGCCGTCTTATTCTGCCGACGTATCACCGTCCTACGGTGCCTGTGCTATCTTGCTGCTCAGCTTGGTACTCCCTGCTCCAGCAACTCCAACACCCCACGACAGCGCTAATATGCTGGGTGTCCTGGAATGCGGCGTTGGTTGGGTGTGGTGTGCGTGCAGTGGGAGCTATCGCTGGAGCTGGCCTGGCCAAGCTGGCGCTCCCAAGTGACAAGGAAGGCAACCTGACGGTGCCCACACTACCACCTGGCACGAACGCTGGTGAAGGATTTCTGATGGAGGTACTAAGCCCACCATGATGGTGACCGCCTCTTGATCTCACCGTCTTGAACACTGGTGCACAGTTCTACATGACGTTCGGTCTTGTGTTTGGGTCTTTCGGCACGGCCTTTGATCCGCGAGGCTGGGGCAAGCTGGGGCCAGTGGCGATTGCCATCATTGTGGGAATCAACATACACGCCGGTAGCATCGTTTCTGGTACATGTGCCACGCTCTCTCTTAATCGTGTCTCAGCCAACTGATTAGCTTCCCCCAGCAACGATGAACCCGGCCCGCGCATTTGGCCCTGCGGTCGTTCAGTGGAGCTGGGACGATCACTGTACGCGCCTCTATGCGATGCTCCAAAGTGGTGTGAATGGCTGATGTGCCGAGATGATGTGCAGGGGTATGGTGGGTGGGGGCAGTGGGTGGTGGCGTGGCAGCGGGCGTGATTTACGAGTACCTATTCATGCAGCGGAAGAACGCACGGTACCTCGTGCTCACCTTCATGAATCACGAAGAGAACAGAAGTGACCTTTCTCTCGCAGGCCAAAGGGAGTCCCCTCGACCTCAGGCGACAACCACGAAGAGAAGAAGACGCGCTAAAATGCACAGCACACCGAGGAACGGAGTAAAAGAGCCGTTCAACAACGTTCAGCCCCAGCTATGCCATCTGGTCACCTCTCGCAATGATTCAAAAGGGCCTCACAGCGGTCGCAGTGGAAGCTTGGGCGCCGTGTGGGACGGCTGTTCCCGCAACAGTCACCAATTAAAAAAAGAAAGGAAAAAAATGCGGTCGACACAATTGTCAGCCACAGGCAGCTTTGCTGGCACGTCCTGCGCTTTGCTGAAAAACACGGGAAGAAGATTGATTACAACCGATTCGAGTAGCCGATTAGAGTAGAAAACAACACAGACAGAGCACACAAGATGTTGAAGGTGCAAATCAAAACGATTCAGCAACAGCAGTTCGAGGTGGAGGTTCCAGATACCGCCACGGTACACCGCTCATCTCTTTTAGAATTCCATCTTGATTGGGCGAGTATGACATGCGAATTAGATCCTAATTACTTGCACAATGGCAGGTACTTGATGTGAAAAAGAAGGTCGAGGCACTGCGTAGCGAGAATGTCGCTTGGCAGAAGCTCATCTTCGCTGGAAAGATTCTCGCGGATGATGCCAAGATCAACACCCTCAACATCAAGCCCACCGAATTCCTCGTCCTTATGGTGAGGAAGCCCAAGGAAGCCAACGTCGCCGCCCCTGCGCCCGCCGCCCAGCCTGCCGCCGCTGCCACTCCCGCTCAGCCAACTCAAACTGCCGCCCCCACTCCTGCCACACCCGCCGCCGCCGAGCCGCCCCGGCCCGCTCAGCCCAGCAGCGGCGGATCGATCGAATCCGAGGCCGCATCGGCTCTCGTGACCGGATCCGACTTCGAGGCCATGGTGAGCAACATCATGGAGATGGGTTTCCCTCGCGAGGAGGTCCTCCGTGCGCTTCGCGCCAGCTTCAACAACCCCAACAGAGCCGTCGAGTACCTCATGACCGTACGCTGCTCCCCCGACGCTTCAACTGTTGCAGTTCAGCAGGCCCTTTTATCGCTCCTTCTTGGCTCACTTTGGCTCTTGGCCTACAGGGCATTCCCGACATGCCTGCTCAGGCGCCCGCTAGCCCGGCCGCTGAACGGGCAGCTGCCCCCGCTGCTGGTGGCGAGGGTGCCGCCGAGCCTGGTTCTCCTCCCGCTGCCGGCGGCGAGGGTGCCGGTGAGGGAGGCATCTCTCTGCCCTCGAACCTTCTGGGCGCCCTGATGGGCCAACAGGGCGGTGCCGGCGGTCACTTCGAGTGGCTGCGCCAGCACCCGCAGTTCAACCAGATCAAGGCCATGGTGCAGCGCAACCCGCAGCTCCTCGGCCCGCTCCTCCAGCAGCTCGGCCAGCTCAACCCCCAGATCCTCCAGATGATCGGCCAGCACCAGGCTGAGTTCATGGCCCTCCTCAACGAGCCCATCCAGGGAGGCGCTGGCGGCGCGCCTGGTGGTCCCGGCGGTGCTCCTCCCGGTTCCAACTACATTCAGGTCACCCAGGAAGAGAAGGAGGCCATCGACAGAGTACGACTTCGCCTCTCTCGCTGTTTCTTGCTTTAGGCACTGTCTCCACGGCTCTAGCTCACGCTCTCGTCTTCTTGTTCTCTCAGCTGCAAGCCCTCGGCTTCGAACGGCATGTGGTCATCGAGGCGTTCTTCGCTTGCGACAAGGACGAGCAGGTCACCGCGAACTACCTCTTCGTACGTCCCTGTCCCTTTACCCTCGCCTCTTCTCTTAGACGCTGGCGTCTGACCTGTGTGGCTCTCTTTCGCTTCCCCAGGATCATGGCCACGAGCTTGAGATGGACGAGGACGTCGACGAGGGCTTCGGTGGTGAGGGCGGCGAGGGTGGCGAGGGTGGTGCCCCCTAAGCACTGTGTACGCGCAAGAAGAACAAAAGATCAAAGTTGTACCTACACGCCTCTTGCATTCGCTTGCGAACTTGAGGCTTTTGGGATGGAAGCTAAAAAGAAAGAGAGAATTTGTATTGATCGAGCGGAGAGGCTTGACTTGGTCGGTCAGTCTAATGCAAGTTCTGCTGACCCTCGTCTTCATCGTCGTCATAATCGGAATAGTCGCCTTCTTCGTCGGATTCGCCGTACTGCTCCTCGTCTCCTTCGCCATCGTCCTCGGCGTAGGTCTCGGGCGGCTCGTGGAAGGGCGAGTAGATCGTGAACCCGCCGTACTTGTACGAGAAGATGCCCATGTGCTTGGCCCGCTTGATGGTGGTCGCGAGTTTTCGCTGGTGCCGGCGGCAGTTGCCGTTGTGCCTCCGCCCGATGATGTCGCCCGTGGGCGTCAGGAACATGGTGAGCAGCGACACGTTCATCGGGTCCAGCACGGGGCGCTGGGCCGAGGGCCTGCAGAAGACGCACTTCTTGGCCTTCTTCATGAGCTTGTCGAGGTCGGATTGCATCTTCTCCTCGCTAAACTTGAGCATGTCAGTGGCGGAGACGAAGCCCGGGGGCTTGATGTACTTGTCGTCCCTCGTGACCTCGGGCTCGACGATCTCCTCGGTCGACTCCTCGCCGGAGATGTTCTCGACCATGGCGAGCTGTGAAGAAATAGTGGTAGTAGATGTTAGGTTCATCAACTCGCAGGGAAGGAGAAGGAGCAGACGCACATTGGCTCTGAAGGCCTGCTTCATCTCATCCAAGGTCACATTGGAGTCCTCCTCCTCCTCCTCCTTGACGTTCGAGTACACCTTGCGCTTGTTGGCCAGCTCCTGGAGTGGGCAGAAGAAGAAGAAGAACGCAAGCGAGAACACACACCGCGCCAGTTTAGCCAGCCACGAGCGACATGATATCACATCCACCACTGATAGCCGTGTCCGTGTCGATCACGCACCTCGTTCAGGTACTTATCGAGTCTCTGCCGCCTGAAGGCATCGCTGACCACCCGACCGGAGAAAGCGTGGCTCTTGTTGCGGAAGGGATCCTCTCTGAACTGGTGGTCGGCCTTCTCGGCCGCCACCGCACGCGCCGTGAACGGCCGCCATGCGAGCACTGAGCCCCAGCGCCGCGCGCGTTAGCAACGTTGCGGTGGCTCGAGCACACCACTTGTGCACCACCACAAGCGACCGAGAATTGGCCGAGCAGAGAGAGAGGGTGCACCTTGCTGCAAACGCTCCTCGTCGGTGGTGCCCTGGTACCACTTGGGGTCAAGCATGACGTAGGGCATCTGGGTGGGCCTTCGCGTCTCTTTGTCGAAGGTGATGATGCGAGAGGGTGCGGGCCGAGCCTCGTCGGGAAACAGGCTCTCGGTGAGCTGCATGCGAGGATTCGACAGGAAGATCTCCTCCAGCTTCTCTATGCCCTCCTCTGAATCCGCTGGAGTAAATGCAGATGAGAAAAATTGAAACAAATCTCAGCATCAGATTAAGGGCCGGTACCAGCAGCAGGAGCACGTTTGAGAACCATTTCTTCGATGTGCTTCAATTCCCTTCGTACTGATTCCACCCAGCGAGCGTAAGCCTCGCTCCTTTCCTTCTCCTCAAAGGCGGCATCGCTTTCGGTCTGGACTTCTTCGGTGGGCGATGCGTTGTCCCCATTCTCACCCTCAGCGGAAGAGATAGCCCACAGGGCTCGTGTAGAAGCGTGAAATGGCCGCTGGGACGAGGCAGTGGCAGATGAGGAGAAGATGTGGTTTGATTGCGGACCGCCAATGCGGATGGGGGCGGCTTGTGGCAACGAAGGCCGCAGCACTGCCGCCCGCCTTCCACCTCCACGAAGCAGCAGATTCGATCGGGCAGCACCGCGCATTTTCCTCCGGTAATCACAAATCAATTGATTATGCCTTTTGTCCAATTTTTGTGTCACAGGAAAAGCTCGAAGCAAAACAAAGAGAAAATCATTTTCTTTTGAGGAAGACCAGCTTGGTTGGTGGTGGGAGGTGTGGTTCACTGAACGCCATATGGCTGCCCTGGCTGCTCGGGCATAAACGATTTGTGCTGTTGTGATGGACGTGCTGCCGCCAGGTGCGCACCCCTCTGTGTTGTCTGCGCTTCCGATGGCTGAGGTGGGTAGAGGTGCTGACAATATAAGTGCTTCTCGGTTGCTTTGCGAAGAGATGGTGGGGGCGGTGCTCTCGTGGCTGCCGGCGGAGTCGCTGGTCCGGAGTGGTCTTGTGTGTCGCACCTGGCACCAGGCCGCCTGCGACGACGCCCTGTGGCGTAACCTGCTCGTTCGCGACCTGGGCGCCGCGCCTGTGGTACTAGCCTACTGCAATCAGCCCTGACTCGCTTCACAACCGCTACCCTAACGTTGGTGTACCATATGCCCATCAACAAGGGCCTCGGGGCGGAAGGTGTAACAGCGAAGGAAGTCTACTGCCTGCACGCGCGAGGCGCCAGCGTGGTGGTACCCCTGTGGGGCCATGTCGACAGCGGAAAGACGACGCTGTTCAATCTGCTCCAGCAACTGTCCGCCATCGCCAACGGGCTGCCTACCATGGAGGGCAACACGGGACTCGTGCGCCAGGTGCTAAGCAAGCCGTCCAACACCACCACCAATCCGGGCCGGTCGGTCTTTTTGTACTGGTATGGTGGTGCCATGCCTGGTTTCTGTTGCGGCCTCCACCAGCCAACCGCAACTGACGCGGTCGGTGGTGGTGAATCGTTCCCCTAGTTCGACCCATCTCAGAGCGTCGCGAGACCGAGGAATCACCATTCACTACCAGGAAGGACGGAAGGCGATTCCTCTGGCCGCCAACCTCCGCGCGATGCTCGTCGACATGCCTGGTGCGCTCCCGCCTTTCAATTCGTCTCTCCCTCTCCATTGTGCGGTAGTGCGTGCGCGTGCGCTTGTTAGCTGTGCGTGTCGTGCGTGTCGTGCGTGTCCTGCGTGTGCGTGTGCGTGTGCGGTGTGCATTGTGTACGCGGAAGACCAACCTCAACAGCCAGGCCACAGCGATTTTGTCAAAAATGCCATCACGGGTGCCTTCGGTGCGCACTGCGGCATCATCGTGGTGGCTGCAGGCCAGGGCGAGTTCGAAGCCGGCTTCAGCCGAAACGGCCGCACAAGGGAGCACATCCTCCTTTCGTACCTCCAGGGCTGCCGCAGTCTGATCGTATCTGTCCCTCTCTTCCCCCCGCCAACGTTGAATTGGACCACTGGACCATGTGATGTGGGCATCGATAGCATTCTCACCACTCTTTGTTGGGCAACCGTGTGCAGGTGGCGGTCAACAAGATGGACGATCGGACTGTTGGTTGGTCGCAGGCGCGCTACGACTCCATCCAAACCGAGGTGCGCACTCCTGCGCATGCTGGGCCATATTATGGGGCGAGGACCTGGTTTGCAACTTGGCTTTGACGAACGATGGTTCCAAGGTCCTGGACCTCTGCAAGCGGACGGGCTTTGCGAGCGACCGCGTGCGCTTTGTGCCGATCAGCGCGTACACGGCGGACAACGTCATCACCAAGTCGAAACACATGGCCTGGTGGACTGGGCCGACTCTCCTGCAATCAATGCTGGAGACCATCCAGACCCTGCCCGTCTGGGCCAACCCCCGACGCCGCCTGGCGCTGGTACGCACCAGCCCATCACTGCTCTCTCTCCAAGAGCCCGAGAGTGGTTAGTCTCCAATCATCATTTGGCCGCGCGCGCAGACGAAGCAGCCCTTGCGTCTGGTGGTACACCGCAGCACGACAGTCAGTCGACGGGCTGGCAAGGTGCTCCTCGAGGCATCGGTCGTCAGCGGCCGAGTCAAGGCCGGCGACAAACTATCGCTGCCCGCACTCGGTATCGCCCCCCCCCCACCAACACGGTCCGCTTTCGCGATTGTGCACGTTGGAGCCTGACTCCGGCTCGGGTGTGTGGTGGCGCGGCTGCAGGCCTGCAGGGACTGGAGGTGCTGTCGCTGGAGCAGCTCAACAAGCCCATCGCCCGAGCCGAGGCACCCTTCGACCGGGTTGGGCTGATGGTGAAGCTGTTGGAGCTCACCTCGAAGTCGGGCAAAAAAGACCTTGACATGGGCTACCAGATCCAGGCCAAGTGCGCTCCCATTCATTCCCATGTTCCGATCAGGTCCATATATGCTGCGGCACACACCCCACTCATCTCACTGGCGTGTGGTGACAGGTATCTTCGACGCGGTGCACTGCTCACAAAGGCGGACCGCAACGTCGCCGAAGGCGCACCGGAGATGAGGCGAGTCAAGTCCCTGACCGCGCTGGTCTTCGTCGTCAATCATCCGCGAGGCATCAAAGACGGGTTCGCTGTCACGGCTAAGCTTCACTGACAGTGGGGTTGACCCCTAACCACCGCATTGCTCGCGCGCGTCTACCAGGTACAAACCGGTAGCCTGGTTCCACATGTTCAACACGGCGTGCTCGCTGCGCTTGCTCCAGGAGGTATCCCTCCTCTCGACGTATCCAAGCTCCACGGCGGCGCGTCAGGTCGTGTCTCTTAAGAGCGGGTGATGGGTGGTGCCGGGCCTATAGGTCGACAAGAAGACAAGTGAGGTGCTGAGAGAGCACCCTGTCAGCATCACGAACGGAAAGGCGTGCCTGGTGGAAATGGTGCCGGACAAGCCGCTCTGCACCGTGGTCTACGGAGAACAGCCGCCGCTCGGCACGTTCATCCTTCGTGACCTGCGGTACTGGCGCCGCCCACACAGGACACAACCGCTGGTGAAAAGTCTCATATGGTGAGGGCTGGGGATAGACAGACGATCGGGGCCGGGGTCGTGAAGTCGATCGAGTGGGCCGATGACGGCAAAACGGGTCTCTTCGGGCGACTCGTGCAGGCCAAGAGCGTCGAGCCTCCACCCGTCACTACCACCGCCTTGGACACCCTCACAGTGACCGGTAAGGCAGACCCAATGCCTAGCTTTCGGTAGCAGCGACTAATGACACCACCACCACCACCACCACCACCACCACACACACACACAACACACACGCACACGCACACACTTGCGCGTGCAGTGACCAAGGCGACGATCCAGGCGTTCTGCCCCTGGACGTACGCACCAATTGCATCTTGATGTGGTTGAGACTCGTGGGGCTGACCAATCGTTCCCTCCGCGGCTGTGCAGGCCAGGAGGAGCCAGTGTGCGGCTTGAAGTTGCGTCGCAGGACCGCGACAAGCCGGGCATCTTTACGCACCAGACTCGATCTGTCCCTGATACACTGCAGCCCGCGTTCGAGGAGTCCTTCGTCTTGTACCATCCCCTCGACACACACGACACACATGACACAAACGCACGCGCGCGCACGCACCACAATCATGGCAGCTCTCATGATGTAGTCCACGATTGTGTGGCGTGCAGCGACTCTGTGAACCCGCATGGGCTGTATCTGTGGCTCGAACTCGTCGACACCACTGCGCCGCACCGCGACTTTGGCCACCGGACGGTGCGCCTCTCGGCGCTGGCCCACAACGGCGGGGTCATCGGTGGCTCCTACGACCTCGTCAACCCGACCAAACACATCAATTCGGTCGTGATCAAGGCCCAGTGGGTCCAGTCCACCGCCAGCGCCGGGCCTCGAAGTGCGAGCAAGGCCACTTCCTCGGCGCTGGGGCACTAACAACATTTCGCACAAAAAGAAAAGAAAAGAGTTGCACGAGATGATGAAGCGAGGGAGCGCGTTGGGGCTGGCAGTTGCGGGCGCGGCCACGGGAGCAGGAGTGTGGTGGGGCATGCGAGACGCGCAGAGCCCGCTGTATCCCGGCCTCGTGATGCCCTTCCTCACCTCCCGCTTCCTCGATCCGGAGGTGTCGCATCGTCTTGCCGTGAAATCTGCAGCCCTTGGCCTCACCCCCGTGGATGAAGTATGTAAACTCTGCCTCATCTCCAGATTTAATTTCATTTAATTTCATTTAATCTGATTAATCCTTTAATTTGGCGATTCCTTGTTGATTGCCGCAGTGGAAGGACGACCCTCGCCTCGGCGTCACCGTGTGGGGCCGACATTTTGAGCATCCGCTTGGCCTCGCCGCAGGCTTTGATAAAAACGCGGTACGCTCATCTGCTGCTGGCCACAGTGTGTGCAATGTTGTGCTCATCATCTTGAGCACAACCTTGGTTCTACACAACACAGGAAGCGATGGAAGGCATGCTGGGCATGGGCTTTGCCTTCGTGGAGGTTGGCAGCGTTTGCTTGAAGCCCCAGCCAGGCAACCCGAAGCCCCGCGTGTTCAGGCTCTTTGACGAAAAGGCCATCATCAACCGCTACGGCTTCAACAGCGACGGCGTCCTGGCGGTGGCCGAGAGGCTCGACCAGTTCAGGGAGCGTCAGAAGCGGGTCATCGAGACCGCGGTACGTGCATTCGTTCATCTCGTTCACTCTGACCGCCGCACTTCTTCGAGTCATTGCCGATTGACGGAGCAGGCGGTGTGCGGGGGCAGGCGGACAGTGCAAAGAAGAGAGGACTCGAGAAGGGAGTCGTGGGAGTCAACTTTGGCAAGAACAAGGACCGCGTAATGGGCGGCACTGGTACGATTCACATCCAGTGCTGGTGATTGTGAGTGGATGATGGTGATGATCGTCGCGACGCTCACGCACTGGTTCCCAATGGTCAGACGGTGAGGGTCTGGGAGATGACTACGTCGAGCTGATGCAGCGACTGTCGCCCTATGCGGACTACCTGGTCATTAACATCTCGTCACCCAACACGCCCAACCTTCGTCTGCTGCAGGTTCGCGTTCCACACACGCACGCACACGCACACACGACGCACACGCACGCACGCACGCACGTATGGCTGACTGTGCTCAATCGTTGTTTGCTCTGCAGAGCGGGAGCGAGCTGCAGAAGATCCTCGAGCAGGTGATGGCGGAGAAGAAGCGAGCGGAGGCGGCGAGCAAGTCGGCTACGGCCTATCCGCCCGTGCTCATCAAGATCGCCCCCGATCTCACCAAGGCCCAGGCCGAGGACATCGCGGCTGCGGCGCTCAAGTACAAGGTCGACGGCATCATAGTCTCCAACACCACAGTCTCACGGCCGCTGCGAGTGCACAACGAGCAGGAGGTACTCATTCTCTTTTGTCCATTGGCACAATATCTTGATCAATTTATTTATTCATTTATTTGTTTATTTCATCAGGAAACGATCGCCAAGGAAGCCGGGGGACTGAGTGGCCGACCGCTGCTTGAGATGTCGACACAGCTCCTCCGCGACATGTACCGCCTGACCGAAGGTACGCCGCTGCTTCTTCACCACCTCGCGTGTGGAAGCTGAGGGCTGACCGTCACGGTGCAGGCCGCATTCCATTGATCGGTGTTGGCGGTATCTCGAGCGGGAAGGATGCCTACGACAAGATCAAGGCGGGCGCTTCGTTGGTGCAGCTCTACACCGGTACCTTCATCTATCTGGCGCCCGTTCGACTGTCTGAGGCGTGTTGTCTGATCGTTGTGTTGTCGTCCATAACCAAGGTTTGGTGTACGAGGGACCCGGGCTGGTGGGCCGCGTCAAGAAAGAACTGGTGGAGCTCCTCGATCGAGATGGCTTCCGCACCATCGAGGAAGCCGTCGGTCATGATCACCACAAAGAGGTGGAAACCAAGTGACCCTCCTACGCAGGCCTCAAGCTTGCCCAACAAACAAAAGCGGAGTTGCGAGCTCCGAATTCCAGGCATTTCTTTGTCCGTTTCTTGGCGACAAGACGCCTTTTCTTTGTTGCTCTTTTTTCTTTGTTGTCGAGCGGACCCAGCCCCCTTCGTTCTCCCTTTGTTGTCAAGCTGCGTCGATTCACGCGCATCCGTACCTCAGGGTCCTGCTGCACCTTCGCCCAAGTCTCAGTTCAATCGACATCCTCTCCATCCTACCACCTCTCGTCTTCATTCACCCCAATTCTTCTGCATTCGAGGATTCGATCGATACATTCAATGGAGAGCGTTCAGAAGCCGACCGTGATATTTGTGCTGGGTGGACCCGGCTCGGGCAAGGGCACCAACTGCGCCCGCATTGTGGAGGACTTTGGATTCGTCCATCTGTCCGCCGGTGACCTGCTGCGCGAGGAGCAGGCCAGCGGTTCGCAGCATGGTGAGATGATCAAGAGCATGATCAAGGAGGGCAAGATCGTGCCTTCGGAGGTCACCGTGACCCTCCTCGAGAACGCCATGGAGAGGAGCGCCACCAAGAAGTTCCTCATCGATGGCTTCCCCAGAAACGAGGAGAACAACCAGTCCTGGGAGCGCCAGGTGGCCCCCAAGGTCAACTTCGAGTTCGTCCTCGTGCTCGACTGCCCCGAGCAGGTCCTCGAGGAGCGTCTTCTCAAGCGAGGCCAGGACTCTGGTACAAAGCCCCACCATAATCGATTCGCTGATTGTCTGCAGATTCTACGCGATTCGGGTCTGATTGGCGTGCTGTGGGGGTACAGGTCGTGCTGACGACAACCTGGAGAGCATCAGGAAGCGCTTCCGCACGTTCCAGGAGCAGACCCAGCTGGTGCTGGACCACTACGGCAAGCAGGGCAAGGTGCGCACCATCGATTCCAACAGGGAGCCCGCTGCGGTCTACGCCGACATCCAGCAGCTCTTCGGCTCGCTATAAGCGCATCATGCACGTACACGCGCCTGCGCACACGACTGCATGTATGTACTTGCTGGCTGTCATGACCACCCTTTCCGCAGTCAATAATGAACAACAACATGATTGAAGCACTCCTCGTTTGTCATCGTCATCGTCATCGTTTTCCTCTTCTGCTCTGAACTCTACGAGCTGCTCAGCTCCCCGATCCGTCGTAGGATGTCGGCTGCGATCTGGTCCGGCGGCGCAGAGACGTCTTCTATCACAACGCCACGCTCGTCCTCCTGCAGCGGCTCCAGGGCGGCCAGCTGTGGTGGTGGTGGTACATCGTGCAGTTGGCCATCCCGCTCGAGTTGTTCAAAGAGAGCAAGAAGAGGCGGAGGAGTACTGACCTGGCTGACGAGCATCTGCTGCTTCATGAAGTGGCCTTCTCTGCGCGCCATCCGCTCGGCGATCAGTTCGCTTTGGCCCTGGAGATGCACGAACACGACGTCGTTCCTGTTCTTCTCTCTCGGTGGGTCAGCACAATGGTTTTGTCCAAGAGGGGACGAGCTCGTTCGTTCACACCTTTTCGTTGGGTCCGAGCAGCATCGAGCGGTACTTCCTCTTCAGCGCCGAGCAGGCCAGCACTGCACCTTTGCCTTGTGCGTTCCACTCGTCGATGCACTCGGCCAGCTTCTTCAACCACGGCTCCCTATCGTCATCTGTTCTGTCCACATTCACTTCTTGTTATGAGTGGCACGGACCACGAGCCGCACACGCACACCGCACACGTGAGAGAGAGGTGGTTGGCGCAAGGACCGTTGAGGGGCTGCCCGCTCGCCATTTTGTCGATGTTGGCCTGCGGGTGGTACGCGTCGGCATCGGCGAAGAGCCAACCCTCGCCCAGCTGTTGGGCCACAGCGGCGCCCACCGACGACTTGCCGCAACCTGTCCCCCCCCCCGCAAAGTGACGGAGGAGCCTTAACTATTCAATCTTACCGGACATAGAGTAAGATCTGGTGGAGGCATACCACTAACTCCCATAATGACAAGGACGGGCATTGCAAGAGAAGAAGGGAGTGCAAAGGGGACACAAGGGAGGAAGAGATGGGAAATGCCCACCAGCACTGGCAGAGGCAAAGGAAGAAGAAAAGAACACCACAACGCGACGCAAGCTTTCGGTGGGTGGGGAGAACCAAGTAGGGCAACAAAGATAAGGAGGAGGTCTGTGTTTGTAGGAAGATTCCGTGGTGCAACGGTAGCACGCAAGCCTAACACGCTTGAGGTCGCGAGATCAACACTCGCCGGAATCATTTTTGTCTGGCTTTTGATGGCTCAACATGATTGCGTTGGGAAGGGTGGGTGAGGCATTGAATCACCGTAGAATTTCATCTCCGGTTCATAGTCTACATCACTTAAAGTGGTGGCCTGCTCGTCCCTCTATTCCGAGGGGCTGAGCGGTTCCAACAATTAAACAACAATCCCTCCCTTCCTGTTCACTCTTCTCTTCACCCACTGCATTTGCTTCAAAAAAGGTTCAGGTTTCACATCAGTTCTTTTCATGATTTCCTCCTCCTGGTGTGAATTTTCCACAGGGCGCACCATCTCTCCCCTTCTTCTTAACCTGAAATGGCCAGTGGCTGTCAACTGAGAAGGAAGGTGGGAAGAGGTGGTGAGGAGGGTGTTGCCTGGTGATCAACTGTGGGGCTGGTCTTTGCACAAAGAGAGAAGGGGAACATGCAGCCATGGCCTGCTCTTAGTCAGCCATGCCAACCATCCTGTCATTGGTGGTCCATATACATCACCAGAGTGTGTGAGAGAGAAAACTGAGAGCAGAAACCTGAGAGGGCAAGGAGAACAGCTGTTACAGCTGCATACCAAGATATTGGCAAGCTTGATGTCTCTGTGGATGTAGTGCTTTTCATGCATTGTGAGGATTGCCTGGGCAATCTATGGTGCTAGTGTGATGGTCTCCAGTTGTGAGAATGGCTTACACCCCACAGCTGTTCCAGGTACATCTCCTTGTGCATGAGGATGAGCTGAGCAGCCAAAATGTTGGGGTGTGCACCAGATGGAGAGATTATAACACTGAGTGTACTGATTACTGAGTTCATTGTTGAAAGTACCTGCCACTAGGGATAGACTTTGAGGATGGCCACTGATACATGTGTGCCTGACTGGATGGTTGGATGGGGACACAAGTCTGAGGGTACACCAGGCTGGGGATTGGATGAACTCTCTTGTTGGCCACTTCTTGGCAAAAATAATAATTATTTTCATGATCCAATCACACACAGTGTTACTCCATTGATTTGCTCTCTTCTTTCTGTCCCTCAATGCCAACTGACACTGGCACATGAAATTGCACTCCACAAAGACATCACATACAAGGGGATGCTCCACACTCATGATACCACTGGTACCACTGGCCCACAACTTGTGCTTTCACAGTGACATAAAATCATCACAAACTACCCTTTGGTGGCTCACAAAACAACGCAATCATGTTGAGCCATCAAAAGCCAGACAAAAATGATTCCGGCGAGTGTTGATCTCGCGACCTCAAGCGTGTTAGGCTTGCGTGCTACCGTTGCACCACGGAATCTTCCTACAAACACAGACCTCCTCCTTATCTTTGTTGCCCTACTTGGTTCTCCCCACCCACCGAAAGCTTGCGTCGCGTTGTGGTGTTCTTTTCTTCTTCCTTTGCCTCTGCCAGTGCTGGTGGGCATTTCCCATCTCTTCCTCCCTTGTGTCCCCTTTGCACTCCCTTCTTCTCTTGCAATGCCATCTTCTCTTGTTTGAGGTGCCATTGTGCGCGACTAAGACCAAGCGTGGGCTGTACAGGATTGATATCACGACGTGATGCGTGTAAGGAAGTTGATAGGACCAATGTCCGCCAGCTTGTTGCAGAGCTGCTGGTCCTTGGTGAAGAACACGCCTGCGAACACGAGGCCATTGCCACTCAGCCCATCCATGCCCTCTCGCGTGCGTGGGACTACGAGCATCCACCGCGGCGATAGCAGCACGTTGTGGTGGCCATTGGTCTGCAGCTCCTGCTCGTTCTCTCCAGTGCTCTTGTGAATTGCCGCCAGCAGCCGCCTGTACATTTCGGCTAAGTCCCGCCCTATCATCTGTTGTTGCTCAGCGTGGTTAGGTAACCACAGTGCTGGAGTAAGTGTGTGCGTGTGCGTATGCGGTACCTGGCTGTCGGCTTCGCACAGGTGCTTGGGCAAACGGCACACAGCGTGATTGAACGGAAATTGTGGTAGCGTGAATGGTGCGCCATGGTCAGCGTGTCTCGAAGTCTGCTCGTCGAGCACTCGCAGCAGTGGCAGTTCGGTCCCGTCCTCGAGTGGAAGGGGCACCACTTGCATATGTTTGTGCGGTTGGCTGCACCACCAGACCATCATCATGACTACGTTAGACAGAGCTCTCTGGTGTGCACAGTGTGACGGCATCGCACCTTGGCCCGGCGTTAGCGCCACAATTGTAAAATCCAAATCCCCTCACGTTGTCCACGCTTCGCCAGAAGACCTCGAAGTCGCGCTCGTTGAGCGGATCAGTTTGTGGCTGAATTGTGGCGATGATGATGAGTTTGCAGGTCATCCGAGAAAGAGTAACCAAGACAGCATGTCGCACCTGAAAATCGGTGGTGACGATGAGTGCATGGTTAGGCAGCACGTTGTACTTATTGAGCACGAGGACGTGCTTTGACCGGGGCGAGTGCGCTGGCCCAACGCTAAAGTCCCACTCGACGAACAGATCCTCTTCATAGGGCGGCACGAACGGATCGCGCTTTCTGTCGCGAAGGAGGCAGTGCAATCAGCAAATCGCGTGAGGAGCTGCTTCAGCTAGCGCACTGCTGGAAGCCGCACGGGGCAGGTGGGGCACCTCAGGTTATCGGAGAGCACATCGGGCTTGTTGTACACTCCTCCCTCTGTCTTGATCCTCACGGGGAACTGTTGTGGCGCGGTAAGGTCGTCGGCTGTTGCAACGTTGAATCTGTGGCGCAAGACATGCAAGAAAGACATACCAGGAGAGGCTTCCCTCGCTCGTCGCTCGGTGCGTTGGTGTCCTTGATGAGTTGGCATCGCGTGGGAATGGTCTGCAGGGCGCCCGATCTTCGGGCGTGTAGCGACTTTTCCTCGATGGAATGGAGCAGCGAAGATGAAGAAAATGAAGAGGGGAGGGGGCTCGTGCTGAGCGGCAACGACGGCGTCACAGGAGCTAGGGTGGAATGCGGCGCGGCAGGAAGGAGAGCCGAAGAGGGGGTGAGTGCAAACGTGGAAACGCTCATTACAGAAAATGAAGAAGGTGCAGCAAAAAGCGTAGCGGCAGACTGTGTAAGTGATGTTATAGATGGAGATCTACCGAGAGATGAAGCCAGATGAGGCGTCGCGACGCCGCGAAGGCCTGCAATAGGAGCCCTCTTCATCTCCTCGGCTGGGTCGTTCATTTCTTTTTCATTTCTTTTTTCTTTTACATACCGTTGGCTTTTCGTCTTCGTCTCCGTAGCACCCGAGGCTGCAGACAAACATCATCTCATGGACTCGGGTGTCTAATGTACTTCGATAGCAAGTCCACTATTCTGTAAATCATCCACTGGAGTGAGCAAGCTTGGCATTTCGAGAGAGTCCGTGAGCACGAACCTGTGGCGCTGCAGCTTCTGTGCTATGCACAAGAGGTTGGCCTCGCCGAGGACTGACAGGTTTGGATCAGCTCCACACTGCAGCAGAGTCTCGGCCACCTCGACATTGTCCTTGACCACTGTGACAGACGGAGAGAAAAAGGGAAAGTCAGGTGCAGTGTAGTGAGGAGGGATTGGTGGGTTGCAGTACCCGCATGGGCGAGAGGCGTTAGGACGGCCGTGGTGCTGGTGCAGTTGATGTCGGCCCCTTTGGCCAGAAGCAGCTCGCAGACCTTCTTGCCGTCGGACCCACCGACAATTCTCTTCGATTTGAAGATGGCCCAGCAGACGTTGGCTGCCCTGAGTGATTCCTCGTCCACGCCTTGAAGAGTGGAGAAGAAATGTGAACGAGATGGTTTCAGAGTCCACGTTGCTGTGTTATCTTGAGGGAGATGCGCACCCGCGAGCAGGACCTCAAAAGTGGCGTAGTCGAACGATTTGCCCTTGATGTAGGCACATAGCGACGCGATGTCTCCTGTCACTCCGCCATGTACGAGTAGGTGTACGATCACGTCGTTCCTGCTCTCTTTGGCCGCTGAGAGCAAAGCGTTTTGCTTTTCACTGTAGCAATACCAGATCAGGCAATGTCTCTCTCTCTCTCACACACACGCACACCACAGAACAAAGATCTTAGGTACCTTTCGTTCAGTTCGTCCTGAAGCCGGGACAGCAGGAGGGAGACGACATTGAGGTGTCCCCTCCTAGCAGCCATACACAAGGGACTGACGCCCTCCAGGTCGACAGAAACGCCCCAGCGCTCGATGAACTCGTTTTTGGAGGCGACGCACATCACCTCATGGCGCATGAGACACTCCACGGCCTCTGTCTTGCCAGCCTACGACGTTGCAGCAACCGGTTGGTCAGTCTGCCGACCGTTGTCCCTCTTACGGGAGGCATATGTACCCAACACGCGGCGAGAAGTGGTCGGCCGGGTAGGAAATTGGCGAAGCTCCAGCGCTCCGATAGAGCGCCGTTCGCGATCAGCAGCTCCATCAGCTCGACATTGCCGTGCTCGGCAGCTTCCACGATGGCCTCGCGCTTGACCCCCAGGTACCCGCATTGCACCGGCGCCGCTCCGTACGCCAACAGCACCTGATACGTCGCACCAACTCAGGGCCAACTGTGTGTGTGTGTGTGTGGTGTGGTTATCGATCATACCCGAGCGGTGGGCACGGAGTTGGCCCAACAGGCAGCTTCCAGGCCACGGCAGAGCATGCGGAGCAGCTGGCCCTCCTCGCTGTCCTCGTCCTCCGGCAGTGACGAGGTGAGTGCCGATCGCTCGCGTCGCAGCGAGGCATGCCGGTCGAGCATGTCGTCCAGCAGACGCGCCACCAGCTGATGGCAACCCAGTCGCGCGGCCCACACCAGCTTGGCTTCATCACTGCGCTGGTGCTCCACCTTGTGCGTCTTCCACAACAGGGCCTGTTGCCACTCGTCTCGTGCAAATCGTGGGAAAGAGACAACGTCGATTATCCTCTCCTCGCGCCGCTCACTAAGATCATTATCGTCCTCGAGATCATCATCGCTTTGATCGAAGTCGTCATTCTCACCCTCGCCGTCGCTGTTGAAGTAGGAAGAGGAGGACGGGTCGGGACCTACGGGCTGCAGCGGCCCGCCGAGCATGGCCTCGTGGTAGCGGCGCCACAGCGTGGAGGTGGTGAAGATGCCGTAGAAGCGACGGCAGGCCAGCATAACACCACCTGCCTGTTTTGGGTGCAAGAAGCTGAATACCTCCAACCACAGCTCATCTGGCAGCAGCTGCGCTCCATCCCCACCGGGCTCCATCGGAAGTGCACATAAAGAAAAAAAGGTGAAACAGATAGAAAAATCTTTCCGGTAAAGCTGCGCCACATGATGGCCAGCGATGGCAGTGTGGACCTCAAGGAGTCCTTTCTGCGCCTGCAACCCCTGTGCTCACGTCTGGCCACTGCCGCCAGCGGAATCGCAGAACCGACTCAAATCGCTGCCGCCGTTGAAGATTTGAGCCGAGTTGTGCCCACTCTTCCGCCATTTGGCCTGCACCGATGTCTCGACTATCTCTTCATGCCTCTCCTCGGTCTGCTGCGCAACAGCGATGACGCCAAGCTGGCTTCGACCCAAATGGAGGGGATCTTGGGCGTGATTGAGGCTGCACTCGAGCGCTGCGGCCCTGTAATGGAGATGCAAGGAGAGATCACCTTCATGAGCCCTCGATTCCTTCAGCTCTTCCACACTCTCGTGGAAATCCTGTCGCCTCCGTCACCACCAGCTCCAGCCGCCTCACCGAGGTCGTCATCTTCGACCTCCGCTTCGCCCTGCGCGGTGGTGCTGCACATGACCAACGCAGCAAGGCCACACGAAGACCTCAAGCTGCGTGCCGTTCGATGCCTGTGTGCGCTGCTTCGCACTCGGTCCCCTGTAGCAGCAACATCAGGCACCTTCCTTCTCTCGTCCACGCCCAGGGTTTGGCCCTTGGCCTTGACCGTACTCATCGTTCATTCAAATTGTGTGTTGGGTTGCAGGCCAACCGCCGTTCATCGCGTCTAAGTCCTCGCTCGCCCTCTCGGCCTATGGGATCTCTCTGTTGATGGACGAAGCCACAACGGCAGTGAATCGCGACCTACGCGGTACACCACCCACCACTCTGCCCCTGGCCCGTTTGTGTGAAAAGGCTGGCTAACGGGGGTGCACGCAGTGGCTTCTCTCGAGGCGTTATCGTTCCTGTGCGCACGACTCGGATCATACAAGTCAGGTTAGGGTTTGCTCTTACATCTATCTTTTGCCACTCGCCGTAGAGCTAACGCTCTCGCGCTCGTAGGGGAAGCTGTGGCCTTTGTGTTGCCTGGCCTGGTGAGCGCCTTGGGCAAGGTCATGCTGGGTGACTTCAAACAAGGTGAGTCCGCTTGCGCTGGTGAGTGCCCTGTGCTGTGGAGCTCTAACGTGACGTTGGTGCAATTTAGGCCACCGTGTCGTGGAGGCCGCTGTGGATTTGTGCGCTGAGGTCGTGAGCGTTGTGATGAGCGACGAGAGCAATCGCCCTCTCATCAGCGCAAACGCATCTCTGCAGCAACCCACCGCTACCGCACAGCCCTCCGCAGATCAGGTGACTTCTCTCTTAAGCTCGCTTGCTGAAGGTGCCAAGAAAGGTTGGTTTCCGCCTGGTCTTATCAACTTGATGTAAAAGACTTGTATTGATGCGTGATGATTGCTTGGGCAGTCAACGAAGTCAAGAGAAAGGAGACAGAGGCTGGAGCGCCACCCAAGGCGCAGGCCGAACCCGGTTCAGCTGAACCGTTCACCCTCACTCGAGATCACGAGTGGCTGCAAAAGACGACATCAAACCTCCGCGGTTTGTTTGCCGACGTTTTCAGTGTGTCGAAGACCATGCTCCAGCAACACTGGTACGCCCGTGGCCGCGACAACATAGTATTGATTACTTAAGTACTCGGTTTTTGTTCGTTGCATAGGCGCGTGCGCAAAAGTCTGGCGCGATGCGCAGGCAGGCTGTTGCTCAACTGTCGGATCACACTCGACTCCTGCGCAAACTTCTTCCTGTCTACGCTGGTCTTCCTTGCCAAGGATGACTTCAACGAGGTCTCCACGACGGCTCAAGAGGAAATCAAGGTTGGACCAACCTTGCCTCTTTTATGCCGCACAGTGCCCAGTACCTCAAGTTACTGACCACATTTTCTTTTCAGATGATAAATCAAACACAAGGGGATCGAGTCTACGCCTACCTGAGCGACAGCATGCACGAGGGCCTTTTGGCCGCGCTCCCACGACACATGCGTGACGCAGACGAAAGCGCGAAACTGGCTGCCATCCGACTGCTCTTCAACCACATGTACCCTTCCTGGTTGGCGTTGGCCTCTTCGTTTTTCGCTCTTTCTCTAAGTCATATGCGCACATAGGTATCTGCTCGAGGATAAGCTAAGCCCGCTCCTCGCTTCATCATCATTCCTCGGACGGCTGTCGATTGCACTACTTCAGATTTTGGGTACCAGCACACAACCCCGGAAGCACAACGCCCATCGCTGACGACGTGGGTGGCAGAATTCGATTCGTACGATGTACAGACACACTCCGGGTCAGGTTTTCAGCGCCAGCTGGTGTACCTGGAGCAACCGAGCCATCGATTGCTCGGTGGTCCGGCAGGGAGTGGTGAAGCGGAGGAGGGAGTCACTAACCTCTATCCCAAGAGAACCTTCCGCTACTTCAGGTACCTGTCTGGAACGCTGTCCGTGTCGTGTGTGTTGTGTGTCGTGTGCGTTGTAATGCATGGTGGGATATTGATACGCGCCTACCTGGCATACAGGAGTGAAGCCGTAGAGAATGTCATGAAGATGATATGTCTGTACCTCGGCCGGTACGGCGACCTGCACTCGCTCCTGGACCACTTCTTCCAGGTCCGCTTTCCCTCTTCTTGGCCATTCCCAAGTGTGAGGCTCAACACATGCGATGCAGGTTGTCCATGATCCCAGGAACAAGCCATTCCGCAGTCAAGCCTTCTACATCATCAACAACCTCCTTCTCGGTACGCTCGTTTCTCCACGATGTGGTGTTAGTCCGGGTTGTTGTCATAGCTGACCGTTCCAACGTGTGCAGGCGCTGTCGGCGTCGGTGTACCCAGTGCCGGTGTGAGAAGCACCACTGGTCATGTCGACATCACACAAGAGGTCGAGCTCGTGTTGGAGGAGTATTTGGACGAGTCGCTCTGGGTACTACCCTCCGCGAACGCACCATCTTCCACGACTGTACAGAGGTTCGTCCCGTTCAATGAAGCCTTGTACGATATTGTAATTACTTTTCTGTAACGCATCTCTCACACCGCAGTGTCAACGTGCTCAACGAGAATGCGATCAGCATGAGCCTGTTGCTCGAGGGTATTGGTAACTGCGCACAGGTGGGCCTTAACCCTTCTCCCCCCCCCGCCGACGAATAAGGAGATGACTGATGTCGTTTTGATAGGTGATGGGACGGAGCTTCGATCAGCATCTCATGACCGTGCTTCACCCGCTCCTCGAAAAGCTTGGCGATGCGAACGGTAATTTCGTCAGTTCATCATAGTTGTGTTGCTGGCTGTAGTGACTCACCGAAGTTTTTTCTTCTTCCGGGTCCGTGCAGGTTTGGTGAGCCGATCGGCCTATGCCACCCTGCAGCGCATTTGCCACTACTGTACGCGTGTGCTGTGTGCTGTCCTCCCTACGACTATGCGCTTACATGTTCTGTTGTCAAACAAAACAGGCGAGTACACGTCGCTGCCGCAGCTCATCGCCAAGAACACGGACTACCTGATCGACTCGATATCCATGCGCATGAAGCACCTGGGCCTCTATCCCAACACCCCGCAGGTGCTTCGCGCCATTCTCGAATATGGCATACTCAAGGCCGCGGCACCAACGGCACCAGAGCGACGGGTGCCGCTGGAGGAAGGCGATAGTCAGAGCATCGATGACATCGTGTGGCTGCTCGATGACACCATCCAATCCGTTTTCAACGGTACCCCTCACCACTCGTGAGAGAGTGTTAGAAAGCGTGACCTGCTCTGCTGCTGACGTCCACACTGAATTCACAATTCGTCACAAAAGGCCTCGATGAACACAACGTCGAGTACACTCTCACCTTCTGTCGAATATTGGAGGCCATCGTGGGGGTGCTGGCGCGCAAGTACGAACGCGAAGGATGGTCGACTACGCTGGTGGCCGATGCCGACCCTCTGACGAGCCTCCTGCGAGACGAGACGAAGGAGCTCGCGCCTGAACAAAACGTCGCCCGGGAAGAATCGGTCGATGCACCAACCGCAAGTCAGGACATCGAGCAAGGCGAGCAGAAGAGCGAAGCGGAGAAGATGGCCGACATCGCGAAGTACTTCAGCGACTATCATGAAAAGAAGCAGAAGGAGAAAGAACACAACCACGACGACGACGGTGAAGAAGAGGCCAACGACAACAGTATAGAAGACGGCGCCGAGGAGGATGATCCACTGCGCTCCAAGAGCCGACAGAAGGAGCTGGACACGGTGGTGAGGATGCTCGAACGCTGCCAGCACTTCGTGTCGTCGCGTCAGCGCGAGGTGCGGCTCTCCATCCTTGAGATCATCACGCGCAGCATGACCGTGCTCTCTGCCGACCGCAAGCGACTGCTGCCGGCCGTCCACCTGATCTGGCGGCCGCTGACGACAAAGTTCGCCGAGCGCGACCGCGTGCAGGCCATCAAATCGTGGGAGGTGGTCACCGCCGGCATCGCCCTCCACGCCGGCGACTTCGTGTTCCATCGCGTCCGCGAGGACCTGTGGCCCGCCCTGCGCGATCGCGTCATCCCCGTCGACTACGCCGCCCTGCGGCAGGAGATGCGCTCGCTGGGCTCCTTCTCCCCGGCCAGCTCGCTCGTGCTGCGCTCCCAGCTGGCCCTCCTCCGCACCCTCGCCGACCTGTGCCGCTACGTCTTCGCCCGTATGCCCAGCTTCGGCTCGTCCGACAGCGGGCAGGCGCTGGCCGCGGACATGTTTGGCGCCATCTACGTCTATCTGGACGACACCCTGCCCGCCGCGCTGCGCGACGAGGCCGTCGAGCTGACCAGGCGCCTGGCGCTGCTGTCGCCCCGCGTCCGTGCCCAACTGGAGCGCATGAGCCGAGAGGTCGCCGACTTCTACACAACCAGCCTCCCCTATCCCTACCCGCCACTTGAACAGGCCGCCACCTCGTACCTCTCCATCACGACACGCTGACTCCTGCTGTGGCCCTGCTCAAGGTCTCACCCTCGTGTTCCCTTCCACAGTGGTGACGCCAAGGCAAAGCCAGCTGCGGGAGACGCCATGATCCCGCGCGTGAAGCCGCTCGACATCAAGCAGAGTCTCAGTGCCATCACTACCTGGCTTCGGCACCGTGGGCTCTAGATCGCCTCTTGCCCAGCAAAAGAGAAATGTAAAAGAAAATGTGTGAAAACCCGGTAGTGCCGGACATTTTTGTATTCCCTGGGAATTATTTTGTTTTAATATCGATTTACGTAAAAACAGATGCGATGAGATGGCGGAGGGGGACGAGCAAAAGAAGTTCGAAATCACCCTGTACATAAGCATAGCATGTGGGCTCGCTTCGTTTACCATATTCTGCCTCATCTATCGCCGATCTTTATTCTACTGGTATCTTCGCCCCCCCTCTCCCCAAACAACCTAAACCCGCACACCTCAAGAGGCCTGCATCGTGGCTGTTTGGTTGCACAGGTGGTATGCACCGACCAAGAAGCCAGTCAATAATCCGCTGCTCCTCTCCTTTTGGAAGTCTTTGGTGGCATGGATTCCTCAGGCCTTCATGTACGTCATCTTCCCACTCGCCATCTTTCTTGCTCCATCAGCTCCGCTTCGCTCTTTGCATCCGTCGTCTTCATTTTTTTTGTGGTGTAACTGTTGTTGGCCAACTGCCGCTTCCCTTACCTTTGTGGCACGCGACTGCTGCAGCTATTCGGACAAGAGAATCTGGAAGGAGAAGGGAGCAGACGCGATCATGCACATCCGCTTCCTGCGCATCTGCCTGCTATTGTGCGGAATGATGGCCCTCTTCGGCAGCGCCGTCATCATTCCCATCAACATCCACGGTACCTCACTCCTATCGCACGACACGCACGACACGCACGACACGCACGACACGCACGAGTAGTTCTTTGTTAATGTGATGGCGATCTAGGTACGACGACTGAGCAGCTTCCGGACCTGGGCTATCTGACCATCTCTAACATCGACGGCACCGACACGAAGCTGATCGCCCACGTGCTCTTCACCTACTTCTACTCGTTCGTGTCCTACTTCATCATCTGGTTCTACTACCGCAAGTACACCGACCTCCGCAAGAAGTACCTCAACAAGAACGAGGTCAAGGGGTACTCGATCATCCTCCGCAACCTGCCCACGCGCCTGCGCGACAACCAGAGCCTTCGGCAGTGGTTCGAGGACCATTTCGACGGCGTGAAAGTAATCAGCGTGCGGCTTGTCTGGAATGACAAGAAGCTTCGGTACCTTCTACCCATTCACGTGTGCGCGTGTGCGCGTGTGCGTGTGCGCGTGTGTGCGTGCGTGTGCATGTGTGGTAATTGACTCGGGTTGCGCGCACTTTTCAGTAAGTTGAGAAAGAAGCGCGTTCGGTATCTAAACAAGCTGGAAATGGCGGAGCAAGACCTGGAGGAGTTCGACAAGTTCAAGCGGCAGTGGAACAACAAGCTCACCGAGCTCAAGCGGAAACGCGAACTGCGCGAATGGGAGAACTCGCGCGACCACACCCACGTCATGGAAGTCCACCACCCGCAGTCGCCCGCGCAAGGCAAGACTGACAGCGGCGGCAGCAGCAGTAGCGAGCGGACTCACAACGACAACGACATCTCCGGGGCGATGACCAGGGGCGAGGGCAAGCACCACAACGGCGAGCTGCTGACGACCAGCGGGCACCTGCGCGCCACCATGCGCGAGAGCAACTTCATCCTCACCCTCTCCGGCGGCCGGCTGTCGTACGACACGCTACCCGACGAGCTGGAGATGGAGACCAGACCGTCGAAGCATTCAGGCCTCGAGGGTGGTGGCGGCGACAAGGGCCGGGACGTTGAGGGTGGCGGCGGCGGGCCGCTCGCCGACCCGGAGGAGAGGAGGCGGCGCAAGTCGTGCTGCTTCTGGTTCCTCTACGAGTGGCGCAAGTGGAAGTGGAAGATGAAGAATCGCACGATCCTCAAGCATTGCATGGGCGACCTCAAGCGCAACAGCGACAACGTGCCCAAGCGGCTGGCACACCTGATCGACGAAGAGGTTCGTTTGTCAACGCCCGTGCCCTCTTCTTCATTCTTCTCATCAACGAGATCGTGTGTCGTGTGTCGTGTGTCGTGTGTCGTGTGTCGTGTGTCGTGTGTCGTGTGTCGTGTGTTGCCAGATTGCATCGATCAGATATCTCAAGGCCAAGATCGCGAAGCTGACGTCGCACATCAGCGCGATTCAGGCCAACCCCGAGAAGCACCTCCCCAAGACCGGCGTGGCCTTTATGGTCTTCGACAGCATGGTGGTGCCGCGCATGACGATCCAGCCCTTCGTCGCGCCCCACGAGATGATAATCTCCGCTGCTCCCGAACCCAACGACGTGTCGTGGAAGACGCTCCACCCGCCCTACTGGCGCCTGCTTCTCACGCGCACGGTGGTCATCGTCGGCCTCACCCTCATGGCCATCGCGTGGGCCTTTCCCGCATTCATCTTTGCCAGTACGTGTCGCGCTTGGAATGCTTGGAATGCTCGTCATTCCTACTACTGAATGTGTTGCTAACGACACCACCATCGACGCCCGCACCACGTTTGCGCAGGTTTGGCCAATTTGCAATCGCTGAGCGAGGTCGACGGCTTTGGGTGGATCCAGACGGGCATCAGCGACCACCTGTCGGACTACGCCGTGTCGGTGGTCGAGGGCTTCGCTCCGGCGATCTTTCTCGTTCTGTCACTCGTGCTCGCCAAGCACATCATTCGCTGGATCATCCATCGGTCGTACGAGTACGCACCGCCCATTCCCCGCGTGTCGCACATGTCATACTCGTCGCGCTGACTGTGTGTGTGTGTGTGTCGTGTTTGTGCGTGTGTGTGTTGTGTGTGTGTCGTGTTCCAGGTGGGCCAAATCCACGGTGGAGTGGAAGACGATGACGACCTACTGGTCCTTCCTGATTATTCACGTCGTGTTCGTCTCCACCTTTGGCGGCACGCTCTCCAAGATCCTCTCAGAGTTCATTGACAACCCCAGGTCCCTCTCTCCTCCACTTGACTTGGCTCGTAGCGTTGATGCGTCTGTGTGACTTCGTCTGGCCAGGCTTGTGCAGTCGAACTGACCAATTGATTTTGATTTCTTCCACCATCGTGTGCTTCCATAGAAACCTGATCTCGCTGTTGGCGCAGGCCCTGCCGCAGAATTCGACATTCTTCATCAACTACATCCTCGTGGTCACCTTCTGCATCACGCCTCTCACGCTCTTCCGCACCCGGCAAATTCTGCAGCAGTTCGTGTGGTATGTGCTCATGCGGCCTTCGACCGTTCGACAGGTAACCCACCTTTCTGTACTGCAATTTTATTGTTTTGTTTTATATTTTGGTTTATTCTTCTTGGTATTTTTTTGTTATTATTATTTTATTACAAATTCATTTTTTTATGCTTGCTTGCGTTCGTCGTGTAGAAAGCCAAAATGTGGCAGTACCCGACCTTCGACTACGCAGGCAGCGTGGCGCAGGGGCTGCTCATCTACACGGTCACTCTGGTCTACAGCCTCATGGTGCGAATCAAGCACGCGCTCGCCGCTGTTTTGTGTCAATGCATTTCAATGTGGACAACTCACCGCCGGTCTCTCGCTCGAGCAGGCGCCACTGATCAGCGTCTTCGGGCTGTGCTACTTCATCGTGGTCTATCTGGTGGATCGCTACCAGATCATCTACACCACCCGCACCTCATGGCAGGGTACGTACGGGGGCCTACACAATACTCATTACCCTTCATTCACTGTCTGACCCCCCCCCCTTGCTCCGCGATTGTCATCGGACGCGTGCTGTGTACAGGCGGTGCGACGATGTGGCCGCTGATCTTCCACATGTTCATGACGTCCCTCATCCTCTTCCAGCTGGCCATGATCGTATGCCTTCCTCCCTCCCCCCGGTCAAACAAGCGGGGCCGCCCAAGGGCCGACCTAGTCGAACATGTGGCGCACCCCTTCGCTCACTGACTCCTACAAACTTGGCAGGGTATCCTCACGCTGAGCAAATTCGGCGGCGGAGGGGCGCTGGTCGCCCTGCCCTTCATCACGGCCGGCATCTGGGTCCTGCTCCATTTCCACTGGGTGACCGTCTCCAACAGCGGACCTATCAATGGTACGTCAACAGAGGGTCTCTGACCCCTCTGCTCGTGGGTCTCCTTCAAACTCGCTGACCACGTCTCTCTTTTCTCTCTCTCGTGTCCAACAATCCACGCCCGTAGGCGTATCGACGCTCAAGCCTCTGTCGTACGAAGAGTTCAGGAAGGCCTACACCCAGCCGAGCATGCTTGCTGTCGAGCAGGAGGACGCCAACTACGCCAAGAGGGCTGCCACAAGCACTACAGGTGCGGCCCGCCCACACCATTCTTTGCATTCTTGACGGTGTTTGTGCAGCATGGAGGGACCTGACCACCCTCACACTCCACCAGATTCGAGCTACGATCGTGATGCGTACAGCAACGACTTCAGTGATGACGACGAGGACTTTGAGCAGGAGCAGGAGCGCACGGAGACGGAACAGGACGATAGCGATGATGATGATGATGATGATGATGATGATGATGGCATCGACGACAGCTACGACAGCCCGGCCGAGGAGAAGAAGACGGCGGTGAGGGGCGGAGGAGCTCCACGCACGCTCCAGCAGCGACGGCCTGCAGCTGCGCCCACGCAACGACATGCCGCCAGCAGCGGCGACGGCTATGACTATGACTTCAGTGAGGACAGCGATGACACCACCGAACCGACCAGCCCCAACTACTTTCACGTGTGAGTTGTGGGGGCGGGGGTAGAGCAGTAAGAGAAGAATACAACATTTGAGCGATTACTCTCTCACGGGCGGGTGTGCGTGTGCATGTGCGTGTGCGTGGTGCGACTACGCAGCTGGCGTGCGTTTGACCAGCTATGGTCCACGAGACGAAGGAGAGTGGCGGCCCAGTGGAAGGCCCAGACCGCAGGCTCAGGAATTCAGCGTTGGCCAGCTGAGGTCATGGAGGGAAACATGATTTTGTCGTATTTTTTATTTACTCATTTCCCCAAGGTTCACTAAATGTGTGTTGCTGATTGGTTCATCCGAGGCACCTATTTGGTTTGTACCAAAAAGGGATATTCGCAACGCCTCTACTGCTACGAGGAAGAGGAAGAGGAAGAGGAAGAGGAGGTCTGGTCATGTGGCGCTTATCTTGCGTGGCCCTGACGGTCGTCGTGTTGACCCTCTGTCTGGGCGGAACCACCGCCCAACAACTGGTCACCTGTGGAACCGGCACCTGTGCAGACGGCTGGAACTTTGCTGCCAACGGTTACAGTGGCTACGATCCGACCTACGAAGGGGGTGTCATTGCGCTCGGGACTTCAGGAGCACCAGCGACCAGCTCCCAGACCCTCACCACTCAGATCGGAGTCTCCTACACCTACTCGTTCGATTTGTGGAGCTATCTGAGCAACGGCGAGTCGTTCATCGCCCGGTGGGGCAGTACCACCCTGCTTAGCTTGACCACCGAATTCTACCCCAGCCCCGTTACCTACACGTACACAGTCACAGCCACTTCGACTTCGACCACGCTGTTCTTCGAATACCAACAGGAATGCTGCTACTGGCTGCTCGACAACGTGTCGGTGATCCCTATCCCGTCGCCGTCGAGCACGCCCTCCAACTCGCCCACCAACTCGCCCACCCCGTCGAGCACGCCCACGAGCTCGCCCACGAGCTCGCCCACCAGTACGCCCTCATCGACCAGCACCTCGTCCCCGACCAACTCGCCGACCAACAGCCCGTCGGCCTCGCCCTCTGGTTCGCCCTCGCCCTCGAGCTCGGCCTCGCCCAGCAGCTCGCCCTCGCCCTCGAGCTCAGCCTCGCCCAGCCGCTCGCCCTCGCCTTCGTCCAGCGGTTCGCCCAGTAGTTCGCCCTCGCCCTCCCCTTCGCCGTCGTCTTCCCCCTCATTCAAACCGCCGCATCGGCGCCAGCGCTTGTTTCACAACCGCGTGGAGCGCAGCCCGCACCCCAGGACGCATTGACAATAGACGCTTCGATGAAAGATAAATACATGTTTGAAACGATGTGATTGTGCTGTGTTAACGGCATGTATGCGTACCTCTCATCGGGTGCAACCAACGATTATTCCACGTTGGCAAGCCAGTTGCCCAGGGGTTCCCTATTGCGCTGCAGGCACGCTATGTTGTGCCGCACCTTCTCCAACACCTGCATTCCCCACCCACAGGTGTACCACACTCTTCGTTCAACTCTTCGCTCTTTGTTCTTCGTTCGTTCTTCGACGGCGGCGGCGGCGGCGGCGGCGGGGGTCAATGTACCTGGGCGACCTTCTGCTGGGCTGCGGGGAAGGTCCGGGCGGCAAAGAAGGCCTGCGCGTCCTGGAGCTCCTCGGCGCTGGCGATGCCCTGCAGGAGCGCGTCGAAGGCCCCATAGTACACGAACACGCCCTTGCTGAACCTGTGTGTGTGTGTGTGTGCGTGCGTGCGTGCGTGGGTGCGTGTGTGTGTGTGTGTGTGTGTAAAATTGCTACTCACGCCACCGCGTAAGAGGCAGTCGCCGTACCGCTGGTTGAACTGATCCCAGTTGGCCTTGAGCCACGCCCAGGCCTGTCGGCGGCCAACCGGGTGCGAGCAGAGCGCCGCCAGCACAGTGGACATGTCCTGCGCCCGTACCTCACCGTTGAACAGCATGTCCTGTTGTGTGCACCACGTTGTCTCAACAACGAGACACTCGTGTCGTGCGTGTCGTATGCGTGTCGTGCGTTGGCAATGTACCAGGGTGCGGGCGATCAGTGGAGGCTTGCGCGTGGTGGCCAGTGCGGAAAGAGCCCTGTGGTGGTCCTCATGGGCCGGGTCCTTGTAGTACTTCGTCAACGCCGCGTACTCTTCCTCGCCGCCCTCGGCTGCCACCTGCGTTGGCGGCGATGATGGATTTAGCTCTCAGTGCCTGCCAAGGCGCACACCGCACCACCGCACACGTACGAGACCAAAGACGAAAGGCCGGCTCTCGGCGGGCAGCAGCGCGGTGCCGCTGGTGTGAAGCGCAAACCGCTTCTGGGCTTCGGCGATCACCGTTTCGTCACCGTTGGCCCCGAGCTCAGACAGCACCGTCGCCCTGCATAATATCCAAACATGCGTGTCATCGTGTGCGTGTGCGGCGGTGCGTGCGTGGCGCGGTACCGCAAGTTCGCGGCAAAGGTGTCCTCCTCCGGTTTGGCGTCCCATCCGAGCCGCTGCGCGTGTGCCGCAAAGCAGCGCCTGAGGAAGCGCTGGTAGGCGGGGTAGTAGGGCTCGCCCAGCAGGAGGGCGGACAGCTTGCGGAGGTTGGTCGTCAGGTTGTTCAGCACCAACAGGTCGTTCTGCGATATCGCCATGACACAGCCAGTGCGTGGCGTCAGCTCGCACACGCACACGCACACGCACACGCACACGCACACGCACACAAAGCGAAGCGTACCTCATCTTCGAAATGGGGGATGATTTGGAGGGCTCGGTGGTAGGGGAGGATGCCGGACAGGGCCTGCGAAAACAAGTCGTCGCACAGGCCCAGACGATCGATCGGAGGCAGCACTTGCCTGTCCCCGCAATCAGTAACCGCACACGCGCTGCATGGCACGACACCCGCACCTGCTGATGTTGGCGAACAGCCGTTCGGCAAGGAGAGTGGAGTAGGTGGTGCGGTAGTAGCCCTTGTGTCCGGCGTTCAGCTTGACGTGCCGGTAGCCGCCCGGCTTTCGGGGCAGCTTGACCACCTGACGCGGCTGCTCGAGCAGGAAGAAGCGTTCCTCGCGCGAGTCGTCGTGCGCCAGTGCCGCCAGCCGCACCGGCACTCGCCAGCCCGTCGTCCTCGTCGTTGACTCGTCTCCGCAGGACTTGGCGGCGGCGAACGTAGTCTGGTCGATGACGTAGAGCTCGTGGTGGTCGTCGGCGTAGTTGTGGTCGTCGTCGGTGTGCTCGCTCAGACTCACAAGCGGGAAGCCCTTGCGGTTGATCCACGCGTCCATAAACGCCGCCAGGTCGATGCCTGTTATTCATTCATGGACGACGGCGTCAGCCACGTGGGGCCATGTGGCGGCGGCCGCCGCTGCACGTACCCGATTTCTCGCTGAGCGCCTGCCATAGATCGGCGGTGGTTGCATTGCGGTACTGGTGGCGAGTCAGATACAGGTTGAGTCCCTGTCTGAATGTGTCCTCGCCGATGTAATCCACCTACACGACACACGCACACACGCACACACGCACACACGCACACGCACGCGTTGAGCCAGCGAGTCAGGCGCCGTTCAACATTCGTCGTAATACCAGCATGCGGATGACGCTGGCCCCCTTGTTGTAGGAGATGTCATCGAAGAACCCGTCTATGCCGCTCTCGTCCGTCACCTCGAATCTGAGGGGGTGAGCGCTGTCCAGCGCGTCGAGCTGGAACGCCGTGCAGGTGTAGCGACTCAGGAAGTCGACCCAGATCTGACCCACAGGCAACACGCAGGTCAGACCGAGTACCGAAGAAGGGGGGGCAGCAGTCGCACGCACGTACGTTCGAGTTTTGGTGGAGGTGAACCACGGCTGCCTTGCCCAAGTAGGTGGCAAAGCCCTCGTTCAGCCAGACCTCGTTCCACCAGGCCATGGTCACCAGGTTGCCGAACCACATGTGTGCAATCTGCCACAGGCCGCGCATGGCTGTAGCATTGATCGAATTCCAAAGTGGCAGGGCTGGCTGTACCTCGTGGCAAACCAGGTACGTCACGAGCTGGGTCTGGGACAGGGAAGCGGTCGCTTCGTCGAGCAGCAGGTACTCGGCCCGATAGGTGATCAGGCCCCAGTTCTCTGCGCGCCAATCGGATCTTTTTTCAGCAAGTTTGATCATTCCCGTGACTGGCGGTCGAGCTGGGCCAGGTACCCATCGCGCCGCAGGCCAGGTTGGGAATCGAGACCAGGTCGAGCTTGGGCAATGGGTACGCAATGCCATAGTAATGGTTGTAGTACCTGCAGGCAGAGCAATCGCCACATGTCAGCCCACAGGAAGAGAGCCTTCTGGGCTGAGGCCGAACGTACTCGAGCGTGCGCGTGGCCATGCCCAAAGCGTAGCGACCTTTGGCTCCCTGGCCAGGCGGAGCCAGCACCCGAACCTGGGCATCACATCGACGAAGGTTCTCGCGTGAGCATCAATCGATCAGTCAGGTCGCGGCGAAAAAGAAAGAATGCATGGAGCGAGGGATCAATTGCCTTGACAGAGTCGACGGTGTCTTCGACCACGTCGAAGCGGCCCACCACGAAGGCCAGCAAGTAGGTCGACATGAGCGGCGACGTGTCAAACCTGACCGTCTTGACTCCGTTGCTTTGGCTCTCCTCGACGGCCGGCATGTTGGCATGCGCCTGCGATGGTGTCAGGGTCCGTATACGTGCATGTGCCGTGTGAAGTGAGTGCGCTGTGTGCGGTGGTGCGTGCGCTGTGTGCGGTGGTGCGTGCGCCGTGTGCGGCGGTGCGTGTGCGGTGATGAGCGTTGGCGTACCTCCAAGGATGATGGGAACGACAAGGTGACGGTGAAGAGCGCCTTGGCCGAGGGATGATCGAAGCACGGGAACACCGCTCGGGCGCTGGTGGTGCACAGCTGGGTGATGGCCATGTTGAAGCTGTCTCCTGCTCTCTCGCACACACCACAAACCGATTGCATTATTAGTCTGACCTTCAACCCCGCCGGTCAGTCAATGGCTGGAGCCGCACCACACCACACCAACGTACCGTCCTCGAGCGACATGCGGTACCTGTAGACACCGGTCATGATCTCACTAATGACACCATCAAAGCGCAGCACCAGCCACGCCTTGCCCAACTCCAACGGCTCTGCGCATGTGAGATTATTTATAATAATAAAAATAATATAATTAATTAATTGGAAGCATACGAACCGGAGAGGTGAAGGGTGACGCTCTCTGTGTTGGGGTGCGGCTCGATGGTGGCCCGACGTGGCTCGGCTCCGGCCTGGAGGTGGGGCTGGCCCACGAAGGCCTCGCGCACGTTGAGCTCGCGGCAGTTGAGCGTCACCTGCTGCACCCCCTCCTGCTGGACCTCAAACTCGAGCCTCTCCTCGCCAAAGAACCGGCAGTCGGGCTCCTCCAGCCGCAGGTCGAACCTCAGGTGGTAGTGCACCCCAGCGCTGCCTCCCGCCAGCCAGCCCGGAAAGCTCAGCGAGCGCGGTCCCTCCATGCCCAGCCCAGGAAAAATAAAAATAAAGAAATATGACAATAATAAAATATAAAAAAATAAAGACCTGAATTATGACAAATATAAAGAATATTCCCTGGTCATTCCAAGAACCAGTGCAGTGGACCGTGGTCAGACCACCACGTCACGAACAAGCAAGGTACGAGCTCGTTCCCAGTGCGGCCTTTGTGGTCTTGCTCATTGAAGGGTCGTGGAGCGACAGCAAGGACCAGCGGTAGATGTCAACACTTCAACAGCAGCAGCAGCAGCACGGCGCAGAGGAGGCCCAGCCGCGCGTGTATCGCTGCCTCACCATCGCTGGGTCCGACTCTGGCGGAGGGGCGGGCATCCAGGCCGACCTCAAGACCTTCGCCGCTCGGGGCGTGTTTGGCATGAGCGCCATCACCGCCATCACCGCCCAGAACACCACCGGTACATACCCTGCCTCCCCCTTTCTAGCCCTCACCACTGTGTGCGCCCCTAATTTTCCGTGTGCGCGTGCGTCGTGTGTGTTCCGTGTCAGGGGTAAGCGGGGTGCTGCCGATTCCGCCCGAAACGATCCAGGCCCAGATCGAGGCGGTGCTGAGCGACCTCGGCGCCGATGCCATCAAGATCGGCATGCTGGGCTCCAAGGAGTCCATCGAGGCCGTGCTCGGCTCGCTCGCCCGCTTCTACCCGCCTGCGCCTTTGTCGGCCGACGACGCTGATGCATCGTCAGCGCCGCAGCCGCGTCGCGAGCTGCCCCCGATCGTGCTCGACTCGGTGATGGTGGCCAAGGGCGGCCAGCCGCTGCTCGACGAATCGGCCATCGCCCACCTGCCGGCCATTCTCCGCTACGCGCGCCTCGTGACGCCCAACATCCCCGAGGCCATCCTCCTCCTCGAGCACCTCGCCCCGTGTGCGCCCAAGAAGGAGAAGCGAGTCGCCACCACGGTGCAGCACGTGCGGGAGGTGGCCGCGGAGCTGGCCGAGTGTCTGCGGGTCCACCACCAGTACACGGGCGCGGTGCTGGTCAAGGGCGGCCACCTGGAGGAGGAGAGGCGCAAGCGCCACGTAAGTGACGACGGCGAGCCGGGGGAGGAGGATGCGGTGGTGGTGGACGTACTGTGCGACGGCGAGGGCCGCCTGTTCGAGTACGCGTCGGTGCGGGTGCACACGAGGAGCACCCACGGCACGGGGTGCACGCTGTCGTCGGCCATCGCGGCCGAGCTGGCGCGCGGGCGGGACCTCGAGGCCGCGGTGCGCAAGGCCGTGCGCTACGTGCACGGTGCGATCCTGCACGCGCCGGCGCCGGACGATGCGACGGCCACCACCCCGCTGCCCGCGCTGCCGTCGCCCTACGCCCTGGGGTCGGGCCACGGCCCGCTGGACCACATGTGGAAGCTCAAGCCGCTGCTGAGGTCAGCAACGGGCGCTGCTGGTCCTGTGGCGCCCGGTTCCAGCCACGACTTTGGGGCCGAGCTGTGGACCAGCATCGAGGGCGTGTTCGAGAAGATCATCGCCCACCCCTTCATCCAGGGCCTCACCAGCGGCGAACTGCCCGAAGATGTCTTCAAGGTGCCCACCAGCACGCACCCGCTCGCATTCCGCTTTACATATGGCCTCACATTGGGGTCGTGTGGTGTCGTGTGGTGTTGTGTGTGTGTGTGTGTGTGTGTGTGTGTGTGTGTGTGTGTGTGTGGAATGTAGTTCTACATAGTGCAGGACATGCATTATCTGAGGGAGTACTCGCGCATCCTGGCCCTGCTGGCGGCAAAGGCAGACTGCAACGCCGGGATGCTACTCTTCCTCGAGTCCGCCAAGTCGATCGTGGGCGGCGAGTGCGCCATGCACCTGCAGTTCTGCCGCGAGTGGGGCATGATGGCGGAGGCCGACGACGCCGCAGCGGGCCTGGCCTCGCTCCTCGAGGCCCACCCGGCCAGCCCGACCAACATGCTCTACACGTCGTACATGCTGCGCATCGGGTTCGACCGGCCCTACTACGAGGGCGTGGCCGCGGTGCTGCCGTGCGCCTGGATCTACAACGAGGTGGGACACTACCTCAAGTCCAAGGGCAGCCCGCACCCGCAGTACGCGCGCTGGATCGAGACCTACGGGAGCGAGGAGTTCAGCGCCACCACCAAGAGCCTCATCGAGATCACCACCGGGTTTGTTGTTGTTGTGTGCTATGCTGACTGAGATGGTGGTAATGGCTTACCTCTGACCATCGATTGCCAATGATGATGGACAGGGTGGCGGCCGGTCTGGGTGACGAACAGAGGCGGCGTATGCGCGAGTGCTTCGTGCAGACCTCCAAGTTCGAGTACATGTTTTGGGACATGGCCCACACCAAGCAGACATTCCCCATTTGACGACATTCCAAGGCCTCGCACCTCCCAGGGACACACACACACACGGTGACTGCGCGAAGGCGCAATAAAGCGTACTCGTTGTTGGGGTGATATCACGATGCATGCCGCATGTCAACGATGCGGGCGTGCTGCTCCAGTTCGTGCGGGGTGAGGAGGAAGAGCTCGTCCAGGAGCGCCGTATGAAAGCTGCCCGGGCCGAGCCCCTCGGCGATGGTCCGAGCGCCGGCCCGCTCGGCCGCGTGGCAGAAGTAGGCGAGCGCGGCGGCCGTGGCCTCCAGCACATGCTGTCTTCGCTCCGCGACGGCGTGGGTCTGCTCGGTGGTGGGCAGAGCGCCCACGAACGCGCCGATGAGCGACGTCACCATACAGCCCGTGCCCGTCAGCTGGCCCAGCAGGATGTGATTGTTGTGGACTTGCAGCAAGCGCTCACCGTCCGACACCAAGTCTTGCTTGCCTGGCAACATGACGTCAGTCAACAGCAACGTCGCAGGCTCACGCGCACGTACCACGACACGACCGTGTTTGTACCTGTCATGGCGACGATGGTGCGTTTGGTTCGAGCAAGGGAACGGATGATCGACTCGCTGTCGGGGAGGTAGCCGGGGCTGTCGACACCGCGGACGAGGAGCTCGGAGGCCAGCGACCGTTCGATGGAGCACAGGGCGACGTGCAGAGCGGCGAGCTCGCCCGGGTTGCCCCGCAGCACCGATACGCGCAGCTCGTCCAACAGCTGAAGCGCAGCTCCTGCATGACCGGCCCCAGCGATCGTTAATGACCACATCAGGCCCGCAACGAACTAGTTCAGAGGAAGAAGTACCGGTTCGGTAGTGGGTGGCTCCGGCACCGACGGGGTCAAAGACGATGGGCACGCCGATCGCGTTGGCCACTTGCCCGATGGCCTTCATCTGTCTCAGCCAGTGATCGTCGAGGGTGCCCATGTTGAGGACCACCGCCTGTGCGTGCTCGGTCATTTCCCCGTTCTCGTGCGCCATCACGGGAGATCCACCGGCCTGCAGCGTAGCGTTGGCTGTGTCGTTCATGACGACGTAGTTGGTAACGTTCTGTACGAGCGGCCTCCTTTCTCTCACCCTCTCAAATGCTTCTGCGGCCTGCGTTAAATGATCAACATCAGCACACGACACACGACACACGACACACACGACGTAGCGTGCGCACACGCGCGCACATGCAACGTGCATTCACAACATAGTGAGATGAGAAGCGGCTGCCTTGGCGGCGAGCTCCTGGGAGTACTTGGGCAAGGCCGAGTCGACCACGGCGGCGAGTCCGGCGGCAGCTGTTCGCGGGCAGTCGGCGCCTACGATGGCCGACACCACGCCCACACCCGCCGCGCCGTGCGCCACGATCTGGTGAGCGTTTGTTGCGTTGATGCCGCCGACGGCCACCACCGGCAGCGAAGTGGCCCGGCAGATGCGCTGCACCGCGTCCAGCCCGATCACGTAGCCCGCGCCTCCGTCCTTCTTCGTATCTGTGGGGAAGACGGCGCTGGTGCCCAGGTAGTCGGCTCCCGCCAGCTCGGCCGCCCTGGCCTGTGCTTCGTTGGTGGCCGTGACGCCGAGTAGCATCTTTCGGGCGGGTGATGATGATTGTTTGAGCAGCGCCCTGGCTGTGGTAGCGGCCATGTCGTCCTGTCCGACGTGGATGCCATCTGCCCCCACGGCCAGCGCCACGTCAAGTCGATCGTTGATGATGAGCGGCACGCCGTGTCGATGTGTCACGCTCTTGATTCTGCTGGCCTGCTCGATGAAGTCGCGCGTTGATGCCTTCTTCTCGCGTACTTGCACCATCGTCACGCCTCCACGTATGGCCTGCTCTACGAGTTCTTCCAGTGGTCTGCCCCGCGTCAGCGCACCCGAATCGGTAATAAGATAGAGCGAGTAGTTCAGACTAGCTCGTCGCGATGTGGTTGCTGTGCTAAATGCACGCCGTACTCCACCTCGATGCACAGCACATCGTGTGCACGCCCGCTGCAAGCTCTTCATCGAGCGAGGTTCTCAATCAGTTGATGAATTTGGTGCTTGAGCTGACGATGCAGCAGAAACCAAAACGAGAAATTTGGCAAATTTTTCGCAAACAGTTCGACTGCATTTGTATATTGGTACAGCCGCACGTGCATTAGAGGCTCACACCAAAGGCGCCGCTCACTTCGGCGTTGGTGAAGCCCTCACTCGACGTGTCGTCCTCATCGTCTTCCAGCGGGTCGCTTGTGCTTGCTGAAGTAGCCTGCTTGCCCTCGATCTCCATCTTGTTGACCTTGTCCTTGATCATCTCCTTCATCATCTGGTGCTGCTTCGAGTTCTTCTTGGGACCCTTGAGCGTTGCCGTGGCGTCTGGCGGCGCGTAGAAGGTGAAGCCCGCGAACAGATTGTCGTCCTTCGACGCAAAATGGGTCGACCTGGTGTGTGTGGTGTGGTGTTAGCAGCCAGTCACATTAATGTATGGTCAATTGCATGTGGGTACCTTCTCCAAACTTCGCCGAGCGGGACGCGCCGTGGGGCTTGAGGGCTCGCTCCCGCTTTCGGGGAGTCCGTGCCTGTGCCACCACCTGGACCACCAGGCCGGGTGGTGATGGCCTGCGACTTGAGTTCCATTTCGACGAGCTGGCCGATGTCGGTAGCCATGTTGTCCATATTGGCCACATTGAAATAGGTGGTGTCCCACTCGTTTTGCAACTGCACGCCCAGAATAGTGAGTTCGCATACGCCGTGTGTCGTGTCGTTGGTCGTGTCGTGGGGTGTTGCGCACCTTGGGGACAAAGGGAGGCGTGAGCGAGCGGATGTGCCTCCAATCGAAATTGTCGAAGAAGGCGTGGCTTTTGATGTCCTCCGCTCCGGCGGTCTTGCCCAGCCGCACCTCGGGATCGCAGATGAGTCGCTTCATGAGGTCCAGCGCCGGCGGGGAGATCTCGTCCTCACCGATCGACGCCAGGTCGGGGAACTGCAACACCTCCTTCCACGTGGAGATGTTGTAGAAGATCTCCTCCACCGTGTCCGACATGAACGGCGTGTAGCCTGGCGTTGGCAACGATACGTTGAGCTTCTCTCATTATGTATTTTATTTGATTTATTCTTATATTTGTTTGATTTTTGATGGGTGGAATGTGGAGTACCGTAGATCATCTCGAAGAGGAGAATGCCGACCGACCACCAATCGGCGGTCTCGTCGTAGCCCTTCTCCTTGGAGTCGGCCAGCCCCACGCCCACGATCTCCGGGGCCATGTACTCGGGAGACCCCACCATCGAGTAGGCCTTGGCACGCACACGCACACCAACGCGGTGAGCGCGCGCACTTGGTTGATGTGGTACCACGATGGTAAAGAATGAATGGAATGTAGGTACCCATTCGGGGGAGTGGTGCGAGGCCTTGAGAGATGCCACGTCGAAGCGTAGGGACACGCGGCGCGTCTTTAGTACATTCTTGCGTGCGCCCTCCTTCGACAACCCAAAATCGATTAGGCGCAAGTGGCCCTTCTTGTCGATCAAGAAGTTGTTGGGCTTCAAATCTCTGCAGTTCACTACGTGGTGAGCACCAGCCGCCAACACGACTCCACAAGAGGCTCGGGCTAGAGGGCAATACCGGTGGATGTAGCCGAGTTGGTGGAGCGCCTCCACCGCGAGGATGACCTCGGCGATATAAAGCCGTGCGTGGTCCTCCGAAAGACGACCCATGTTGTCCAGCAAGTTGCGAAGGTCGCCACCGGGCAGGTATTCCTAAGAGAGCCACAACCTCTTCAGATGTCTGTCGTGTCTGCCGTGTGTCGTGTTGTCGTGTCGTGCGTGCGTGCGTGCGTGCGTGCGTGCGTGCGTGCGTGCGTGCGGTACCATGCACAGATAGAGATGCTCGGCGTCCTGGAAGGAGGAGATGAGGTTGATCATCCAGGGATTCTCCTTGCCGGACTTGAGCTTGGCCATCACTTCCTTTTCTCGCTTCACGCGCGGCACCTAGATGGCACCATCACCACACATGACATCGTCAGTTCACCAGTATTCATATGCAACGGACGTCGACAAGTGGTACGTACCTCGTTCTTGTTGATGAACACGGACTTCTTCATCCGCTTGAGCGCCACGACCTCGCCGCTCTCCCTGTGGCGACAGAGGAACACCTCGCCATAGCCGCCCCGACCGAGCAGCGACAACACTTGGAAATCCTGCAATGTTGGATAATGTGCAGGCGTGAGTTTTCACGCCGTGCGTGTCGTGTCGTGTCGTGTCGTGTCGGTGCTTCGTACGTTGACTCGGATGCGTGTGCGCCTGAGCCGGAGGTAGAGGGTCTCCTTAGCGGCCTTGCCGGCGCGGTAGTAACGCGCCTCCTCCTCCGACAGCTTGGCCTTTCGTATGTGTCTCTCAATCATGCGCTGTCTGCAACACGTTTTTTGACGCGCCACGTCAAGTCAGTGTCTCGCGAGCGTCGTGAAGAAGAGAGAACGACCATTTGGGGAAAGGAAGGTGAGGCGGTGAACAAACCTCTGACGGCGGGCGACGATGTATTCGAAGTGGCTGGCGTAGTAGCCCTTAAGGTAGTTGCCCAGCGCGATCACGCGCGACTTGGTGCGCTTCGAACACGAGCTCAGGTCCGCCTCCTGCATTCCATTCATTCCAGCGAGGTGAGCCGCACGCACGAACACTCGACCGAACAGTGGAGGTGGCCAGCGCCGCGTACCGGAGCTTCGAGCGAAGAGTCCATGAAGAAGGGCTGGCCGGCTCGCATGAGCTGGGGCATGAACGAGCGGCAGTAGCCATAGAGCTCCTTCGACGATGTCCTCGCCCGCCGCAATGCTGCATTTAAAAAACAGTCGAATAGGAGTTATTAACAAGGGCCTCGTGCCACAGCGGGGGAGGTGCATACGCGACTGAGGGCTGTCGTCCTTGTCGAGCTGCCTTTGAAGAAGTCGGGGACTCGCCGGTCCGTCCGCTGGCTTGTCATTGGCCCCGATGTCCTCTGTGTGCTCTTACGCGTCAGAGAGTGCCATCAATCGTCAGAGACATTCACGACACACATCGCTTACCCCTGGGTTTCTTGGCTGACGGTTCAGAGTCGATGGCGTCGCGAGCTGGCTTCTTTTCCGCGGCTCCCGGCGCCGTTTTCTCGTGCTGCTCCTCCTTGGACTTGGCTCCCTCCTGCTCGTTCTCTTCTTTCTCCTGTTTTCTCTGGTACTCCTCTTCCTCTTTGTCTTTGGCGCGTTTGTACAGCACCAGGCACGAGCCCAGTGACGTCAGCAGGAGGAGCGACACCAGTGGATAGATCAGAACCACCACGACCACCTGCATGGGACCGTCACCACACAAACACGCCACAACCCTGTCAGCCCTCTCCCGTTGCGGTAGCGGCTCTGCTTTCGCTTTCGTTCTTCTGGAGGCGGAGCTAAAATGGAACCTGTAGGAGCTAAAAATGGAGGTAAAAATGGAGGTGGGGAGCACGTACGATGGCGAGGGGAGCGGCTGCGACATAGTATGAAGATGAAGCGGCGCCGGGCCTCGAGAAGTAGTGGCTCGTGAGCGGCGCGGCCCCTCCAGCGATATGAGTTACGGCGTAGAGCGGTATGGCGTCGGGCTTGTTGGGCGGAGCCGTCGACATGACCTGAGGTGAAGGCCCCGCGAGGGTGGGGATGGGAAGGAGCGGTACGTCGTCGGGCCACGTCTGGTCGAGCCTCACGATCATCTCTCCTTCCATTGACGGTGACGGCACGAGGGGGGCCGACTCCGCCATTTGATTTGTTGAAATAAAAATGAAGTGATTAATTAATAATAAATAATAAATAAAGGGCGCTTTGATGGCGATGTGCTTCCTCTGCCAAAAGACTAGTCGCCAGCTCAGGCCTTGAGATGTTCTGGGGTTGAGGAAATATTTCTCGAGGCCTTCGATCGATGGCAACTCTCCTTGGCCACCCCTTCTTGTTCAACGCTAAATTATTTGCCAAAAATACAAATATTAGTCCGCTTTTAAGGGGGCGGTACAGGTCATGCCTAGTCATCTCTACACGTGTGCATCAAATCGCATTGAAAAGAAGGTTGTAATCGGGCTGGGGATTCGAATAACCATCAAGGATGAATGGGCACACAACCGCGGTGCAGGAGAAGAATGGCAGCTTCTTCTCACGCCTGTTTTACTCATCTGCGACAACGCCGACCACGCCAACGTCATCTTCGGCCAGCTCACCCCATTTTGCTACAGGTGTAGCGTCGTACTCGGGTGCCTCTGCGCTGTCTACCTCCTCATCCTTCCTCCCCTCCTCTACGTCTTCATCTTCTTCGGCCTCATCTCTTGCAGGCTCCTCCTCTTCGACTTTTTCATCGGCGCTGGCCTCTGCCTTTGCGTCTGCCTCGGCGTCTGCCTCTGCATCTACTTCCTCCTCTCCTTCATCTTCCCCCAGCACATCGTCTAGCACATCGTCTTCGCTCAGCCCTGCCACCAGTCAATCGCCCGTGCGCCATCGTGCAGAGGTGGTTGATCCATTTGCCAGCCCCGCCCCCAAATCAGAACAAGCATCCACAGCTTCCCCCTTCTGGAGCAGCCATTCCACCAAGACCAGCCCCCAAGCATCCCTGCCCGGTACGCACCCTCAACAAATTCATTGTCTTCTCCCTTCCTGTCCTAATTTGTTTTTAATCGATTTATTATTCTGTATTGTTTTTTCCTTTTCTTCACAATCTCGTCTCATCTCTTTGCCCATCGTGGTGCCCCTGGCAGGCATGATCCGGAGGGTCACCAACGCTGCCCCGCCTCCCATTGCCATCAACTCCCCGGCACTCAAGCGGAAGTACGTGCCGCGCTCCTCGGCCACTCGCCTTGCCCCAACGGCGCCACTCTCTTTCGTCTGACACGACTGAATCGCGTCTGCTTGTGTGTGACGTGTGTCGGCGGTGGCGTGCAGCTTTGACGTGGACTACGGCAAATCGGCGGAGCTGTCGCCCATCCGCACACTCGAGCCAGTTGCCAAAACCGACGAGGTCGCCAGCAAGGAGCGCGAAAGTATGCCACCCTCACTTCGCCTCTCGTTACGTTTTGTTCTTCGTACTTCGACGTTGTACATATATTATACATATATTAAATATCTATCTACTGTGGCGGTGATGGCGGTGAAGCTGTTCACAAACGCTCCCGATCAGACAGTCAGCTGCACAAGCTGGAGGCCCGATTCGCCGAGGGCGGACCCACCAAGATCTCGCCTGTCAAGGTCAAGAAATTCAACACCCTCCTCTCCCAGCCCGTCGTTGACATCGGTAAGCTTCCTTCTGTCCGTGTGTGTGTCGTGTGTGTCGTGCGTGTCGTGTGTGCCCGGTTGCCGGTTGTAGCCGCGTCTGGTCATCTGACCACCACCTACACCCGCAGATGCGTTGAAGCGAGAGAGCTGGTCCGGCATTCCTCCGTCGGCCCGAGATATCACTTGGAAGCTTTTATTGGTGCGTTTGCTGCTGGGATCGTCTGTGCTCGCGCTGTCACCACGTTGCTGCCACGAGCTCGGAGGCTGACATGGCATGACGTGGCGTGGCGTGGCGTGTGGTACACAGGGATACCTGCCGGCGAAGCAGGACCGGCGAGAGGGTACTCTGGAGCGAAAGCGGGGCGACTACATGGATTCCATCCCGCAGTACTACAAGGAGGAGCACGAACAGACCGCCAGCGAACAGGCCATCTGGCGACAGGTACCTGTTCCTCTTCATGGCCACGCATGAGTGAGCGTCGTGTCGCGAGCTCGGCTCACACTACACCAAACCCAGATTTATGTAGACATCCTGCGCACACACCAAAGCGTGGCGCTATTCCAGCAGGAAGCTGTACAGAAGGTGCGCACCAGCTGTTGTGTGTGTGTGTGTGTGTGTGTGTGTGTGTGTGTGTGTGTGTGTGTGTGTGGCATGTGTGCGTGTGTGCGTGTGGCAGTCGAGCTTAAGACTGACGCCTAAGTTTCGGTCTTTGTCTCACAGGTGCTGGTGCGCGTGCTGTACCTGTGGGCCATTCGACATCCGGCGAGCAGCTACGTGCAGGGAATCAACGAACTCATCATCCCCTTTTTCGTCGTCTTCCTCTCCACTGCCGGTACCGATCACTCGCCGCATCATTCTCGGTCACCACAGCCAAACCGTGCATTCAATCATCACCAACGTGTGTCGTGCCGTGCCGTGTGCGCCGTGTCGTGTAGTTGGTAAGGAGGACGTGGAGGAGCTTGACTTTGGTACTGTGCCGGCTGACGTGGTGTCCATGGTGGAAGCCGACTGCTACTGGTGCCTTTCGGCCCTCCTCGATGACATCCAGGTTCGTGTGCTCTCCGCCCAGGCCGCCTCGAGGCCTCTTTTTCCCATGGCTCCTTAACATTGACCCCATCGCCGCGGTGCAGGACCACTACACATCCGACCAGCCGGGCATCCAGCGACTCATCTTCAAACTCAAGGAACTCATTCGACGGATAGATCGTAAGCCTGTCGCTCACAGCGCACACTCAACACCACACACACACACACACACACACCACACACACGACACGCGCGCGTCTCTCCAAACAGTTCACGACTAACGGACACGCCCGACCAACTCAGTACCGCTGCACGCGCACTTGGAGAAGCAAGAGGTGCACTTCACGCTGTTTGCCTTCAAGTGGATGAACTGCCTCCTCATGCGCGAACTGCCGCTCGCTCTCGTCACGCGCATGTGGGACACCTATCTCTCCGAACCCGAAGGTAGTGGCTCTCCTTCCCCCGTCACACCACCAATCGCGCCCGACTCACGCCTCGCGCACAGGCTTCAGCACGTTCCATGTGTACGTGTGCGCGTCGTTCCTGACTATGTGGTCCGACCACCTACGGTACGCCCCCTCTCCCCCCAATGCGTGTGCGCACACGCACACGCACGACCGCACACGCTCTGCGCCACAAGTCCGACTAGCGAGTTTTCCCCTGCTGATGACGATGCAGACAATTGGAGTTCCAGGACATTGTGCTGTTCCTGCACCACGTGCCGACCGATGAGTGGACGACGGCCGAGGTGGAGATGCTGCTGTCCAAGGCCTACATGCTCAAGGCGCTCTACCACGACTCGCAGGCCCACCTCAAGTGATCAGTGTGTGAGGCCCGGTCACTCCGCATCGACGTCGAGCGAGAGAGGCACCACGAGAAGAGTTGTATTTACCGCCGTTGTTGTTGTTTTATTGCATTTCTTGTTGTCTGCTGCTGCGTCACTCAAAATCGACGCCGCAGTTTCAACAGTTCAGCAAACAAACAAACGACAAACGCAGAAGGGACGCAGTGGATCAGTGGATGAAGCTGGCGATGGCAGCCACGATCTTGGCGCGCGCGTCCTTGAGCGAGAGCGGGTCATCTGCGCTCGACGGGTACAGATCGCTGCAGGGAGAAGAGAGAGAAAGGCGAAGAACGAAGAACGAAGAACGAAGAGATGAGCGGCGGCAAAGAATGCACCTCCCTTGGAGAGGTGGGGGGGGGGCGTACGCGCAGTGGGCGGTGCCGTTGATGAGAACGGCGAGCTGGCCGGGGTGAGCGACGGCGGTCTCGGGCAGAACGCCGAGAATGTGCCACGGGTCAATCGAGCCTGGGCGGGCACCCACCAGCCGTACGTAAGAAAAGCGCTGGCCGCTCATTTCCGCGCTAGCCGTATGCGTGTGTGTCGTGTGTGTGTGTGCGTGTCGCGCGCGTGCGGTGGTGCGTGTGCCATGGTGAAGCCGTAGGTGTGTACCGTTGGGGAGAATGACTTTGGGGTCGGCGAGGCCCGTGGAGCCGTAGAAGGTGTTGGTCCACTCAATGTTGGGCAGCGGCTCGGCCTTGTTGAACGGATCGATGTTGAAAATGTCCCTGCACTGCTTCAAATACCTGAAACCGTGGAATGTTGAGCCAACAAAATGGAAAGAGTTGGTTGGTGTGGAGGCGCGACAACAACAAAACGAACCAGTCGAGGGTGACGGTCTTGCTGAAGGGCTGGTTGGCGGCGCTGCCCGTCTGGTAGAAGCCGAACTCGATGCAGGTCTGGTAGGTCCACGAGCGGCCTGCACCACAAGAACCGTCGTTGCGCTCAGTCTCGACAGCTTCTTCAACAAACAAAACAAAACAAAACGCGGAGCGGGCGCACGCACCGGCGGCGTTGTCGTTTTCGGGGAAGGTGCGCACATCCTTGAGCTGGTTGACGTATTCGGTGTACTTGGTCTGGGTGCAATCCACGCCTGTGCCGCAATACAGCGTGTGAGCCCTCGCCCGCGTGCGCGTGTGATGGTGCGTGCGAATGAGCAATGGTACCGAAGAGCTTGTTGTAGACGGTGTTGAACTCGGCGTAGGCGGCGAGAGCGTCGTCGCCCTTCAGGAAGATGTCGCACATCTATGTCGCGTTGCAGTCACGCGAGTGAGTTTTCGGAGACACACACACGCGCGCACACGCTTTAACCAATGCAACATGATAATGATGACCTTGTTGATGTTCATGCCGTGGTTGTAGTTGTTGTTGTCGTTGTTGTACTGCACGATCTGAGCCACGGTTCCCTCCCTGCGGCCCACGTCGACATCAAAAATTAGTATTAGGCCGATATGGCTTTGGGGGAGGGGGGGGGGCAACACATACATGTTCTCAAAGAAGAGCGCGATGTCGTCATCGGTCTCGATGGGCGTGCACAGGTTGAACAGTTTCTGATGTTGTTGTCGCAGCCGTCATTGTTTAGAATGACGGCACACGACACCAACTATGACGATGACTAAGACGCACGCACGCACGCACGCACGCACGCACGCACGCACGCACGCACGCACGCACAGACACACGCACCTGCAGCTGCTTCTTTCCGTCGGCCGACGAGAGCAGGTTGGTGGCAGCCTGCGTTCCCTCGCGCACGCGGTTGGCGCACGACTCACCCACGAAGAACTCTGCACACACACCCGCGCGCGCGCATCATACACTCAGCATACGCCGCACACACACGCACGCGCGCGCGTGGCATGAAAGGCCGCGTGGCACGCACCTAGCGAGCGCTGGACGACCTCGTTGTACTCGGAGAAGTCAAGCTGGGCCTTGACCGGGGCCGACGTGGCCAGCGAGCCGTCGACGAGGTGCGGGTACTTGAGCCGGAACCAGGCGCTGAGGGCGCCCGAATAGGAGCCGCCGAAGGCGACCCACTTGGTGGTCTTGGGCAGGGCCAGCTTCTCGCTGATGTACTGACGGAACATCGCAAAGTCGGCCAGCCTGCGCACCGCCGCACACGCGCGCGACAAAAAGTGAAGGAATGTGAGGAATGCAACACGTGTGCGGTTCAGGAGGGGAGATGGTACGCCTGTTCGCTGTTGAGGAAGCGGAGGTTGGCGTTGGAGAGGTCGCGCGTGGGGACCGACTTGCCGTAGAAGCGGTGCTCGATGCTCAGGACGAGCGCGTTGAAGCGCTGCGCGTACTCGTTCAAGATGAAGTGACCGCCGACATCGATGGGCGAAGCCGGACCCTCACCACCGAGCATGACTACCACGGCAGCCACAACATACACGCACACGACAATGAGAAGAAGATGGGCAACGAAAAGAAAGGAAAGCGAAGAAGATGAAAAGAACGAAGTGTCGGGGGGGGGGAAATACGGAAGACGGGGCCTCCGGGGCGGTAGAAGGTGTCGTTGGTGAAGTAGCGCTGCTGCCACTTGGCGCTATTGCGCGGATCGAAGTGGTCCAACGCCTGCCGTCCATTAATCGATCATTAGAGAATCCATTTAAATATTTGCCTGACTTGGTTTCCGTGGCACTGCGCAGCGATGCATTGAACGCGATGTGGGGGTGGGCACCTGAGTGAACCATTGCTCAGGCGCATCGGCAGAGACTGCGGGAATGTTGTGGTGGTTGAGGGCGCGCATGGCCAGGCCATCGTACAGGGCACCCCGGTGCGGGATGCTCGTCACACGGCCCAAAGCCACGTCGCTGCAGCACGCAACGATGAACAGCAGCGCTGCACTCACCACAAGCCTGCTCATCTCCATCCGTCCAGGAAAACTAGAATGAAAAAGAGTTGTGTTTTGGGGACTTGGCGAGTATTGCAATAGCTGATGATCAATCATCTCCAATGTTGAGCGAGGAATGGTGAAGCTATCTTTTGTTTAGTATTTTTATATTGAGGTAGAGGTCAAAAGCTGCACATTTGATTGCCTCAGTACGTTTACTTCCTGCCCTCGAGATCCTTGGCCTCGCGCTGAAGCCTCTGGAGCTCACGCTGCTGCCTCTCCCTGATGTTCTCCGGGGGCCTCCTGTCCCTCCTGCCCTCCTTGGAGCGGACGCGCACGACGCGCGAGTGGATGGCGCAGCTCACGCAGTACTGCAGCTTAGCGTAAAGCTTGGGGAGCTTGTAGGCTGCAAGTGGAAAATAACACAAGTGAATAAGAGGATCTACGGAAGGCGGCGAAGCGACGAGATTAAGTGAGAAGGAAGTGAATGCGTACACTCAATGACGCTGGACTCCTGGATATCCCTGACGGCACCAGTCTCGACGATGTTCCTGACGTGGAACCTCTTGACAGCCTTGTCCTGCATGATCGAAGCGAGAGGCGGTGAGCTCTCATTGCTCCAGTGTATGCACACATTCCCGGGAAGAGAAATGGGAGAAGGAGCGATTCATCAAGACAGATGGGACGGATTGAAAGGGGCATGACTTACCTTGGGGGTGCACCTGTGGCAGTTGTCGCACCTGATGGGCTTAGTGTGGCCGCGGCCGTGGAGGGCGCGTCCGTGATTCCTTCTCTTTCTGGTCATGACGGGCGGAGAGGGGGAAGAGACGCACGATAGCGAGGGAGAAAGGGAAAAGAAGGAACCGACCAGCACCAAACGAGGATTTATCCCTCAAACCTGCTTTTTGCCTGTCTTTTAATGTTCAGTTTTCCATCCAATAGAAATTCAGAAAAGAATTGGTTCGAAATTCAATAATATGCGAGAAATGGAGCGATTATGTAGCGGAAGAGAGAAGACACCAACTACACGGGCCTCACGCGAGTGGCAGCTGCGTTGCACAGGCACCTCATGGCGATTCAATGGAATAAATGCTTTATTCTACTGTACTATTTTGGGCTTCGTTGTCGTTCCTCAGTCTTCCTCTTCATCATCCTGCTTGAGACCGAGAAGGAAGGGAATGGCGCACTCAGCAAAAGTGTACACGTGATGGAGGAAGGGAACGACGTACTGAGTTCTCCCGGTTCAACAGCCGGTCCATGGACGACGAGTGAACATTGCTCTCAATCGCGGCAATCCACTCATCCATCTGTTGTATGGTACCACGAGAAAGAGGGTCTGAGAACTCCAAAAACTAGTGCTGATGTTGTGCTCCAAGCGTCTAGAGTCCTTGCGGGTGCGTACCTCGAGCTGCGAGGACGCGCAGATCATGTACTCCTTGTGATGACCTTGCCGGAAGCCCTCGCCTGTAATCGCACGCAAGTGCGAGGCACACACACACACACACTTGTTAGGCCCACGCGATACGAAATCAAAGGGTAGTGGTGGTGCCGCCCGCACCTTCTTTTGTCTTTTTGCAGGACTTGATCTTGGGCTTGTCCTTGTTCTTCTCGAGCTCCGGGTTGTAGATCTCGAAGCAGAACTTCTTTGATTGCTTGACCGACTTGCGCACGGACAGGTTCTCCAACGGCACCATGCCGCACGGTTCCTTGTCGCCCGGCTTCAAGAAGTAGTAGAGGCAGTTGTGCGTGAGAATGAAGTATCGCCGCTTCCACGTGGGAATGCGACCGCCCTGCTTGATGAGCCATCCCTGTGCCACCGCATACCACAAAATCACACCAATGCAACGTTAGTGAATGAATGTAGAGCCATGACAAAGGCGAAGATGAGAACTTGCGCACCTTCTTCTCCGCTGAACCGAACATGACACCGTCGACTTCCATCTTGATTTCGTTTTTCACAATCTTATCATACAATTCTTCGAGGAAGGCGGAGGGTATCTCTTCTTGCACGGTGAGCTTTCTGGAAAGGCACAGCAAAGAGAAGAGAGATAGAGGGAAAGGGAAGGTGAGAGCTTGTCTCGAGGCAATGCGCAAGGGGGCGATTGAGTACCGGTTGTTGGCGATGAATGCCGTTTTGGACATCTTGTCCCTGACTTGCGGGTTGTGGGCGTCCGTGTTGAGCATGAGCGTCGCGAACGCGAGCATGTAGCACGTTTCTGCACGAGCCCCCCCGACAACTGTAAGCTCGAGACGCACACATACGTTTCGATACGACCGATGATGGTTCGCACCTGAAAACTTGAACACGTCGGGGCAGCAAGCGCAGAATCGCTCGGCAAAATGGGTCATGAAACGATCGACGATCTGCGCCTCGCCCGCCATCTTGAACTTGGCCAGGAAGTGCCTGTAAGTAAGTGAGAAGCACCACGCCAAGTATGAGTTACATGACCAGAGGAGAAGAGCCTCACCACCGCCAAGAGACATACCGAAGAGCCTGGTCAAAGTGCATGTTCTCGAAATTGAAGTGTTCGGCGTAGGCCTTGAGCAACTCAACGCTTTCCTTATCGCTGGGTGTCGGATAAACAAACAACGTAAGGTAAGGTGCGCTACATGGCGGTGGGAAAGCGGGAGCTCGGAGGAAAGAGAGTGGAAGGAGTAGTCACCTGGCCGACAGCAGCTCGCCCAGCTTCATCTTCGAGAGGCCGGGAGTCGTGTGCAGGAATCGAGCGAGGTCCGCGGGCGTGCGCTGAAGCAGCTTGCGTTCCAGGAGCCAGTCGATTGCCTGAGAGCCATTGACCACCGGCATCAGTGATTGGCCGGCGTACGTAAGCTGATCCCCTCCTCCTCCTCCTCCACTTAAACAATAGACGCACAAGTGATGGCTTGGCATTGAACTTGCGCGCCGCCTCGGTCATGTCCGCCTTGTGCTGAATGTCCTGGAGCTCATCCCTGGGCACGGTTCGATATCGGTGTCTGTCAGTCGGCGAGCTTCGAGGGAATACAAAACACAAAAGCGCTTTGGCGGCGTGTGGCGGTGCCCACCTTTCCGCTGCCATCTTGGTCAGCATCTCCTTGGTGATGGCGCCTCGGGCCATGTCCACCACCTTGCGCCCTCGGTTGTCAGCGGATTCAATATTGGCGCCGGCCTTGATGAGTATGCCCGCGCTCTCCTCGCTCTCGACCTTGACTGCCAGCCAAAGCGGAGAGCGCCCCTTGTGGTCGCAGTACTCCACCTCCGCACCCTACGTATGTGCGTACGTTCTTTCAGTGTCTGCAAATGCACACGCGTGCAACACCAAACACGTTCGTGTACCTGGTCGACCAAGAACTGCATGCATTCTGGGCTCTTGACGGCATAGTGCAGCGGCGGCATGCCTTTCCCGTCCTATATGGCCAGCGAGAAGCGGTTAGGTGAGGCGAGGTGAGGGAAACGCCTGAAGTAACACTTGGTGGGGGCGCGAGTACCCTGAGGTTGATGTCGGCGCCCTTCTCGAGCAGCTGCTTGGCGCACTGGAAGTGGCCGGAGCTGATGGCGAGGTGCAGGGGCGACACCCCCTGATCGTCGACACAGTTGGGGTTGGCCCCGTGCTCGAGCAGGATCTGGCCAATCCAAAAGAGAAAACTTTCACTACCCAACAACAATGGTACGGGCTAGCACGAAGCGGCCTTACCTCGATGCATTCGGCGTGGCCGCCAAAGGCGGCGTTGTGCAGGGGCGTCCCATCGTGGAAGTCCTGACAGTCCACCGAGGCACCGCTCTTGAGCAAAGCCGCAAGACAGTCCGTCCGATTGGAGTACGCCGCCTTGTGCAGCGGATAAGACCTGCAATAATGGAGGAAATACAGAAAATAAGCAAGCGGGAGCCAACCTGCTCGTTGCTATGCGTGGCGTGCGCGACTCACCCTTCGTTGTCCTGGATGGCGAGGTCGGCGCCTCGGGCCAGCAACAGCTCCAGACATTCCATGTGGCCCATGTAGGCGGCCTTGTGGAGCGCCGTCGCCTTCTCGGGGTCTCTGGCGTTCACGAAGGCCTGCTTGTCGAGCAGGAGCGCCATGCACTTCAAGTGACCGTTGAAGGCGGCGTGGATGAGCGCGGACGTGGAGTCCTCGTCGTCGGTGTTCACCTCGGCGTTGTGCTCTAGCAAGATAGCCGTACACTCTTCGGAACCGTTGAACGCCGCGTTGTACTGCAGCGGGTTCGAGCCTGTGCTGTCGCGGGCGTTGACGTCGGCGCCGTAGGAGATGAGAAGGCTCACGAGCTCGCTGTATCCGTGGTAGCACGCATGGTGGAGCACGCTGAGCCCATCGTTGTCCCTTGCATTCGGGTCAGCCACCTTCATGGCTATCTCAGCCTCCTTCGGCTTACCGTCGCTATTGTTGTTGTTGTTGGTGATGGTGCTGCCCTCACCGCCGCTGGCCTCGAGCGCGGTGGCGACGTCGGCGGCTGCCGCTGCCGCCGATGGGGTGGGCGGTGGCGGCCGCGAAGGCGGTGGCCGCGTGCGCTTGCTCCGGTCGAGCAGCAGGGTGGCGCATTCGATGAGGTTCTTCTCGCTGGCAAAGTGCAGCGGCGTGAGACCCTCCTGGTCGGCGATGTTGGGGTCGGCCCCGTGCATGAGCAGGAGGTCGACGCAGCCCGGGAAGTTGGCGAACACGGCCTTGTGGAGCGGCGTGAGCCCATCCGTGTCCTGACAGTCCACAGGCGAGCCGCCTTTGCCGCCGCCGCCGCTGCTGCCGCTGGTCGTCCGGGATGCGTGGAGGAAGAGCAGCGACCTGACCACCTCCTGGTGGCCCTGGGACGCGGCGTGATGCAGCGGTGTCGTCCCGTCGTCGTCGGCAAAATCGAGAGCGGCGCCCCTGGAAACGAGGTACTCCATGCACTCGAGGTTGCCGGCGAAGCAGGCCTTCTGCAGCGGCGTGGTGCGCTCCTTGTCGAACGTGTTCACGTCGGCTCCGTAGGTCACGAGCAGCTTCACGCAGGTGCCCTCGCCCGAGTAGGCCGCGTGGAGCAGCGGCGCCGATCCGTCATCGCTCACAAAGTTGACGTTGGCGCCGCGTTCGATCAGCAGCTTGGCCGCCTCGAAGTGGTCGTTGGACACGGCCCGGTGGAGCGGCGTCGTGCCCTCGTCGTCGCGCTTGTTGACCAATCGCGTCAGCTCGTGGCGCCGCTTCAGCGGGTACATGAGGTACCGCATCGCCTTCACGTTGCCCTCGAACGCCGCCTCGTGGATCGACACGCGCGCGGCCTGGCCCGTCTGAATGAGCCGCGTGACCTCCTCAAAGTCGGCCCGGAACTCGTCACCGAACTGATTGGCCTCAGAGATCTCGCTTCCGCGAGGGCTGGCCTTCTCCGCCCGCCGCCGGTCCTTCTCCGCCCGCCGCCGGTCTCGCTCGCGCTTGCGGTACTCGCGCTCGACCTTGCCCGGCTGCTCGCGTCGCTTGGGCGAGTCGCTGCGCTTGGGCCTCTTGCTCTCCTTCTTTCGGCTGCACACCACCCAATCAGATATCAGAACCCACACGGGGGCGTCACACGCACGTAACACGGGGCGGCCAAAGGTTACCTGGGCATGCGGCTGGAGGCCGACGAGGCCGAGTTGATGGTGGCGCTGCGCGACAGCTTGCGCAGGTCGATGTCAAGCCCACGCGTACGCGCATCGAGAAGCTCCCGCACCTTCTCCTTGTCGCGGTCTCTTCGCCCGCCCTTGTCCCGCTTTTCTCTGCCGCCCTCTCTGCTGCTGTCGCGGTCCCTGTCCCTGTCCCTGTCGCGCTTGGACTTCTCGCCACCACCCCGACGGTGCCCCGCGCCGTCCTTGTCTTTCCGCCTCTCCCGGTCCTTCTCCTTCTCCTTATCGCCCTCCCTCGTCCGCTCTCTATCTTTGCTGTCCTTGCCGTCCTTCTCCTTCTCCTTGTCCCTGTCCTTGTCCCTCTCTCTGTCCTTATCGCCGTCCTTGGCCGAACGTTCGCGGTCTTTGTCGCTCTCGCGCGCTCTCTCTCGATCTTTGCCGCCGTCAGACTTGTCGCCCCTCTCGCCCCGGTCCTTGTGGCGGTCCTTGTCCTTCTCTCTGTCCTTGTCGCCCCTCTCGCTCCGATCTTTGTCCTTGTCCTTCTCGTCTCGTGTCCTCTCCCGATCTTTGCTGTCTTTGCTGTCCTTGTCGCCATCTTTGGTCCTGCCGCCGCCACCATCTTTGCTCTCTCTGTCCTTGTCGCCCCTCTCTCGATCTTTGTTGGAGTCTCCATCGCGCGAGACGCGCTCCTTGTCGCTCTCGCTCGGCCTCTCGCGCAGATGCGGCTTGCCGTCGCTCTCGGTCAGCTTCTCGCGCAGCGTCTGTCGATCGCCGTCCTTGTCCCTGTCTCGGTCCTTGCTGCTGTCCTTGTCCTTGTTGTCGCCGTCGCGGGTCCTCTCCTTGTCCTTGTCGCCGTCTCGCCCTCGCCGGCTGCGCTCTCTGTCGCGATCGCGATCTCTCTCACGATCTCGATCGCCCCCCTCGCCCTTCTCCTTGCGCCGGCTCTCCCGCTCGCCGTCCTCCTTCTCCTTGTCGTGAATGAAGTCGAGCTGGATGCTGCGGCGCTTGGGCGTACGGGCGTCGTCTCCATCGTCGGATCCATCCGAGCCGCCTTCTTTCTCCTTGTGGCGATGTATGCTACAACCGAAGCGGCCCGAAGTGGTGCGGTCGAGCGGGGCCTTGCGATCGCGTTCGTCTGATGATGGTGACGAGGATGTCACATCGCGGCCGGCCTTGGTCGTTACGACCAGGCCCTGCCGCGAGCTGGCCGCCTTCTTCATCGCGCGCGTACGAATCGTCGAGACGCTGCCATTGCTACTGCTGGGGCTCACGACGATCTTGCTGCCCCCGCCCCTTGACTCTCGCGAGTCCTTCCCTGTGTCCTTCGCTCCCTCGCTACTCTCCCGCTCATCTGCCTCTACGCTCGATCGCCTCATCCCCTAATCCAGAAGAGAGGGCCAGCTGTTGATGCGGGTTGACGATGATGCGGTTGGCCCTAACGCTTGCCTCTTCTCCTTCTTCTTCGTTGAACACCTGTAGAGCTGTTCAACAAAGAGACGTTCAACTTTTGCGTTTCTTCCCTATTTAGATCCAAAACCGTGTTCGGCCCAAGAACATAATTCACGACCGATTTGAAATTGAAAATGAACAAGGGCCTCTCCGACGTGGTGGTGGAGCACCACGCAGTTTCCCACCTCGGGTACCTTGAGCTGGTTGAGACCGTATGAACCCCTCCCCCTCCCACCATAGAAGAATCGATGCTGCTCGGCAGTCATGCTCGCGTCGTTCTCCTTCTTGCAAACTTGCGATTAAATATTTTATTGGGGCGCTTTCGCCAGTTAATCTCGAGAGCGAAGATTGTGGCCACAAGGCAATGAGCGTAGAGCCTGACGATGTGCGGCTGCCATTCACTCCTCGCTTATTGATCGATCGCCTGAACACACCCAGTCTCGCCCATCTGCACCGCCACGCCAAACTTGGATCGATCGAACCATCGGAAGATCGCATCCTTCAATCCATCATCGCCGGCAGCCTGCAGGATGGAGATGAGGAAGCTGAAACTGAAGACGAAGCCAAGCACAGACAGATGTCGCCAATCAGTGAACGTGCGGCGAGACACCACCTTGTGAAGGCTGCCGAGGCCATGGTGGTGAGGGTCGGCGCCAAGTCCTTCGTGCACGCTCTCACGCTGAAGCAGCTCACTGCAGCCATGGCCGGGGTGCCCATCGACCACGGCGGCAACAACCCGCGAAACAAGCAGGTGCTCCAGAAGCGCTTCATCGAAGTCCTGTGCGAGCTCGGCCCCAAGGTCGCCATCGCCCACTCCGCCTTTCGTCGAGTCGCCCACTCACCCCCGCATGTGCGCTCGTGCACAGGAGTATGCGCGTCGGTTCGTGCGCAGCGTGGACGTGATGGCAATGCTGTGCCGCGAGAGCCAGACCGATGAGGTGCGTCCTAGCGGCTACGACCGTGCGCTCACGTTCACTCAACGGTGATTTCTTTGATTGACCCAGGCCTGCTTGGATGAAGTGCTCACCCTAGCTTGCACGGATCTGGAGATGGACGACGGCGGATACGCCACTGCGGCTGAACTGGAGGCGCACAAGCTCGAGGTGCGCTTCATCCCGCTAGAATGTTGAATGGCCGGTGACACCGAATCGCTGATCTTCACGTTTCGCGGGTGCAGGAGCTGCAAGCGCTGCTCGAGGAGAGCTTGCATCGGGTCGGAGTGCAGAACTACCTGATGGGCTTCGGCTCGCCGCTCCTGCGCCGCGTGTGCCGCAACCTGGGCATCGAACCGCAGCACAAGGAAAGCAGGGCTGCCGTACTCATCGGCCTCATCATGGCGCGCCTCGAGGCCATCCGGCTCGGTGGCGAGCAGTACACCGCGGGTGGCACTGCGAGCGATCACCAACGCGACAGGAGGTCGCCCCTTAAGGCCAAGCCGAAGGGAAAGCAGGCGAGTGCGAAGAAGAAAGACAAAGTAGTCGTGCTAGATGAGGAGAGTGTCGAGGAGGAGGAGGACGAGGACGACGAAGTGGTCGAGGTCAGAGCCAAGAAGCGACGGACTCCGGGCGGCGCGAAAGAGAAAGGAGGGAAGCGACGCACGATAGAGGATAGGGAGAGGCCGGCAAAGAAGAAGGGCAAGAAAAAGGCTGAGAAGAGGAAAAGCAAGAGTGAGGGTGAGGGAGAAGATGAAGATGGGAGTTGGAATGACGAAGAAGAAGAAGAAGAGGAGGAAGCCGACGAAGAAAGAGAGACGCCCACGAAAAAGAAGTCGGCGAGGCTCAGCCGAACCCCTCGAACGAGAAAGCGAAAGTCGTGCAAGGACGAAGCAGATGACAGCGACGACAACGAGGAGGAGGAGGAAGAGATCGAAAAGAGAAAGAAGCAACACGCCAGAAAGAAGACACGACGCGACTCGCGCCCCGCCAAGCACCATGCGAGCAATCAGCAAGGCGCAGAGGAGGAGGACGAAGACATAGAGGAATTCAAGACGCCTCCGAGACGTACCGGGAGCGAGAAGGCCACGCGTACGACAGCGAGGATTGCGCACAATGACGGCGGCGATGCCAAGCGTGGCCCAGGAGACGAAGACGACGGTGCGCGATGCGCAGCGAAGCAACCTAGTGAAGCTGAGGAAATGGCTCCGGCCGCCAAGGGTGAGAGTGCCAAGGTCACAGAAGACAACGACAATGGCGACGATGGTGGTGATGAAGATGACGATGGGGGATCGACGCAGAGGTTCTTCCAGAAGCTGCAACGCGGTGCGTCAAAGATGCTGGCGAGCCCCATGCCACCCGAGTCGAGGCGAGCGAGCGAGCGAAGCCCCTCGCCCAGCAGCAGCAGCAGCAGCAGCGAAGAAAGCGACGACAGCAAGAGCGCCTCTGGACATCAGCGACGGGGCGAGCTGGAGCCGACAACTCCGGAGCGCAGCCCAGCGGTGTACCTCGTCGGCCGTGGCGACGAACAATCATCATCAACGACGAGGCCGGTGCACCGATCGCCAGGCGGCGAGACCAGGCTGAGTGACCGAGGGACTTCGACGAATGCAGCAACGCACGATGCAACGTGCAAGGTCCTCGACGAAGCGTATGCGGGAGACGACCCGTTGCTTGAACCATGCAAGAAGGATGCCGACGAAGACAAAGATGAGGACTGCGATAGCGAGGATTTCGAGGAGAAGGAGTGGTAGAGCTGCATGACACTTTTGAGGGCACAAGTGGGTAATCAAATATTTGTCCCGTTGAACTCGAGGCGGCCACCGGGGCTGACATGTCAAGGGATGGGAGGTGTTCGGAGGACCCTTTGATGTCACGCACCCCTCTTATTACTTTCTTTGTCTGTGGCTGATCACGTTTGCCGACCGTAGTAAACCTCGATTTCGGCCCGAACTTTGTGCTCGGTGAATGGAAACAACTCCGAGCTTTTTGTTTTGTTTTCCGACCCGCACCAACTGTTCTTCCAGCTTCTCCTCCAGACGCGCACCTTACTGCATCATGACCACTGCGTCGCCAGTACGTAGAAAAATCAGCAACCCCGATACAGAAACAATGCAAACAAAAGCTGTATTTTTATTTATTTTTAATAGTATAAATTACCATGTCAGGCAGGGAAACGACAACATTTTCTTTGTCTGTGCGTGCAGGTGGTGGTGGTTGTGGGTCCTTCTGGCCACGGTGCGACGGCGCTCCTCCAATGCCTGTGCGGCCTTGCCGATGCCGCCTACGTGTTACGACGGCGCGCCTATGCCCTGGTACCTCCTCCTACCCCCGAAGCGCTATTACCCAAACACCCCCCCCCCAAACATGACAGGGCAATGGCTTGAATGCGTACACGGTCCTGATCGACCGCACGAGAGATGAGCTTATCGAGCGACACACTCGCTACGCGCGGTACCCCCCCCCGAGGGATGCACCATGCGTGTAGTAGTGCCGCCTGACACCTGGTGGTGTGGTGTGGTGTGGTGTAAAGGGTGGTGAGGGCCTTTCACGGTGGAGTCAACTACTCCCTGGTGAGCGTGCCGGGACGCCCCCACCTGCTTTCCACCTTCATCCGCAATGCCTGCCTGGTATGCGAAGTTCTGCTCTTCTCTGCAATGAAGATGAAGACGAAGGCTGATAAGTAAGTACCACCATACAGGCCGACTCAGCAGTGCTGGTGGTGGCTGCCGATGTCAACATGGAGGACCCGACGAATGATGCAGCGCGCGTCCTCTTGACCCAAGCGATCGTGCTCAAGTGTGCACCCCACCCTCTTCCCATTATAATAATAATAATAAATACTTGTAAGTTCAGTATTATGTTGATATATTTGTTTAATCATTTATTGTTTCGACTCTCACTGATGGTGCGTGCAGGGCGCTTGAGATCGAGGACATCATGGTGTGCGTGACCAAGCTTGATCTCGTCGCCACTGAAGGAGGAGAACAGGGCCAGCAGCAGGCATTCGAGCGAACCAAGCGCTTCGTGCTGAACCTGCTCACCGAGCATCGCTCGCTCGGGTTCCACCCGTACACACCCGCCACTCGTCATCGTCATTGACCACCGAACGTGACCCGGTTTTGAACTTGTTGTCTGGCGGGCAATGGTGCGCAGCTCCGGCATCACCGTCGTCGGCGTGAGCATTGGGGCGGAGTTTGAGCAGCACCGCGGCATCATCAACGAACCCTATGCCTGGTCGGACGGCGGGAAGACCTTCACCGAAGCTCTGCGGGCTCAAGCGCTGTGCGTACTCTTCTAACCTACAATTCATTGCGCGGTCACCCTGTGTGTGTATGTGGTAGTGGCTCATCATGGCTCGAGGGCAGGAGGAAGAGTGAAGCCATCGCTCGTGCGGCGAAGAACAAGGAACAGAGCCCAGAGCAGCAGCCCATGCGCCTGCCCATTCACGACAGCTACAGGATTGGTATTGTCCCTGCCGTGCGAGTGGTGTTGTCTTATCGTTCCTGTGTCGTGTCGTGTTGACTGATGTCTACTGGCCCAGCTGGGCTTGCCAGCAATGTAATTTGCGGACGCCAACTGAGCGGACTAATCAGGCCGTACGACAACTTGACCCAATTGGGCGCTGCGACTGGTGTGTGCCTGATCACGTGAGATTGGTGTGATCAATCGATAAATCCACACAGGGGCGATAGTCTGGCATGCTGCCCGAGCGACCCGATTGGGTGGAGGCGCACCAGCGAATGGCGGCATGACAAGAGCGCCCAGGGGAGTCTCAAGAGCTTCCAGACGTTCACTGTCGAGATGTTTAACGAATCGCGGAGCGAGGCCAAGCCCGGCGACGTGGTTGGAGTGTGTGCGCGCGGCCGGTCCACGGCGCCGTTCTATGCCTATCCCAATGGTGCGCTGCTGTCCATGCATTCTTTGCATTTCATTATTGTATAATGTGCTCCGACGCGGGCGCACCACCACCGCACGCGACTAACGTGCGGCATGACTACGTAAATCTTATAAAATGTGCAGGGCAAGCCGACCAACGCCTTCGGGGTCGGTTACACTCTGACAATGTGCGCACACAACGCGCGTGTGCCATGCCTGGTATCGCTATCCCGTCACACCTCCGCCAAACGTTTACATTGCCACAATTTTTCTCACCACACGGCTTGCAAGGTGGTGGAAGTGATCACGATTCTGGATTCCTCCGACGGCCTACCACATGCCGACACAGGAGATGGTCTGAGCGCCACGAAGGTCGAAGTCGGACAAGGTACAACTCTCGTGGTCTTCTTGCCCCACGTACGCACACATGCGCACAGGACACGACACACACCTCAAGCCGTCCCAATTAGTGGCGCTGGTGCGGTTGCGCCCGCTCAAGCCGGTGGTGGTGGAGGAGCACGCGCAGTTTCCATTGCTTGGGCGCGTCATCCTCCTCGTTGGCACGTTGGTGGTACGTTGGTCCACACTTGACTACGTGGGGCAATCCGCGACGTAAATTAGCAACGCACTTTACTTTTTAACAGATTTGCTTCTGATAAATCAAATGTTTGATAATAACACACGTTTGTATCACATGAATAAATGCTGATCAATGAATTATTATGTGTGCAGGTGGGCCACGGCAAGGTGAAATCGGTGGTGCGTCAGCTCAAGAGCGAGCTGACAGCGTTGATCGGCCCGGCTCATGTGGCTCATGGTGCGGCACATGACGCCTTCTTATGTGCATCTCACACCACCCCAGCTCTCGGTGGGAGCTAACATTGTCTGGCAACTGCACACGCACACAACACACGCTCAATCTCCAGTGAGCGAAGTGATGAGCGCGCAGCCGGCCATTATCACAGGTCGGGACCAGCACCACAACAGCCTCCTCCACTTGGCATCCAAGGTTTGTCATCATTACATTCATTTCATTTGCAGAGGACCGACCTATTACTACTGGCCGACTTACGACAACGGCGAACACACCAGGAACTGGGCTGCCATGAGATCGTGCAGGCCGCCATTGACCACATCAGGCACCAACACAGTGACGACGAACTCCGTCGGCTGCTCGATGTGCCCAACGCCGATGGCCTGACCGCGCTCCAGGTCGCCCTCGCCGCTTGTACGATCGCTCCCCTGCTTCCAAGGCCTTTTTTGTTTGTTTGGTCAAACACGCGCACTCAAGGTGGTGGGCGTGGTGGTGGACATGAGGACAGGCAACGAGAAGGCGGCAACGATCCTGGTGGCCAGTGGGGCTCGCTTCGACTGGAGTGTGGCGCGAGGGCACCACACCGGCGGCTGTACCCGACGGCGGCTACGATCAAAGGCGGCCTCAGCACTGCCGTCCGCCTTGCGCGATCCGGTCTCAGGTATCACCAGCGCGCGTTCCCTCACCCCCCCCCCATCGATGATGGATGGTGGATGCTGATGGGGGCCTGCGCAGGTCGCCGCCGACCCCTGAGCTTGGCCCTGAGCTGCGTGAAGGTCTTGAACGCCAACCGGTACGACGACACACAGAACTACAATAATAATGCATTACATAATAACTTATAATTCTTTTTGGACAGGGCGAACTACACGAATCTGGAGGAGGCCTTGCCCGAGACCGAGCTGCGGCGGGTGGCCGCTGCCGCCCTCCATTCCTTCCTGTGTTCCGGTGGGCCTGGATGAATCGGTCCACACGCTCTTTTCGTGAATGCACTCAGGTGACTTATTTCTTTGACTCCGCCGGAAAGCTCTCACCACTGCCTCGGCGGAAATCTCTCACCACCGCGGCGTCGGTGGTGTCTGTGAATGGAAACCACCCCCGACTCTTTTTAGCCTCTTCCGTTCTTCTTGCTCGACGCTCAACGTGACGCACCGACCTTGCTAATGACAAACGCATCGCCGGTAAGCATACCATGAACTTTGTCAACGACGTGCATTCGTCGAAAGCACTTCTTTTTCCATTTAAATTTTACACACTTAAAATTGGCCAAATGCTACGCATGGCCTTTTTGTGCAGGTGGTGGTGGTTGTGGGTCCTTCTGGCCACGGTGCGACGGCGCTCCTCCAATGCCTGTGCGGCCTTGCCAATGCCGCCTACGTGGTACGACGGCGCGCCTCAATCTGATCGCTTCAAAGCCCCCCCCCATGCAGTGTCCCTAACCTCCCGCCATCTCGTACATTGCAGCGCAATGGCTTGAATGCGTCCACAATCCTGATCGACCGCACGAGAGATGAGCACATTGAGCGACACACTCGCTACGCGCGGTACAGTCCCGCGCCTAGCGAGGGTAGGGAATGCACCGAGATGCCTCACGTGGTGCCGGCTGACACCTGTGTGTGACGTATGATAAGGGTGGTGAAGGCGTACCACGACGGATTCAACTGCTCCCTGGTGAGCGTGCCGGGGCGACCCCACCTGCTGACTACCTTCATCCGCAATGCCTGCCTGGTATGCAAACCAGCCAACCCATAATACAGAGACGGTGGTGCAATGATGAAAGCTGTAACCTCCACCACCCCGTGCAGGCCGACTCGGCAGTGCTGGTGGTGGCTGCCAACGTCGACATGGAGGACCCGAACGATGATGCGGCACGCGTCCTCATGACCCAAGCGATCGTGCTCAAGTGCGCCCCATTTTCCCTTTGTTATTAGTAGTGTTGTTATCATTAACTGGTGGGTGAGGGTCGACAGGGCGCTAGAGATCGAAGACATTGTGGTGTGCGTGACCAAGCTTGATATCGTCGCCGGGGAGGGAAGAGGCGATCACTGCCAGCAGCAGGCATTCGAGCGGACCAAGCGCTTTGTGCTGAATCTGCTTACCAAGCATTGCTCGCTCGGGTTCCACCCGTACACCCTCCACTCGTCGTCATTGTGGCCCACCGAACGTGACTCGGTTCTGAACCGCTTGTCTGGCGGGCATGGTGCGCAGGTCCGGCATCACCGTCGTCGGCGTGAGTGTCGGGGAGCAGCATCGCGGCATCACCGATGAACCCTATGCCTGGTCAGACGGCGGGAAGACCTTCATCGAAGCTCTGCGGGCTCAAGTGCTGTGCGTTCTCCTCTACTCTGCGCGTTTGTGCGTACTCGGGTGTGCGATGGCGACTCACACAAGAAGGCTCGAGGGCAGAAGGAAGAGTGAAGCCCTCGCTCGCACAACCGGGAACCAGGAACAGAGTCCAGAGCAGCAGCCAATGCGCCTGCCCATTCACGACAGCTACAGGATTGGTATTGTCCCTGCCGTGCGAGTGGTGTTGTCTATGTGTCGGTGGTGTCTCGTTTCCTCTCCTTTGGTGTTTGCGTTGTGTGCGTGCTGATGTCTACCGGCAGCTGGGATAGGCACTGTGATTTGCGGGCGCCAACTGAGCGGACAACTCAAACCGTAAGACTGATCTGACACCCACGGCACGGAGTGTTAAGATCTCATGTGATTGGTGTGATCAATCAACTAATCAATCCACACAGGGGCGATAGGTTGGCGTGCTGCCCGAGCGACCCGATTGGGTGGAAGCGCACACCGTGGACGCAGGATAAGAGCGCCCAGGCGAGCCTCAAGAGCTTCGGGGCGTTCACTGTCGAGATGTTTCACGAGTCGCGACCCGAGGCCAAGCCCGGCGACGTGGTTGGAGTGTGCGTGCGCGGCCAGCCCACGGCGCCGTTCTGCGCCTATCCCAATGGTGCGCTGCCGCCCACGCTTTCTTTGCCACAGAACACTGAACACCGTAATACGGGCACACCGCACACACGGCACAGGTGCGGTGATCATGCCAGCCGAAGAGTACGCGGCGTCGCTTGTGGAGCTGACGGCGATGGAGTTGGTCGCTCAGGTGGAGACAGTGGATGCCTACGCCAAGGTGCGCGCTCTTGACCACGCAACTATGGCGCGGCGTTCTGATAAAATGTGCAGCGCAAGCCGACCAACGCCTTCGGGGTCGGTTACACTCTGACAATGTGCGCACACAACGCGCGTGTGCCATGCCTGGTATCGCTTCCCCATCGCACATGCGACCCACGCCAGGGGCCTGTTCCTTACACCACACGGCGTGACAGGTGGTGGACGTGATGCCCGTTCTGGACTCTGATGGTCCACCACTTGCCGGCACAGAGAGTCTGACCCCCGCCGCCACCAAGGTCTGTGTCGGACAACGTACAAGCCCTCTCTGTAGGCACGCACAATTGTGGGGGCACGCTAATCAGCTTCAATCAGTGGCGCTGGTGCGGTTGCGCCCGCTCAAGCCGGTGGTGGTGGAGGAGCACGCGCAGTTTCCATTGCTTGGGCGCGTCATCCTCCTCGCTGGCACGTTGGTGGTACGTTGGTCCACACTTGCCTACGTGGGCCAGGTATGATGAAGGAAATGCTAAAACCGGTGCAGGTGGGCCATGGCAAGGTGAAATCGGTGGTGCGTCAGCTCAAGCGCGAGCTGACAGCGTTGATCAGCCCGGCCCACGTGGCTCATGGTGCGCCTGCTTATATGCAGGCACAGGGTCGGTGTTTGCGGCGCGCTGAATGCACACCGCTCTCTACATTCAGTGAGCGAAGCGATGAGCGCGCAGCCGGCCATTGTCGAGGGTCGGGACCAGCACCACAACAGCCTTCTCCACTTGGCATCCAAGGTTTGTCATCATTCATTTCATTCGCAGGCCGTGGTATGTAGGGACTGGCTGACTCATCACAATGGGAGCACACAGGAACTGGGCTGCCATGAGATCGTGCAGGCCACCCTTGACCACATCAGGCAGCAGCACAGTGACGACGAACTCCGTCGGCTGCTCGATGTGCCCAACGCCGATGGCCTGACCGCGCTCCAGGTCGCCCTCGCCGCTTGTACGATCGCCACCTTCCCACTTGGTCAAACACGTGCACTCAAGGTGGTGGACATGAGGGCAGGCAACGAGCAGGCGGCAGCGATCCTGGTGAGCAGTGGGGCTCGCTTCGATGGGCGTGTCGCTCGAGGGCACCGCACCGGCGGCTGTACCCGACGTCGGCGATTACGATCAAAGCCTGCCTCCACGCTACAGTCCGCATTTGGCCACTCACTCGCAGGTGGGCACGCATGCGCTCCCTGACATTTACCTGTTAACCAAGGTGGTCCAGCTTACCATATACTGCGCAGGTCGTGGCCGACCGCTGAGTTTGGCCTTGAGCTGCATTGGCACCTTGAACGCCAACCGGTACCGACGCCTTGTTCCCAATTGATACTGACCCATTCGGTTCCTTACACCACGACACCAATTCCCTTCGGCGGCGCACAGAGCGAACTACGCGAATCTGGAGGAGGTTTTGCCCGAGACCGAGCTGCGGCGGATGGCCGCTGCCGCCCTCCATTCCTTCCTGCACCCTAAACCGAGTGCTTGCCAGCCCTCACCGCCACAGCAAACCGCTTAAAAACGAAAAACATTTACGAAACTTTTCAATTCCTCTTCTTGGTCGTAGAGGCAGTGGTAGCGCTGCCCTTGAACCAGGGGACGAGCACGGAGGTGGTGCGCTGATACTCGAGGAAGGCCTGCTTGCGCTCGGGCCGCTCGAGCATGCGCTGCTCGACCATCAGCGTCACTGTCGCCAGGCACAGCGAGTTGATGAGAGTGCCCGCCACCATGTACCACTGCCCCACGTAGACTGAGAACAGCGACAGCGCCCACCACCACAGCTGCTCGCCAAAATAGTTGGGATGCCTGATCGATCGCACATGCGCCACGTCAGCACAGCCAATCAGACGACGGCACGATGATAAAACGGAGCTGGGGCGAGAGGGTGGTAGTCGTACCTGGAGTAGTACCAGAGGCCCGAGTTCAGGATGAGCACCTTGGGCTTGCCCTGCCGCGCGCGCTGCTCGTTGGCGTGCATGAACGCGCACAGCTGGGTGTCGGCGAAATAGGCCACCACGATACCCGCCAGGCACAGGCCGGCGATCAGCGGGTCCCACACGCCATCGAACGGCGGCGACGGCGGCAGCGCCGCAGCAGCGGAGGCGGCCGTGGCGGTGGCGTTGGCGGCGGAGGAGGCGACGAGGTCGCGGAGGCCCAGGAGGTCGGCCGGCGCGGCGGAGGCGGGCAGGGGCGAGAGGGCGGGGAAGTGGATGGAGTAGAAGGGGAGGCAGATGCCCACGAGCAGGACGTGCTGGGACAGGTAGGCGATCGGGAAGGAGAGGACCGCCCACAGGGCGGCGCCGTAGCGCTTGCGCATGTCCGTGAACCGCCAATCCTCCCTCGCGCCCAGCTCCCACTCCTCCCTATGTGCAGTGTGTGCGTGTGCGGTGTGTGCGGTGTGCGCGGTGTGTGCGGCGTGTGGGGCGTGTGCGGTGGTGTCATAGTAGGAGAGAGGGCACAAGGCGACGGGAGAAGTGTCACCTGCGGAAGTAGGAGTGGGTGAGCCGGATGCTCCAGAGCCAGACGAGGCCGAGGGACAAGAACGAGCGCAGCGGGTCAAACGTCGCTGCGGGCACGATCGGGGAGGTGTGTGTGTCGTGTGTCGTGTGTGTGTCAGCAAGGCCCGGACCGATACATCCCAGCCGCAAAGAGGCGTACCGGCGGGGTGGGCCGCGAAGAAATGCGCGATGAGCACCGGAATGATGGTCCAGTACGGGTCGATGAGCTGTGTGCGCGCGCGCGTTTGATTGTGTGAGTAAGAATGCGTGTGCGGTGGTGCGTGTGTGTGTTGTGTGTGTGTGTGTGTGTGTGTGTGTGTGTGTGTGTGTGTGTGTGTGTGTGGTAAAGTGAACGAACCCAGGTGGAGCCCTGGAAGAGGCTGATGAGCCAGAAGAGGACGTCGACGTTGAGGAAGAAGAGGACGTTGAGGAGGGCCAGCGGGTGCTCCATGGCCCAGCTGCACACCTGCTCGGGACCCACCTCGGCCGCGCCGGCGGCACCGAGGCCCAGCAGCGACGCGACCGACTCGGGCAGGCTCACGCGCCACGACGCGGGCAGGGCGGCGAGGGCGGACGGGTCGCTGCACGAGTGGGAGAGGAACCACATGAAGGCGATGGAGGGGAGGGGCACGGCGAGGAGCAGCACGACGTTGAGGAGGGGGTTGTTGCGCCAGGTCCATCGCACGGGCTCAGAAGATGAGGAGGCCTTCTTCATCTTCAATGCCTTGGGTGGGCCGGCTTTGGCTGCTGCCTGCTGCTTTCCCTTCTTCTTCGCTTCCATGTCTTGCCTTTATCCAACGATTTGCCATTCCAAATTGAATTTTTAATGATTAGATTGGCTATATCGATTGCGCTCCGAGACGCGGCCGCTGATGCAGGTGCAAGATGATGAACGCGGTACCTTGGGCAGAGTGTGGACACAGCAATGAAACTGAGGACAACAAGCTTGGGCAAGAACGTTTATTGCCCCAACTGGAGGTGACGTCAGCGTTGGTCATGCGAGACAGCCTCGGCCAGGATCACTCACCCCATCATCATCATCAACAGGAGGCGACGATAGCTCAGCGCAACGTTGGAGGGATGAGGGCCAGATACGCCCTCAGTGAACGAAAAAAGAGTAGTGCAGGTGTTGATGATGATGACCGTATAAATAATTCTACAAAGTGGAAGGGCTGGCACACATGTCAGCCTGACTGGCTGTAGAGAGGCTGCACCTTGAGGATCTTGGTCTTCTCCTCCTCGCTCTGGTACTCTCCGGAGTCGTCCATGTTGGACGCCTGGTCGCGGCCGTAGTGCTTCTTCTCGTAGCGCATGAGCACGTCGCCCATCTTGGTCATCCCGAAGAACACGCCGAACGACAGCGTCAAGATGCCCAGCACCAGGATCACCAATCTGTTGCCAATCAAAACAGTGCACATTAGCCGTGCGTGTGCGGTGGTGTGTGTCGTCGTGTGTCGTGTTGTGTTGTGGTGGGGGAAGAGTGTACGGTTTGTTGAGGGGGATGATGATGAGGGCGGCCACGAATTGGACGACGTCGGCCACGTAGAGGAAGATGCCGAGGATGATGCGGTGAACGAACGAACTGAGGAAGGACCCGATGGGCGCGCCAATCGACACAATCGATGCGCTCACCCAAAAGTAGTCCACAGCCTCCTGCTCCATGCCTGCAGCCCGAATGCTGTGGTGTCAATGCACCCGTGTGCGGTGATGCCTGCGTGTGTGCGCACACGTGTGCGGTGGTGCGTGCGGTGTGTCGTGCGTACCGTCCATGAGAATGAATTTGGCGAGCATGCCGACGGTGCAGTTCCACGCCTGCAGCACCACAGTGGTGGGCGTTGCGGTCTTTTCCGAGACTCGGAACAGAAGGGTCAACACGCTGAACGTGCAGATGTCCAGACCACTGGCGATCGCATCAACGACGACGACGACGTGAGTCACACATTCACTCGCATCATTCAAGTGCACTTCATGAAATGTGGATGTTGTGTATGCACCTTCCGAATATGGCAGTCAGCACGCCACCGATGAAGCCGAAGAACATCAGCACACCCGCGCGCCAGTTACTGCAAAGGCGCCAGTTACCCCGTGAGTTGACTCTTCAACAACTCTCGCTCTTCTACCAGAATAGATGCGTACTTGAAGTTCTGGATGACCAAGTGGACCTCCCTGTCCTTGATAAGGTTGAGGCAGAACAGCGCCGCCGCAAAGCCCAGCCAGATACTATCAGAAGGAGTATGGGGCGTGTGTTTGGTGTGCGTAGTGTGATGAGTGAGTGAGTGAGTGAGTGAGTGAGTGAGTGAGTGAGTGAGTGAGTGAGTGAGTGAGTGAGTGAGTGAGTGAGTGAGTGAGGCAATGCGACACCCAGCGCACACGGCACGCACGGGAGCGCACCTGACAAAGATGAGTTTGGACTCGGAGGGAGGCAGGTTGGGCGCAACCCACTGGAGGCCGACGACCACGCCAAACGCGCCGCCGCACGACGAGAAGAGGAGCGCGTTGGGCTCGATCCGGATCTTTTGATACAAAATTGTGAACGCCGCGCAGTTCATGCCCACGCTCTGCGTCATCAGCGACATGTCTAGACAAACCGGAACGAACAGGTTAGACCAAGAGCCCAAAGATGTGTGTGTGTATGTGTGTGTGTGAATGAGTGTGACGTGTGTGTATGTGTGTGTGTGACGTGTGTGTGTGTGGTGTGTGGTGTGTGTGTGTGAATGAGTCATGAGCTGGTTGCGCACCTCGCGCCACGGAGGGTTTGATTTTGAAGAAGAGGGTCATCACGGGGAAGGCCACCGCCGACGCGCCCTCCGACGTCGCGCCGGCCACCATGCTCGCTGTTTAGTGGATGGGTCAATGGTGAGAGGGAGCAACGACGAGAACAGTTGAAGGTGGCCACGCACCGAAGAGCATGGTGATGGTCATGAAGTACTTGTCTTCGAACAGGTGGAACTCGTCGAGGGCGGTCATGGCGGTGGTCCACGACACCCAGACCACCACGATGGGCAGCAGCACCGCCAGCCACCGTGGTCGCTTCCACACGAACTCGCGATACAGCCACGTGTTGTACCTGGTGCACAAAGAAATAAAATACATAAATAAATGTATAAATAAATGTGTTGTAACCCGCAAAGTAAATAAATGTCACCTTAAATAACACAAAGAACTAAATATTAAAATATTAACAGGTACCAGGCGTCTTCGGGTGGTGGTTCGAGGTCCATGTCGCGGTACTGCCCCTCTGCAAAGAGTTGCCGCAGGCGGCCGAGCAGCCGTTGTTGCGTGCCCACCCGTTCCGTGAGGCTGTCGAGGCCCAGCTCGTCCTCCAGGGACTTTGCTGCTGGTTTGGCCCCGCCGTCCTCCACGTCCCTCTTTCCGTCCATCTTCATCTCACCTTCTCGCACCTTCTCTCCTGTATCGCACCGCACTTCGCGGTCGTGCACCACCAACACTCTCGTTGTACTCTATCGCCGGCAACTTCTGAGGCCTTTTCATCATTTGTCGCATTTATCCGCTCTGAACTCCGCACCAATCAGCCTTCAGTTGAATATTTTGTTATTCTGTTTTTGTATTTTTGTATTCTTTTATGCAAAAGAGAGGTCAGAGGAGGTGTTGGTAGAGGGCCTTGTTGGCTTCGGCGTAGTAGGAGAAGAGGGTGAAGGCGGACTGACGGGCGGCGGCGAGACACGTGAGGTAAAACTCCTCGCCCTCGCCCTCGCTCTTTCGCAGCACCCCGACGCTGTGACTCGCCACCACCCCGTCGTTCTGGTTGTTGAACGCAAACAACAGGACCGCTCGCGCCGCCTGGCTCCGCACACAACAAAACAAAACAAAACAAAACAAGATGACGCACCGATGATGTGAGAGAGCGACACCTGAGAGATGGCAAGTGAGGCGAGTGTTGGAGGAGAGAGAGCTCTACCGATTCCTCGGCCAGGTCGGGGTCGAGCACAAACACGCCGTTCTGGGCGATAGCGCAGGTCACTGAAGCGATCCACGACCTGCATTGCGGGCGGGCGGGCGGGCGGGTGAACTGAGTTAAGCACAGGAGCTCCAAGGCAAAGTCGAGAGTGGGGTGAGCAGGTCGGTACTTGAGTGGAATGCCAGCGTCAACAAGCGCCAAGCACGTAGCGTTGATGGCCGCAGCGAGCATCTGGAAGAAGAACGCGCACATGGTGTGGAGCAGACATGTGTGTGAGAAGCAGGACTGTAGGAAAGTGTGTACAATAGAGGGGGGGGGCAATAGAAGCGCATATACGCATCCATCGTTGTGCAGCACTTGGACGACGATCTCTATGAGGGTGCGAGGGTGGAGGGTGGCGATGATGGCGTTTTGCACCACGTTGGCCACGATCATCTCCTTCTCCCTTTCTTCAGGACCTGCACAAAGATCCACAGACGCAACAAACCCCATCATGAGCCTCGCGTCTCATGGACGTGTAGGGGCTGACTGTCAGGGGTGGTGGAAGAGAGCGAAAAGGTACCGCCGGTGCCGCTGGAGGGGCTCCAGTGGACCTTGATGGTGGCACGGTCCAGGATCTCGTCCCTGTGCTTCACTTCAATCGGTCCGTAAACGGCAACCACCACAGCGCTCTTGCCTGCCTCGATGAAGTGGTGGATTAATGGTTGATTAGCAATTCAATTTTGAGATTTAGTAAATTTGAGGCGATTCGACTACCGGCTGTGTATTTGGCGGATCCATCGGGCTTGTTAAGAAGTCCCAGCTCCGATGTCACGGCGCGCAACTGATTGTTGGTCCTTCCTCCGCTCCTCTTCACCTCCATCTCGTCTCGATCGATCTCTCAATTTTTACCGATTTTACGACATTTCTTGTTTTTCTCCCTTTTTTTCTCACATTGTTTCGCGTTTATTTCTTAGTCGTTTTGTTTTGGTGGTGAGTCCTCGACGCGGCCGCTCCCGTCACGTTCGTCGTCCGCGGTTGAAGGTGTTGGCCGCCAGGGAAGGACGACGCCGGGCCGAATGACGTAGACGGGCGTCGTGGGCGGATCGTGCCCCGACACGGCCACGAAGAATCGATCTTCCCCATAATCACGGTCTGGCGCGCCATCGCCGCCAGAGCTCGCGTCGAGGGCGGCCACCTGCCAGATGCTGAGCTTGTAGTGGCTGCTCGAGTCCCGGTTGGTCCACACCGGCTGCGGGTTGACGCGCGCCTCTTGAAGCAGACTCCTATGGACACACCTTCATTGTGCTGATATGTTAATATCCGTATGGATAGAAAAATATCTACGAGATAGTCATGTTACATAAATATAAGAAAAGTATGTTCGTGTGTGTACCTGAGATTGGTGCGCTCTGGGTCGGGAGGCTTGTAGGCGTCGGCGACGAGGAACCCAACGGCCACGTAGTCATCGGACGGTGGCAGTGGCCGCCAGATCGAGCACCGCGCTCGGGAATTCAGGCCTGGTGCCGTAGCATGACCAACGTGGGTGAGTTGAGGGGCCACAGACAGACATCACTGGGGAAGCAGCGCCTGGTGTGCATGTACCGGTGTCTTTCCACAAAAGTCGATAGCTGGCCGGTCGCACGAGTAACGGCGTGGAAGGCGAGGCCGAAGCCGAAGGAGAAGAAGAGGGAGAGGCGTTGACGACGTCGCGTTGTGGTGGTGTGGTCGTGGCGGCCGTGTCAGATGGCGGAGGAGGTGAGATCGGGGCGAGATCGGTGTAGGTCCAGACCGGGCAGGTGGTGCCCCTGGCCTGCTCGGCCTCGCGCAGCTCGTGTCTCGTGATCGTTTGGCCCAGTTGGGCCTCGAACCAGTAGGGCCGAGCCACGAACCCCAGGAACCCGGAATCGCCGCCGACCGCAGGGTTGAAGAACGTCACCTCGCCGCTCGACACCGTTTTCTGATTGGACCACACGTGCACCAGCGCCTCCGCCGGCTTGGCGCACAATCTCGGCTGCTCGGCGCTTCTGTTGGCTCAAGTCAGTGCGTGTGTGTCGTGCGTTGGTGCGTGTGCGTGTGCGTGCGTGTGCGTGCGTGTGCGTGTGCGTGTAGCCGTACGAGGCTGGAGATTGGCGGGCGCGCCAGGGCTCCTTCAGCGAGTGCGACTTGGAGCTCGCCAACGCCCCCGAGGCCGTGGCGCTGCGCAGGCGCATGAGCAGGGCCGAGTCGAGCGTCTTGGCCTTGTCGTCGCCGTCAGCCGTGTGGCCCTCCGAGGGCGCCTTCTTCCCCCGACGCGACCGCTGCTGGCCCCTGTCGAACAGTAGGGACTGCGCCATCATCGGGTTGATCCGCTTGCCCGAGAGCTGCTCCGCAAAATTGCTGAAGTCCTCCGGCTTCTCCTGGTGATGGCCCACATCACCGCCGACGGCCGCGCTGTCTGCCGGCGCTGGCCCTGCAGCCGCCGTGGCCGCAGCAGCAACGGTGGTCGCGGTCGCAGTCGCGGCCTGCTGCCGCGAGCTGACGTCGCCCTCCAGAGGGGGCGCGAGCTCGGCCTGGTCGTCGTCGGCGATGCTGGTCCGCCGTCGGAGGTTGAAGTCCGCGTTTGTGTCGACCGACAGCAGGTTCCGGGCCTCCAGCCCCCGCCCGCTGCCGCTGCGTCGAGGCCCGGTGCCTGGCGACGACGAACCGCCGCCACCGGCGCCTGCGTCCGCCTTGGGGTCCCCAAGGTCCGTCTGCTGAGGCGCCGAATCAAAATTGTTCGTAGTCGCGCTGGCTCCGCTCTCGGTACTCGTCTTCGGCAGCTTCTCCGGCTCCTTGTGTACATCGTCGAATCGGATGAGCCACTGGTCGCCGCCTTGGCCGTCGAAGCCCTTCTGCTTCGGTTGTTGTTGTTGTTGTTGTTGTTGTTGTTGTTGTTGTTGTTGTTGTTGTTGTTGTTGTTGTTGTTGTTTTTGCGTGGGCGCAGCGACCCGTATGTCGTTGGCCGTGCCCGCTCCGTCTTCTTCTTCGCCGTCGTCGTCACGCTGGCTGAACCTCTTGCTCTGCTCGCGGAAGTCCCTGATCTCATTGCATACGTCGCATACCAGGAACGACGGTCTGTTGACGAACGTGCAGCGCGGGCACGTCCACTCGCCCTCCTCGCCCTCCTCGCCCTCCTCCTCCTCCTCTCCCGCCTTCTCCTTGGCCTTCTCCCGTCGCTCCGACACCTTCTTCTTCTTCTTCCCTCCGCCATCCACGCCCACCTCCGCTTCGCCTTCGTTCTCCTCGTCGTCGGCCTCGATGTCGCTGTAGTCGCTGCTGTCCTCGTCGGCGAAATCGGCCCGCGACTTCTCGTCGTCCCGGAACGGCGAGAAAAACTGAAACGAGAGCGGCACTGCAGACACACCAGACCCCCCCCCAATGGGTGAGCACTAAGAGGCGGGCAGGCACACAACGGGGGGAGGGGGAGGGGAGGGCACCTCGCAACGGGGTGAATCGGCCGGAGGCGGTCAGCGTATCGTCGGAGGTGGTCCTCGCGGGCGTACCCGACGAGGATCGGGCCACCATTGCCGTCGCCATCTGACCAGAAAGAGGGGGAGAGCCGGGTCAACAACAGTCGATCGAAACGGTCGCGCCGACCAACAAAAAAAGAATAAATAATAATAGTAATAAGAATAAAAGATAAAAAATAAAGAGACGCACCTTGAGGACTGCCATCCATTCGTCGCAGTCCTGGGCCGTGTCGGCAGCCATCCTGTAGGTCCTCTGTCATACACATGGCGCGACAACAGCAACTCGGTGTCAGTTTCTCGCTGCTCGCTTTGCATTGACTAGCCCACGGGCGCCCGTGTAGGCGGTGATGCTTTTTTACCTCACTCGCCAGCTCTGGTCGCAGTTCAAACGCATGACTGTACGTTTCAATCCGGTGTACTCGAAACCTGCACGCAAATAAATATGGTTATGATTTTTAAATTTTTATATTAAATAAATCACAAAAGAACAAAGTAAAAAGAATAAATGCGCGCGTGCCCGTACCGTCGCAGATCAATGAAGCCGAGCGGGAGTGAATTCTCACGACTTTCGTAGTACGCCAGCCTGTTCCTCCTGAGAATGAACCTGGTTGGGGGGGGGGCGGAAGACACGGTCACGCATCGCTCATGCCATGGTGGGCACCCCCGCCTCCGCACGCGTACCATCTCCGCTTCCAGCTGGGGAAGAAGCCGCCCTGCTTTGTCAGATAGCCCTCCTTCAATAGGGTCAGCCGCGTGCTGCGCCGCGGGGCCGTTTTTCCTGCGGACACGAACGACACGCAGCGAGAGCGAGAGCGAGCGAGTCAGAGGGAAGAAGAAACCACGCACGCCCGGCGATTTGGCTGATGTTGTTCCTACCTCCGATCATCTCAAAGTCCTCTTCTCTGAGCACGTGGGGGCTGCCGGGTGCTACAGACACTGCACAGACGAAAAGTGAGCGCACACACACGCAAGATACACCACACACACACACACACACACACACACACACACACACACACACCCACACCCACACCCACGAGTTGTACCACTGCTGTTACTGCTGCTCAGTTGCTCCAGCCTCGCCTGCTTCGTCGCACGGGTCTTCTCCAGGTGCGTGATTTGCTCCTGGAGCCATACGTCATCGTTCGTGTGCGTGTGCGTCAGTTGGGTGCATGAGGGAAAACTGAGTTGAGCGCTACCAGGCCTGGTGGGAGGGGTAGGGGGAGTACCTGCACGGAGATGAACCAGGACTCCTTCTCCTCCTGCGAGGGGCAGATGAAGGTGAACACCTCGCCGCTTCGGAATACGACCTGGAACGCGTGGACCTCACGCACGGAGGGCGACGCGCAAGGCTGCAGCGCGGGATCTAAGGTATCCAGGCGTGGGCGCGGTATGAGAATAGGTACGGCCAAGGGCGGTAGAAAGCGAAAGCGAAAGCGAAAGGGGGGGAGGTGGTGAGCTAACCTGCGGAGCAGTCGGATACCTTGGCGCCCACGAGGGAGGCCACGGCGTCGATCCGCCACGGGTACCAAAACGTGATGGCCTCCAGATCGACACAAAGCAGGATGTCGTTGAACAGATAGAGGTACCTGCATGACGAGAGCGTGCCGAGTGAGTAGTCCAGCAATGAATTCGGGTACGGGGCGGGGCGGGCACGCACTGTTTCCGCCGCCGGCCTCGGTCGCATCGTATCAGCTCGCCTTCGCGCACTGTCGGACACCGATGTGATAGATAGCAGAAGTTGGTTGATGAAGATCAGCACAGTGTTGTGGCGGTGATTCGCTAGTTGGGCGTGTGGTGTGCATACCGTAGATTCTGGATGGCTGCACCAACTCCTCGGGCACCTCGTCGCTCCCGGCCATTTCCGTAAGCCTCGTTTGCACCTGTGGCATCGAGACCGTCAGTGAACAATGATAAATAATAAATCAATAAATAAAAATAATAATAATCAATAAGCGTAAGCCCACAGGGGTCGATGGCGCTTGTGCGCTAAGGCCTTTGCGTACCTTGAACACTTTCTCCAGGTTCTCGGCATACCGACGCATCTCGTTGATGTCCTTGGTCACCTCTCGCACCTGTCCACAGTGAGCGGTGGTATATGAGACCTCAGAAACTCAGTCTATCAAGATGGATAGAGGAGGTGATGGAAAAAACCGTGCCTTCTGTAGAGCCGCGAGCAATGTATTGTAGTCGGTGTGCGTGCAGGGCGTGTTGTGGATCAGATCCTGTAGCAGCAGGATGTATCTGCACGTTCACCACAAAATCGTGTTCTGTGAATCACTGCACCGCCACGCACCATGACCTCACGCACGCAGCCGCACCTGGGAAGGCGCTGCACGGGCTGAATGAGGTACGATGCCAGGTCTCCGGCTACGCGCCAAAATCCAAAGAGGCGGGGGGTCAGTCACGTGAGTCGATGGTCGGGGGGGGGGCTTGGGGCGCACTTTTGCCGGACTTGGTGTTGGCCTGCTGCAGCCAGGCCTGAAACGGGCGGCGCGCCCTACAAGTGGCGATGGTGGCAAGCGATCTGTTGTAGTTGTTTACTATTATTATGAACCATCGTTAGCGTACGTTGGCACCAACATCTTCCCTCATGCGACAAGCCAGGTGGTGCGTCGTACCATATTGTGTGTACATCTTCATGAACGGCGCCTAGTGGCGTGCATACAGTATGGTCAGCGCTGTGATATCGGGCACCGGTTGGGCGTAACGAAAAGAGAGGTACCATGTCGAGGAAAACTTTGCCGAGGTTCGGCGACTCCTCCGCGATCGCGAATTGATTCTCGAGCTCCGCCAGCAGCGTCTTGTTGAAGTTCCAAATGAGAGTGATGTTGGAGAAGATGCTGTCCACCTGTACGCGCGCGTGCCAGGGCGAGTGACCACGGTTAGGTTTGCTCAGCTCGACATGTGCCACGCGGTGCATGCAGGAGTACCTCCTCGGGCGAGGCCGCGTTCTCGCTTGTCAGCGACTCCTTGAAGTTCTACGAGACCACGTAAGCAATGAAGTGCCCACACGCGTTAGCCATGATGAGGGTGGCCAGAACGGTCTAGCGAGACCGAACATGGAGAGCGGAGGGTGTACCTTGATGAGGAAGTCCAGGTTGTGCACGTATTTCATTTCGCTGGACAAGATCTCCTTGGATATGTGCACCCGCATTTGCTTCGCTTTCTCTTCTGTAGTAGGAGAAGAGGGAAAGAGAGAAAGAGAGAGAAAGAGAGAGAAAGAGAGAGAAAGAGAGAGAAAGAGAGAAAGCGTAAAAAGAGATGGTGAGTGTGCGTGTCTCTCACTTCCCGCCAATGTTCAATGGCTCGACGGTGCCATGGCGGTACCTTTCTTCTTTCGTTCTCTCCCCTCGGAGCTCTTCCGCAGCTCGCTCGGTGGCGGATCTGCCTCCACTTCCTCTGCCTCTGCCTTTGCCTCATCCGCTCTACTCGCCGCGGCTACTGTCGGCTGCCGTACCCCCTCGGGCTGCGGTCCTGTCTCTGAGGGAGCCCACTGCTCCACCGGCACTTCCTCCTCCTCCTCGTTGTTGTTGGGCTCCTCGTCAGCCTTCGACTCCACCGCCACGTCAACGACCACTCCTTCCTTGGGCACGCTCGCGCCTTCTTCTTCGCCGGCTCGAGAGGAGGCGCTGTCATGTTCGGTTGTGCTCTGCTCTCCTTCTCCTTCTTCGTCGAGCGAGTCCAGCCGCGCCCCCCGCCTGTTCTGGAGGATGTCGCCGGCGGCGCGCATGGGCGCGAGGCTGTCGATCACCGAAACCGCTTCGGCGGCGGCCAGGCCTGCGCTCTTCGCTTTGTCTTCGCTATCGCTTTTCCGAGCGGCCTCTTCGGGCGTTGTGTCCACGACTGGCACCTCGGGCGGCGCGGCCTCCGAGCCATCTGTTTCGTCGTGGCCTTGCCGCTGCCCGCTGTGCACGGTGCCAGCCTGGCGGTAACGAATGTCCAAATAATCAGAAATAATGTTAGCACTAGATGGCTCTTGGTTGTCACTGGTGGGGAGTGTACCACAGCCACGGGCAAAGGGCAGCGCTTGACGGGCTGCAGCAGGGGGGCGAGTCGATCGCTGGAGATGGAGGCGGGGTCGCCGGCGAACATATCATCGAGGTTTGGTCTGCCACTACGAGCTCTCGCCGGCACTCTTTCCTCTCCCCTCTCCATGGAGGCAAGCTCTTGGCGAACCTTGCCCGGCAGAGACCGCCGATCGATGACTGAAATGCGGGGTTGATGGCCCGTGAAAACAATATTCATGTTGGCGGAAATTCGAGAGGAGATTAAAATTCGGCAAGGGAAAACCCACCCCAATTCCCTGAAGTGCAAGAAGGCCAGCGTGTGGGCCATGCAAAACATGTGTAAACATGTGTACATGTTCCCTTTTTGGAAATAAGACCACTACATCAGTGGAGTCATGGTTTTGCCTTTGCACTACCACCTTGCTGCTGCCCTTATCAGCTTTTCCATCTCCAAGGGATAACTATCAGAATAACTATCAGAAAGCAGCTGGTCTGGAAGGTGTTTGTAGCTCTTGTAACAACCCTGGCCAAACTGGAGGCAAGCTCCAGCTGTTTGTTAGGTTTGTGGCACACGCATTTTTATTTTTTTGATTCATTTATAAAATTAAAGAGGCACAAAAATGCGTGGTATGCGGGAATTTCTCTTTCCGACCCAAACAGAACCGGCAGAGCTGATGGTAGAGTAGTACATGGGAGATCATAAGAGGCGCAGGCAATTCAAGTGAATAAGGCATCAAGCGAAGGTGGAATACTCCCGTGGCGATACCGCCCTGCTAAGAGTTTCAACATTCAGAAAATCGAACACTCCCGTGCGGCTAGCAATGGATGTGCGGCACAACATTACCGAGATTTTCGTACACAGCCATTTCTTCCTGCGAAAGATACATTACTGGCAAGGTACACTCAATCTTCTGATTTATTTTTTGTTTTCTTTCACAATCGTGTCGCTCGAGGAGAAGAGATTTTACTCTCCCGATTCCGTGCCTGCCGGCGCTGGCTAACACCACATTCATCTTAACGCACGCAAGGCCGCGTCTTGGCTGATGGAGTGACGTTCCGCCACGGCGAACCCAACGGAGGTGGGTGGTTCTGGTGGTGGAATTGGCGCGCCTTTGCCTGCATGCTGCTGGCACTCGTGCTGGTGGGCGTGGGCACATTGGGAACCATGGTACGCGATGGCCCGGTTGCGACTGCACACGCGCTGCTGCTGCTCTTGCGTTGTGCTCTCTTGCATGTGCATCGATCGAATCCTCACGACCCATTCCCCCGTGCAGAAGAATCAACAGTACGTGTCGAAGGAATCACTGTGGATCCCGGGCAATGCCCCGATACTTGCTGACCTGCACAAATACGAGCGGTACGTCGTGCACGCGCACTCTATATCTGCTTTCTTCTTGTGTCGCTGACAGTCGCCGCTGGTGCTGACCCGTACGTTTGTGTGTGTGGCGTTGGCAGGCTCTTTGGTTCGATGGACGCCGCGCGCATCATGCTCACAGCGAATCCGGGCTACGATCCAAACCTCATGGAGCACGGGATGCTCACCAGCCTCTGGCGCCTACACACCTACATCACCACCGAGCTGACAGTCACTGTCCAAGGCACGTTTTTTGTCGTCGTATTCTGCTCTGCCCCGACAATGTATGTTTTACTAATCTTCAAAGTCTTGTGCGTTGCGCAGGTAAGAACTACGGCTTCACCGACTTGTGCGTCAACGTCACGCTTCTGGGCGTGACGGGCTGCTACCAATTCAATCCACTCGGTACCTTTGGTCGCCACTGTAACTGTCAGTCGCTGTACTACCTCTCACTCTGTGCTATGTCGACAACGCGCTTGGCAGCATTTTGGCCCGCGGGCCTCGGTCCTGGGGTGTTTCAACGGCCCAGCTACAATGTGGGCGCAGCGGTACGCAGCACACGTCGCCCGAGCACGATCCTTGAAGGACTTGCTGTTGAAGCGATGAACTGACGCACACGCACACACGCACGCCCCTTGCTTGCCTGCGCTGCAGATCAACGATCCCGCGTCCCTCTTTCTCAACCCGTGGACGCGAATAGAGGACATCTTTGGTGGAATTACCAGAGTGAACGGCAAGATCGTTGCTGTCGCGGCGCTGCAGGTCCACTACTTCTTTGACAGCTCGCCCCAACGACACGCGACCAACCCCGATTGGGTCGAGGTGAGCCTTGTTCTCTCTCTCTCTCTCTCTCTCTCACTTTTCATCCATTCAGGCACACATGTTCTCTTTGAATGATTGGCTCACTGCCGCCACTCTTCATTCAGGTCCTGCAAAGCTTTGAAGACGCTCTCCTCGACGCGCTGAAGCGATACACGTTCGCCGAGATCGCGCCCAACATCAACGTACGCGATACTTAGTTTTTAGGCGATGTGGCGATCGCTCAGCTCACACTCTTTCGTGATGGTGGCGGTGACTGCGGTGATGCATTTCAGCTGTCCTACAACAAGGAGGTCTACTCGTCCATGATCGCTGACTGGCCCTACTTGGGCGCTAGCGTCTGCATCATGTTGGTCATTCTGGGTCTGGCCTTCCTGTCGATGGAGTTCGTCCACCACTCCCGGGTCTACCTTGGCATCATCGCCGCCTTGACCGTCGCATTTGTCATCACCTCCACCCAAGGTACCTTCTGCGCCTGCACCTCAGTTCCCCCCCTGCGCGTGGGAGTCTTTTTACATGCTGACCGCTTTTTCACCCTAGGGGCCGCCTCGGTGCTGTTCCTCAGCGAGACCGTGTTCGACACCTATGCCATCTTCCTGGTCGCCATCATCGGCCTCAACCACCTCTTCATCATCATCCACACCTACGATCGGGGTACATGTCACTCACTCGCTGACTCGAGTGCTTGCTGCCACGCGTAGAGGGAAAGCTCTCTCTTACTTAAAGTGTCCACGGCGTGGCGGGTGCAGTGATCGACAAGGAGCTGTTGAAGCCGGAGCCGCAGTTGCAAAAGGGCCACGTCAACCAGGGCAGCGTGCAGGCCATCGACAAACAGGCCACGTTCCGGCTCCTCGTCACCGAAACGCTGGCCGAGGCCATGCCCTCCATCACCGCAGTCTACCTGATCGGCATCCCCATCTTCGGCATCGGTACGTGCCCCTTTCGTTTGGCGCTGATGCGCGCCCAATAGTAAATCATACAATAACAATAATATGCCAGGCATTCTTTCGGAGTACTGCTTCGAGTACGAGCCCATAGCTGGGCTGATTTCGATGAGCGCCACGTGCGGCTTCGGGCTGTTGGTCCTCTACATCACCATCAACCTCCTGTTCCTCCCGGCTCTGGTCCTGGATGCCCTGCGCGTCGTGGTACAGCCAACCCACTCGCCCGTTTCTGTCGTCGCCGTCGTTGACCGCTCTCACGCTGTGCAGGAGAATCGGACGGACGTGCTGTTTCTCAAGAGGGAGCGGGAGCACTTCACCCGCTCTGCGCCGGTGATCGGCGACGTCATCGAGGTCGCGAGCGATCTCGCGCTCCCGCCGCCACCGCCCTACGAGAGGCTCTGCCACGTTCTCTTCCGCAAGGCCATCTCGCCCGTCATGACCAAGCTCCCCGTCAAAATTGCAATCGTACGCCCCCCCCCTTGCAATTATGTGGTGTGTGTGCGTGTGTGTGCGTGTGTGTGTGCGTGTGTGTGTGTGTGTGTGTGTGTTCCTCTTGTCTGTCGTGTGTGCGTGGGACGAACTCGCTGACGCGCCTCCTGGTGATCAGATCTCGTTGATTGTCCTGACCGTGGGCCTCTCGATCTTCGTGATCGGCAGCACCCAGTTCGCCTTGAGTCCCCACCCGCGCCAAGACAACTTGCCCTCGTACGTCCCCCCCCACTCGCCGGTGTGGGTGTGATGGTCTCTCGCCTAACCCGCGGGTGTCGCGATCATACCAGCGAGAACTACCTGGCAGCGTACTATAGCGTTCAGGATGAGTTCTTCTCCAAGGCTGGAACCCCCGTGTCGTTGGTCATCACTCACGCAGACTACACCAATGAGAAGACCCTGGCCACCATCAACTCATTCTTGCATAAGGTGTGCACCACGGCACGACACGACACAACACGACACAACACGACACGACACGACACAACACAACACGACACAGAAAAGCCCACTCACCGATTCTTCTTCGTCATGCGCCGGCGCGCAGGTGGAGGATTCAGGGTGTGCACGACCGGGGTCGATAGCCAATTGGTACAGCAACTACATCATGTACCTGGTATCGAAGGGCCAAAACATCACCGACTTCTACCAGCCCCAGGACGGCACCAGTAAGTTTGCCCCCAACACACACACCACACCACACTTCAAACCATCAACTCACCGCACCCGCGCAGATACTACCAACATTGCCCTGTGGCTGGACTCCCCTTCGGGCGGCCAGTATGCCAAGGTACGAGTGCTTCCGATGCCATTGACCACAACCTTGAGCCCACTGGTGTATCGGGGGACTCATTCGCCACTCTCTCCACCCCCCCCCCGCTTACTGCATGCAGGCACTCATCTTCCACAACAACGGCACGGTGAAGGCGGCGGCGTTCACATTCAACATGGCCCCGCTCCCCGCCAGCGACAAACAACAGTACGACCCCTTCGAAGAGACTACTACTACGGGCGCAGCTGTGTTTGCTCATCCCTCACCTTCGCGACCGTTGCAGCGCTCTCGAGAACGCGCATCATCTGCGGGATATGGTCAAGTCGGACAGCGCCATTCAGAAGATCAGCGAGGGGCAGGCCATCATCTTCTCGGACGATTTCATTTACATCGATGAGCCGTGGATCCTCACCAAGGCCTGGCTCGCCAAGATCATCGTCTACCTGGGTAAGCCCAGCTCACTCCTCCGTCTTCTTCTTCTTCTTCTTCTTCTCGCTCTTTGCTCTTCGCTCTTCGCTCTTCTTGTTAAGTGAATGCGAAGCTAATGGTTGGTGTATGTCGCGATACCCAGTCCTCTTCTTTTTGCTCAGCCTTTTGTTCTTGGACGCGAGGTCGGTCGCGCTGATCGTGCTCGGCACCGCCTGCGTGGCGTCGCTCATCTACGGCATCATCATGCACTTCCTCTCCATGAACATATCCATGTACGCTCAAACCATTGTTTCGTGTTTGTTTGTTGGCTGGGCGCGCTGATTGATTGTTCCAACAATCCGACAACTCTTCACAGCTATTCGATATCGTGCCTCATCATGGTGGCGATGGTGAGCTTCGACTTCCACTTCCAGATCGCCTACTTCTGGATGCGCGACAAGGGAACGCGCACCTCGCGCCTCATGAACGTCGTCACCCAGATCGGTACGCCATCAGCCTGATTGAATGCATCCTCACGCCTTCTGGCCTCACACACCACACCACACCACACCACACCACACCACACACCACACACACACCAGGCACATCGCTGTGCTGTGCATACTTTGCGCAGTTCTTGGGGATGATGGTGCTCATGTTCTCGCTGTCGTCGCCGATCAACCGCTCGTTCGCCTACCTCTACGTGTCGACCACCTCGTTCTCGTTCGTCTTCTCGGTCATCGTGCTGCCCATCATCCTCTCGTGGGTGGGCCTGCGGCGCACCCGCATCGTGTTCCACCGCAAGTACAAGAGCGTGCTGGGCGGCATGATGTGGGACCAGGGCCACAGCGAGCGCGAGCAGGACGGCGACAACTACTGGTCGTCGGACGACGAGAGCTCCTTCTACCACGACACCGACAAAGAGGTCTACCGCAGCGACAACCTCAACAGCGGCAACTACGACAACTTTGGCAGCGAGCCGGGGAGCTACGGCGGCGGCGGCTTCCAGTACAGGGAGCGAGAGGCGACGGAGGAAGACGACAACCAGGTGGGACGAAGGCGGCCGACGACACGAAGCGATGGCAGGCCAGCAGCAGAGCCACCATCATCATCGTCGATGCCGCGGGTGGCGTCGGGCGGCGTGGAGGTCATCGCGCGCAGCCTGGCCGGCGGCGGGCACGAGGTGACGCTCGAGCAGCTGTTCGTGATGGCCGAGGTGGCCGGCTCGCAGAGGGCGGATACGTATCAAGTGCTGACGTCATCCGGCAACGTCGCGCTGCCGCCCGCGGCCACCGAACAACGGCGACGGACCGCCGACGTGGTGGTTACCAGCGGCGGCGGCAGCAGCCCCAGCGCGAGCTTCAAGGCCAAGCTCACGAGCGAGAGCGCGCACAAGCGGACGGCGAGCGGCCTGCGCGATCTCTTCTTTGGCGGTTCTACGTCCAACGCCGATAGCGGTGTCGGTGGCGGCTTGGCGCCCACGGACGGCCTGGACTCCTTCCCTTCGCCCTCGCCCGTCCCTCCTGGCTCCGTGCTGTACGCCTCCTCCCCCAACCGCTCTCGCCTTGGATTGATGCTCTCGAGATCGACGGCGGCCGGCTCATGCTCACCCCCACCACTTCTGTTCAGCAGGGACAGCGGGAGGTGGTCGCGGGAGAGCAGCTGGCTTTCCTCAGCCTCATCGCGAAACGGGGGCGGCGACGGCAAGTGATGATGGAAGCGGGGGACGAATCGAGAAGAATGACGGAATGAATTCTACCATTTGTATAGAACATGTTGTGGAATGAAATTGGTTTGGCGTGTACGATAAGCTCATACGCACTGGGAGTGAAGGGAGATGAAGTCGTCAATTTTGAGAGTGGAGGCATTCTATAGTGGTGGGGGGGATTGAACAAATTGGAAACGAATGACGGAGGATTCACCGGAGCCAAAAGCGCAGTGGCCTGCGTTGTTTACTTCATTGATCTTACAATTAAGGGGACAGCGATCAACGAAGCAGTATGAGAGAGAGGTAGTGTGGAACAACGGCCGCAGCTGCTTACTTCTTGCGGAGCACGACACCCTCGAACTTGTCCTCGAACCATTTGATGGCCTCGTCCTTGGACACGCGGTGGTTGGTGCCGACGCTGTTCTGGCAACGCCTGCGGCGACCGACGCGGAAACCAGGGCGGGCAAGCACGACGAAGAAGTCCATGCCGTAGATACCGATCTGGGGATCATACTTGATGCCGAGATCGATGTGCTCGTCGATACCGAAGCCGAAGGAGCCAGTGTCGGAGAAGTTCCTGGCGTTGAGCTCGTACTCCTTGACCTTGAGGCCCTTCTCGAGGATCTCAGCGGCCTTCTCGCCACGGATGGTGACGTGAACGGCGATCTTCTCGTTACGCTTGATCGAGAAGGTACGGATGGTGAAGCGGGCCTTCGACTGGACGGGGGTCTGACCGCAGAGCTGCTCGAGCACCTTGGCGGCACGGGTAAGACGATCTCCGCTCTCACCCACGCAAATGTTGAGGATCAGCTTGTCGATCTTCAGCTTGCGCATCGGGTTCTGCTTCTTGGTCCTGGTCGGGGCGGCTCCGGCAGGGGTAGCAGCGGCGGCGGCCTTGGTCTGCGACATCTTCAGCTGTTCGATTAATTGAAAGAGAAAGATCCTTTGATCCTCCGTTCAGCCCTTTATATTTTTTTCTCACGCCCCCCTCCCGGAGTATTCGCGGTATGTTCTTACCCCTTTTCTGATTCCTCATTGGCCCTATGAATCGTTCGTGTCGTGTTCCCGGTTTTTTCGTGGCTTTGTGGGCGGGAGCGACCGAGATTTGATTGGGGATTTTGGGGGGCGTCGATTTGCGGTCCAGGGCGAGATGAAGCGATTTTTGGGTTCCTCCGCTGTCTCCATTTGCGGCAGTGTCCACGCATCCGCCTCGGTGCGCGGAGGTACTCGGTGCCTGGCCTCCAACTTCCACACTTCCGCAGCCGCCTGGCAGCGACCACAGAATCTCGTCGAGAAGATTGTACAAAAATATGCTGTACGCTTCCTCCTCTTGTGTTATGCATCCAACGTATGGGGAATTCATTTCATTCATTAATCGCTTCATTTTATTTGATGAATGCAAGGTGGATGCTGGAGGCCGAGAGGTGCAGAGTTTGGACTTTGTGACGATCCGGCCGCGACATGTGATGACCCACGACAACACGTCGGCCGTGATCAAGAAGTTCAAGTCCATCGCCGCCTCTGTCAAGGATCGCGGTACGTACTCCCTTTCCTTCCTCCCTTCCGTCTTTCCCCGCATCGCTCATGCGCGCATGGGCAGAGGTGCGAGTGGCCAACCCTCGCCAGCCCGTCTTCACGCTGGACCACAACATCCAGGACCGGTCCGATGCCAACCTCAACAAGTACAAGCAAATCCAGGTGCGCCACACCACTCACCGCCCCGCTCTTCGTCTCCCGCTCGTGTGCGGTGTGTGCGGTGTGCGGTGTGTGCGGTGTGTGCGTCAGAGCTGACCGTCTTCGCCCTGTCCGTCAACAATGCCAGGAATTTGCGGACAAGTACGGCATCGACGCGTACCCGGCCGGTCGCGGGATCGGGCATCAGGTGATGTGCGAGGAGGGCTACGCGTTCCCCGGCACGATGGTGGTGGCGTCGGACAGCCACTCGAACATGTACGGCGGCCTGGGCTGCCTGGGCACCCCGATCGTGCGCACCGACGCGGCCGCCATCTGGGCCACCGGCGCCACCTGGTGGCAAATCCCGCCCGTCGCCAAAGGCACCGCACTCTCCACCACCCAATCAATCAACACACGCCGACGCTCATCGTTGTGGTGTGGTGTGTGTTGTGTGTGTGTGTGTGTGGTGTGTCGTGTGTGTCGTGTGTGTGTCGTGTGTGTGTCGTGTGTGTGTGTGTGATCACAGTTGAACTCCGCGGCCAGCTGCCGGAGTATGCGACCGGCAAGGATATCATCATCACCCTCTGCGGTCTCTTCAACAAGGACGAAGTGCTCAACCACGCTGTGGTACGGCCCTGATCACTCGCACCCCTTTGAACTTACGACACGACGCGCCACACTCAATTTTGTGCTTCTGAAGGAATTCGTGGGCGAAGGCGTGGGCCGTCTGACCATCGACGATCGGCTCACCATCGCCAACATGACCAC